GCTGCCAACAGCACGGACACACGAGCTTTGTTTGCCTTGCCGCCGCTTGTCTTGTAGCCACGACACGCAAGGGTCTTGCTTGGCAACATTTGTCAAAATAGAGCTGTTTCATCCGCATTGAAGATATCTTGAGCTCTATATCTTGCTGCGATATCTCGCCAGTTTTATATGCTGTCCCGGTCCACCGCTCTGCTTTCACCTGTAACAGCTTTGCCAACGATGTCGTGCCGTTCTTTGAATCGCTGAAGCCAGCCTGAACCGCCTTGGAAATCATTCCTGCCAAGCAGAAAAGCAAGGTCCTTGGCTTTCTGCTCGATTATAGGGCCGGACACTAGAATGCTTCGCAACCGAACGTCCGCAAGCCACTTGTAAACGGCCGCTTCAACATATTCGTACACAGCAGCACGCACACGTCGGGCGCCACAAGCACCTGGCCTTTTGTACGACTTGGCCCTGATGTCTGCCTTGTTCTTCAGGGTAGTACTCAAGGTGCTCCTTGGAATTTTGTACGCGGCAGCGGCGTCGGACTTCTTTTCACCGCGCTCAACCCGATTGATGATTTCGAGTTTCACGGCGAACGGCAAATTTTGCCTCTTTGCGCAAGCCATGATGACAGCGCGCCAATACAGTTCAAAGAGCACCAACAGGCAACACCACAGACCACGCTGAATCGGCAGCAGCAGGCACACAAGCATAAAGAAAGAAAAATGGCGCTCACTTCTACCGCCTCCGCGCCTCAGAGAAAGCACGACAGCTTCTAATTGGCTGTAAGCGCTGCGAGCGGGCTAGGATCATTTCTTGGAGGGGGGTGTTCGCCCGCGCACAACCGGGTCTAACCAACTTTTTCTAGGGTGGCGCCGGCAGTTTTCTCCGCCACCGCGAGGGAAAGCAAACTTGCTGGGGCACTTTTGAGGCACATAGAGTTTGATATATCAGTTGTCGTTGCTATTTTCGTTCGATAAAACAGTAACTTTTGCTATATATTCTCAATGTAAACTTACCGTGTTTAGGAATTGTTTGATATACGGGATAATTTGATATAAACGGGTTCGATATAGTCGGGCTCAACTGTATAGCCATTCCGTTTCCTGCACTTAGACTCTGAGACATTGGTGAGTGCGGTAAAGCTGTCCATATTTGTGTGCACATCATACAGACTTCTGTAATCGGCTTTTTGTAAAAGTTGTTGGTAAGACTATATGTCCAAGACATTTCAGAAAAATTTTTGTGTGCTTACTTAAATATTAAAAATAAACCAATACCATTACGGCACAAAATGAACCCTCGTGAATATCCTTATGCGATAATTTTCACCAACTTGTGTCTAATTAGCTAATTAATTTTGTGGTGACAATGAGAGTCTATAAAGTATTGTAACTCAAAAGTTACTTTAGATAGCTCAAGACCGATTTTAGTTATGATATCAGCACAACAAATGACATCGGCACGCCAAATTTCATCTCCTTAGCTTCATAAATAACAAAGATAATTTTCATTGCCCCATTTCCCCTTAAGGCCCTATCCAGTAGTTTTCCTACAAACCTCCATATAAAAAGGCGAGCCAGGTTTTCCTACAAACCTGCGTATAAAAAGGCAAGCCAGGTTAGCTGTGTCTGCATCCTTGGGTATCATAGTTCTAAAGTTCGATGCACTCAAGGAATGCCGTCTATTACATGGACTGGCGTTTCGTGTCGTTGCCATATACCATTAGTACGTATTCAAGCAGCCCGACTAAACTGTCTCAATTAACTTCAGAGGGAGACAAAGTTAAAAATGCCGTCGGCTTGCAGAGTTGCCTCCTCACAGTGGACACCCTCTTCTTGTGTCTCTGCCAGCAATGAACTATGTTCAGGGCTCCACGCATGAACATTGTGTCTCAGTTAAGCTCATCTCTCACGAAGTCGTCACACTCTAGAGTTGCTGGCAAGTGACGCATGGTGCTCGTAACTGTGCAATGTGACGATCATTTCGACGATGTTGAACCGGATCACTTTCATGGCCACATACAAGACGTGAGCCGGTTCCATGCCTTGAAGGTCCGAGCAACAGGTCTCGCACGTTCCTTTGGCGAAGGGAGTGGCGTGCGAAGTTGCGATTTTCCGCGGATGGCAAAAGTATATCGACGAAAGTGACAACTCCTTGGCATGTTCTTTGTCGAGTAGCGACAGGGAAACCTGCCCTTTAGCGGGAGCAATACTTACAGCTGATTTGGGCATCGACATGACGAGTTCACGGCTGTCGTCAAACAGCACCGTGTGGCTCACTGCGTGCATGGCAAATGTGCACTGAACAGGATCGTCGCAGGCAAAGAGCCACTGGAGAAACTCCTACCGAAAAAGGATGTTGGCCCCTGCAAACAAGTTTGCACTATTGCCACGGTGATGCTTCTCCCCCTACATCGCAGCCCCCTCCAAGCATCCGTTCACCATAGAAGGCATCGTTGGGTACGACCATGGGTAGGACTTAAAGAATGATACCGCTGACCGACGTAGAGAATGCATCAATGACGCCGATGCAGAAGTTTAGCGTGGTGAGGACAAATAGATTCATTGTTCTAGCCATACACAACTTTCACTATAATAAATGAAAGTGCACACAGGCTTTCTTTTTTACTCAAACTAATTGTCCAAGTTTCGTGGCGATATAAATACAGTATTGTTGGTGACCCCACGAAAGTCATCACAGAGGTTTTCTGTACACTGAAATCTCGGTAGAACAAACCTCACACGAACAAACTTTTCAGATGAGCTAACTTTTAAAGAACCCCGCGCCGAGTGCTAATAGTTTCTATGTAAAATTATTTCACTACAACGTACTTCAGAATACTGAACTTTTCAGAATAACGAGTATTAATTTAGTTCCGCATCATAATAACAACCCTTCAGTACTACGGACTCATGTTCTGAAATCCCTCGCGACCACCGAAGTGGTATGCAAGCAGACGACAAAGGGAACTGACACCTTGCTTCTCAGAAGACGCACGACAATGCGGAGGGAAAAAAAAAACGAAAGGCCGACTTTCTTTTCTTTCTTTTTGTTGAAACGCCGACGCTGAGGTTTACAAGCACAGAGGCGAGGGCAACACAGGAGGGCAAGGTAAGCGAGGCAGAGTGAGAGTAAAGCAAGTCGGCATTGCGCTGCGGTGCTACGTACTACAAATGAGTTCATCTCTGCTTGCGACGAAGAAGCGGAGCAAGCAGTTTTCGCAAAGAGAGAAAGTGGATACCGTATTCACTCGCATAATCCTCGCACTCGCATAATTCTCGCACCTCCCACATAAAAATATGTGGGAGGTGCTACAAAAATATGTGGGAGGTGCCACAAAAATACAAATTTTTTTCCCTCAAAACTTTCACACCCCCGAAAAGTGCCACAATAATGTTGTCTGCTCGTTCCAGCCACTGATTGATTGATATGTGGGGTTTAACGTCCCAAAACCTAATAGGATTATGAGAGACGCCGTAGTGGAGGGCTCCGGAAATTTCGAACACCTGAGGTTTTTTAATGCGCACCCAAAACTGAGCACACGAACCTACATTATTTCCACCTCCATTGGAAATGCAGCCGCCGCAGCCGGGATTCGAACTTGCGACCTGCGGGTCAGCAGCGGAGTACGAGTACCTTAGCCACTAGACCACCGCGGCGAGGCACCCCAGCAACTGATGATGATCGTGGGCGCTATCTGGCGCCATCTCTTAAGCTTCAAGCGTGCTATTATTGCATGGAGACTCAATCCAATCCAAGCCAAGCCAAAGTGGCAAGTTCGCGTTGCGGTGTGTTTTGTAGGTTGTGTCTGTAATCTTGTCACGTTATGGGGCGATACTGAATCTACACGGCTGCTTTCAGGTTGAAAGTGATAGATCATGTACTAAACAACGACAACAGCGCCGCCGGTAGGTCCTTCAGAGTCTACGAGTTTTGTGTTTGCTACTGGTGATGGCAGCTGATAGCCACCAAGACACGCTGGGCCTGCCGTGTGCCTAAGACTGGGATTGACGGTAAACTTTATTTCTTCAGAAGGAACCTGCGGACGATTCTGTTAAATAGCCATCAGCCCAATACTGATGTTCTACACTTACCTTTTGAGGGCTCCTGTTGAGCGACGAACGCTACCGCTGGGCCTGAAACGCCCACAAGCTTTGCGCATGGTATCCTAATTCTCGACTATTTGCTTCCACTTTTTGTGTCTCATATAAATCTTGCCTTGTGTTGAACCCGTGCTTTTATTGTTGAGGTAAGTTTTAATTAGCACTTCCCGAAGTTTGCTGTTAGTTGCTGGCGCGAGAATCCCGATTTGCGGCATCTTCGTTTTTCTTTTTCGCTCTGTACGTTTTCGTAGAAAGTTTTCCCTGCGTGATTCTCGCACACCCCAACTTTGCATCGGTTTTCCGCAAAAAAAAGTGCGAGGATTATGCGAGAAAATACAGTATTCATAAGCAACTGGAAGGCAAAAAGCAAGCTGTTGTACCCAAAGAACCAAGTCGCACCACAGGAATGTGGATGGGCTGGAGGCTCTAGCACTGCAAAGTTTGTGCTGCACGCTTCAAAAAAAAAAAAAAAAAAACGGACTTCTTTAAAGTAAATGTGCATTTTTTTTGTGTTCACTTGTGCCTTTGTCTTTTTCTCATAAAAAACGAGTTCAGGAACCCACTGTTGTAAAGGTAAGTCGTTTTGGTCGGAGGAAAATAAGTATTTACGGTTAGCTTTTGGGCTTTCACTGTAACGACATTTCAAAATAACAAATTCGCCGCAGCCCCCTGAAGTTCGTTATATCGAGATTTTAATGTATCTGGGAACATGAATTCTTTGTCTGCCAGGAAAGCTGAGGGATCACTCCCACAGTGTTGTGGGCTTTGTTCAATAAGCATTTAATAGTAGTACCGGCGTTTGTCTTGTCTGGCTCTTGTTCACCGCATCCCGTTTCACTTTTGCCGACTTTCTCTGCCGAACAGTACGAACCAACTCGTCCAGCAAGCTACGTTACTGAACAATCGGCTTACCTTTGGGTTTGGGTATGTAGGCTTTGGTGGGCTTGAGCAGCTCTTGTGCAGGCGGCGCACGCTCGGCGCGGAGCAGTCCGTGTGGGCAGCCGTCCCAGCTGCCCCTGCTCACCGCAACCCATGGTTAGCAAGTCGCCCTTCGCCGTCAGCATCGCCACGTGGTCACTGCCAGAGGCAATCTGGGGGCAGTGCGAGAAATGCGGGTTTCAAGTGATTTGCAAGCATACCAACAAGTGAACAACATCCTGCCTCAGTTCAGCTACACTCCAAAAACAGTTGCGCACTTCAGGCCGTCACTCAGTCACAGAACAATAAACCATTAACTGGTATTGTGTTTACTTAAAAATAGGTGCTTGCCACTTTCCTGTCAAGAAAACCATGTCATATTAATAGCAAGCAGTCAGCCATGTGACCTTGTGACAACATGCGGCATTAAAGAGGCAGACTGGTCTTGGACGTTTTCTTGTTTATTTCTTCAGTGATCTTGATCAAACTGCACAGCATTATGCAGTTCTTTTATGCTCATTTGAAATATTTAATTAGTTTTCCTGTAACTCATCTTGTTCCCTGAGATAACTTAAGTTCACCCCTATTGTTTAAGACGGCCATAGAAAAAAGTGCTTAATTAAAAGTAATATTTAAGATATGCCAACATAGACTAATGACTAGAGATTGAAAGCATGCGAGAGCTTTTTTGTTTTTAGGCTTTTCTTGGTTATATTACAGCAAAATGAACTATCCATTTTGGAAAGCAGTTGCAATTGTGTAACAATTTTGATGAGTAATTAATTGAAAAGGCTTGTGCTCTAAATTCTGCTCTCATACTTGCATTCCACACATACAGGTTTCCACTGCAAAAAATTATTGTTGTACCTGCCCTAGATGCAGAGATATTGATGCCTCAAAATTGAACAGTCGTAAATTTACTTTTTCGAGTAAAATGGAAAAAACGTGAAGACCCGCAGCTTTTTCCAAAAGCAACAATCGTGGTGTGCATGTTTTGTAATCCTAAAAAGGCGCTCATTAAATTGTAGCAGAGCTTCTAGCACAAGCGCCAGCAAATTATAAAGAAGCCTCGAAGTCGATTCCCCATTTTTTTCCAGGTTCTGCATGTTAACAGCACCAAGAATCTGGACAGTTAGAATGACATTACAAAAAAAATTACCATTTCCTGGTGTGTGAAAACTTGCAGAAAGATAGAAAAATACTTGCAGCAACCAAATATGCCAATTTTTAAAAAAAGATTTTTTTTGACACTTTTTGGTCCCAAAGACCAGTCTGCCCTCTTAAAACAAAGAAGCATGTGCATGGCAGCCAACAAAATATGTCACTATATTTCAAAATTGGGGCACCCTTGGGGTGTACAGTAGACTTTCATTAAATAAAACCTGAAAGGGCCAGTAAAATATGTTCTGTTTAACAGAAGTTTCATTCGCTGAGAGATGAACAGGGGTGCAGAATGCAAAACTAAACTGATCTAGTCAGAAGCAGTTGTTCTATTCAGGCAACAGTTCCTGTTTAGCAATTCTGCGGACTCATTACAAAACTTATACACTAGCTCTTCCCGACAAGGACCTGGGCGCCGTTGTCACATAAAGCAGCAAAACAGCTGCTGTGCATATCCCAATAAAAAAAAGAATAAAAAACAGCCACTAACAGAAGTTAACTGCTGCTTGGCTGTTTTAAATTCTGCATACAGGTTGCCATTTTCAGCAGTCAACAAAAAGAGGATATGATCGAAGAACGAAGCAATCACTACCTGCAGAATGTCGGAGACTGACCAGCTTCGGCTCTGGCTCGGCCTTTCCTGCTGTGATGAGGCCCATCTGCCCTCGGGAATCGCGGAAGTTGCCCCAGAGGTAGACTTTCCCGGACACGGTGAAGCGCAGCGGAGTGGGAGTCCCCCTGCCGTCACTTGCGCGGCGGCCTCTGGGAGCTCCACGATTCCGGGCGTTGTCTCGCTGTTGTCGAGGCTCGACTGTCTGACGACCGAGGGCGCCCTCGTCGTTGCACCCAAACGACCACACCTGCATCAATGCGGGAAAGAAAGCGGCCGCCAACCACAATTTTAGAATTCTCTACTCGATCCATTCTCTTCCTGTCTTCCCGTCAATACTGGAAATGCCTTGCCTAGCAACTGTAAAATTCAAGATGAGTTCAGGAGATGATGGAGCCATTAAATGATGAAAAATGGTTTAATACAAAGAACAGGAGAAATCATTTTCCCGCTGCTCCAAGCCTTCATCACCTGAATTTGTCTTGCTAGTGTATCTGCACGCTAAACAAAAAATACCAAGGTCATGGAGCTTATGGCCATATTAAAAATATATAGGTGCCCTTAATAATGGCATTTCTATGAACAAGTCTCTGTTCAAGTGACCTCAGTATTTTTCTTTTTAAGAAAATCACATTGAATCTCAAATTAGTGTTACACCTCCAATATCAAACTGATGCATTTTTACAACATACCAGCAAGCTTTGAAGATTTCATAGACTATGCACGAGTGCACGTCATATGGCAGAGCAGTAGCCGCTCTCGGCATCCTATGGCCATAAAGGACTACCTTACTAAAGATTTCATGTAGACTGATTAGGTGAGTACAGTACCCTGTGACATATTGGAAATGTCTAATCTCTAGAGGTCAGTCCATATTCGACAATATTTTTCGATAGTGTCTTGCTATTCGATTCAATTCACACTGAAATTTTCCTATTCGAAACTATTCGAGCTTCCCAACAACAAGTACACTTAACATCAATTGAAGGTGGCCCCTTTAGACTTTCAATAGGCTTCACCTCAACTCATTCTCGTATAGCGGTAAGGCAGCCTTTAGGCTGCCGCTAAGGTCACAAATGTGTTGACTCAATAAAACGCTGCTTCCGACGTGGCAATAATATATGTGGCTGATGTGGCAGTTTCAGACCTGAAATTAGGGCAGGAAGTCCACAAAAAAAGGACACCAAATATTATTATGACTTCAAATTTCAGACGTTTTCATATATGGATGTCTACAAGACACATTTAAAACTCCGAACTTAAAGGGAGCACACCCTCGTCCACCCCATCAGATGGGCATCCACAGAAGTTCAAAGACGAAAAGAGGCTGAAGAAGTAGCCTCTTTGCTTTTCACGTGCGAAGTGTTGTTGGCAACACTTTGGTTGCATGAAATCACGTACATAAACACAGTTTGGCCCCTGCATTGCCTCATTCTTAATAAGACATTTAAGGAACACCACCCCGCCAGCGCTCCATCAACCTAGTCAATAGAAACACTTTAATGTTGCTATTTCATAAGAATGTGAGAGAGCAACATGCTTAGGCATCCTCTCTAACTTTTTTTTACAGCGAAAGTTGTTATGAGATCACAACAAGGGTCACGTGCGCAGTAGTTGTTCGCCGCCGATGATCGTAACCACTATCGCACGAAATAAGTAGGCTTGTGCGAATATTCGAATGCTTGGTATATTCGAACGAATAAGATGTATATTATTCCGCATGTCACCCCCTGTAAAGGTGCCTTCACTGCAATGTGGGAGTGCTAAGCCATGAAAGCACCTATCCAAAAAAAAATTCGATTTGCCGCGAAGCCCCTCTTTAAATTTAAAGGGGCTCTGCAACACTTATTGATCATGGTCAGGAAACACTGCCGATTGGTAGTTGAGGCTACCGAGAATACGCGAGGCAAATATTATAGCGCAGTACGCGGCCTGTATTTCACAATAAAGCTAAAAATTGATTTCGTCCCTCGGTAAATGACACTACAAGCTCAAAAATCACTTGTCACAGCCATTGGCTGATTTTGAGCATGACGCGCTCATAGTTACCGGGACCACCGCGGGAGGCCGCCGCTTGTCCACGAGTACGTGCGCGATCACACTGAACAGCCTAGTATTCGAAGAAAAAAAAAGAGGTGCTCAAGGTTACGAGGTGCGTGTGACGCATTTTCTTTCGCAGTGACCTTCCTCTCTGCTCAACTTCCAGCTATTTCGTCGGTACAAGAAGAGAATGCAATTACAACGTGCAACAAATTTTTGGAACTGCGCTCGTCATAGACTGATTCTAGAAACTTTGCAGCGGTAAATTTGTGAGGCAATAAACACGTTTACTGGCTCCATGAATACTTGAAAAAGTGTTGCAGGGTCCCTTTAAAGGAACATATTACCCTCAAATCGATTCTTCATTTTATTAAGCTTGTTATGATGGCTTATATGCTCCAAGTATAATAAATGTTAAATCATTAAGTACCTTACAGGTTATCACTCGCATCCTACCGAAACCACTACTGAAGGTTGTTTCGACTTCCTTAGAATGAAAAAAAAAAAAAAATGGCATTTGCACAGAGCCCCAATTTCAAATCAAAGGAAATATTGTGCAGGTTGGTTAGGTCATGATAAATATTCCTTTCTTTTATTATATGTCATACATACCATTCGAATTCAATTCGATATGATTTGATCAAAATCACTATTTGCTTCGAGCCTGAAATTCACTATTCACACAAGCATAAAAATGAGGGAAAAAAAATTCTCTAAATGAAAAACGCCAAGCACAGAATAAAATTCGAGCCCGGTTCTCCTGCGTGCCAGCCCCAGTATTCTACCAGAGAGCCACACCGGTGCTTGAAACTCCGTTGCAAACTGGCCTTAGGCAGACTATGTTGAGAAAGGAGTTGCATTAATGCGAGTAATAAAACGTTTTAGAACAGCAAAGGAGCAAACAGGCATCACACGATGCAAATTGCATAACGAGTGCACCATCGATCGCTCCAACCCATTACAGAAGCTTCAAGCATAATTCATTTTTGTCATCCGCAGCATAAAAAAATTGCACGAAATTGCTTGCAAATATGTAGCTGGTACCAGGCTTCTCAAAAGAATGACAAAGGTTGGCATAGTGAATGCCTGACCACTACACAAAAATTATGATGGTTTATGGTGTAGTGGCTACCCTGCAAGTGTGCTAGTAGCATTACCCAAACAGCGTTTAACAAAGGCTCTAAAAGGCTTTTGCTGCGACTGTACTGCCCGTCCCACACGAGCCTGGCAGATTTTTTTTTTTCTCGCAATTTCATTTCTAAGCATTAGAAAAATATTCTAGAAATATTCGAAAACTATTTTCAATTAGCACTCATGCTTCATCATCTGAATTCGTTTCTCAATAAAAATTTTGCTATACGCACAGCTCGACTAATCTGCTATGCTTGCATGGCTTGATACAGCAGCCCTGTAGACTATTAAATAACTGTACCAATTAACTACGCAGGTTCAGAGTGTCAGCACCATCGCCTAATTGCAGCTTGTTGCTATCCCTACAGGCGTGCCCGAGGTTCCCTACTAGAAGGCCACCAGAACTTTCACTGCAGTGTCCCTACAAACTGCCCCGCCGCCTTCCCATTGGTCGAGTCTAAAAAAAAAAAAAATGCTTCAAAATTGACCATTGAAGTTCTTTGTCAGTCTTCACAATGAATGAAGAGGTCACTGGCTTTCTGGGAGTTGGACAAGAAGTGAGCAGTTTTTAAATATAAAAAAGCCACCGTTAGTTATAAGTCGGCCACCGTTACCATCAAAAAACCTACATGACCATGCCTCTTCTTCTTGAATGAACAATGGCAGGACAGGTTTAACAGTACTACAAGTATAGGGCAGACTAGTATGTGCTTCGCCCTTCCTACTAGATGGTACCCCCTGCCCCCCCCCCCCCTCCACATGTTGATCACTTTCGAAAGAAGTCTCACCTTGCCATCAGCAGTCAGGCACAGGGTGTGCATGCCTCCTGCCACAACATCCACCACATCTTTCAAGCCTTGAACCTGAGCGGGCCGTGAGCACTCCATCACATCCGGCCCCAACCCGAGCTGGCCGACATCGCCTTGCCCGACGGTGTAGACGTTGCCGGGGCTGCTGCGCCGCTCCACAGACACCTCTGTCGTAAAAGAACAGAGCAGAAAAGCTTCAATAAAGTATCAGTCCTTCTTAAGTCGAGGAAAGAGGGGGGGGGGGGGGGCTTAATTGTGGGCCCCATCAGCCTTAGCCCCTCCTCAACCTGGTCGATCAGCGCTTGCTTGTCGGCTAGGTCAGCACTCCCACAGCCGTGCCGCTACACCAACATGCATGATGGCACCATTTCTGCATTCATCAGGTGTGGAGAATGCTTTGAGCAGTCACAGGTACTGCAATATAATGCCAGGCTTCCTCTGAATGCATGGCTTCATAGCACATATGGAACTTGGCATTTGATGATGGAATTTGCGCCGGTTTGAATTTTCTTCAAATGGATGGCCTCCTCTCCTCTTAGGCGTTTGTGGAGACTGGTGTATACTTGTCAGATAAAATGCCGATGGGCAAGCAAGTCGTTGCGATCGTAGGGTTGCGAGACAGCCTATTCGATAATTATTGCACAGGGTTCTTGTCCTCAAGCCTACTCTACTAATCCAGCTTCAAAGCACTGACCTATTTTTATGTAAGCTTCATCAAGCGAAGCACTGTTGGAGACGTTTGCCACTGCTGGTGAACTTGGGGGGAACTATCCTGTTAGTGGTACAGAGTAACACTGAAAATCAGCTCAACCGATGAAAGAGGTGACACTCCGAAACAGCTTTTTCCCACAGGTTTTACTTCATGCAACATCGTTAGGAGTGTGGCACGAGCCATGCTGAATGACATTAGAACAAGACGTGTTAGTGGACATCATATTACACTTGTAATAGACATCACAATTCTTCGATGTCGACAGAATGACTTTAATCAAAATATTTCTTGGTGCTTCTACATGCGAAAACCACGATATAATTATGCGGCACGCCACAGAGGAGGGTTTCGGAAATTGCAGCTCTCCAGACTTTTTTCGCGCGTGCTTAAATCTAACTACACGTGCCTCTAGCGTTTGACCCGCATTTTCACTTCATCGAAAAAGCGGCCCCCAAGCTCCGCAATAACTCTACCGCAGCAGAGGCTAGCTGGATCACTTTGAAGAGACGGGCATTACTTGAAAGGAACAGCAACAGTTATACAACAGCTGTTTCACTCACAAGCCTTAGAATTCACCATTCACGCTGACAGCATAAAGGTGCCGTAAGTAATTCACCATGGCACTTAATTCCTAGAGCTAGTCTCAATTTCCGTCCAAGGCAAGTGATGTGTCATGACATGAAGAGGCATGGCCTTGCTCCCTTTTTTTTTACAGTCACTCGGGCCGTCACAAGACAGCAACCGCAACAAGCATGTGCAGGAATGAGTGAAGTGTCATGGCTAGCCATATTTCTGTGAGTTGGCAAACACTGATCTGCGCCACGACATTGCTGTAATGTTTACGCCACCCAGCCCACCACCGAAGACCAACTCTGACATAAAATCTATATATAAATCATTTACAAACTTGGGGAACCATTTCGTACACATTCTTAATTGAATGTTCTTCTTCGCTGCAAGCAATTGGTTGAGGCTCACGCATATGTCTGAATCTGGGTGAATTTATGTGAGCCTCAACCAATCGACCAACAGTGCGCTGTCAGAACCAGCATTTCATTACAGGATGAGTGCAGTATCATGCCCCCCACCCCCCACCAAACTCGCAAAGTGTCTTCTTACATGCATGCAAGGAGCCATTTCTGCAACATAGTGAATGTGTGTCCGTACTCCAAGAGTAGTCCAAAATTAGAACACTAAAGTGAAACATGAAGTGAAGTGAGACTGCGGTTTCACTAGTTGCCAAGTTTTTTTCATACAGTGAAGACACCTGTACAAGTAGTTTGCAAACAAACTGGAGCACACAGACTAAAAGAAAAAACAGACATTCAATGTGCAATGCAGTTAAGTGCTATGCACAGAACAGTGAAAGCTTTGTCACCAATAGTTTAATATTTGATAATATATGCCTATCAACCGACATGAACTACTACTTTTCTACCAAGAAAGTGAATGCTATATTCACACTCCCTTGGCCCTTTCAAGCCGTCTACAGCAACTTTTCGCCTGAAGGACCCCCAACAAATTGCAATGAAATGTCGAAAATAGATATTTGACTGGTCGGTCGACTGATTTTCGCAACTGCATAAAACGCTTCGCGTGCTGGCAACACTGGTTGAAAAAAAACAAAGATGGCTGTGCTTAACAGGGTCACCGCGGCACTTTCGCTTGGTGCTGTGCTGGAGTTTCATGATTGTGGCATCTGATCCCGTTGCTTTGTCGAAGGTGGAAAGATGCTGGCCGGGGACCGCCTCATTCTCATCCCATAAAGGGTTTCACTGGCAAAACAGCGGAAATGGTTGTGCTATGCACTTAAACATCAGGCCTTTTCGGCGAAACAGATCATTTTACTTCATGTTGTTGAAGAACCTGTCTAACAAGCCCAAGGTTGAAGAAGGCAACTCTCATGTGTACCGGGCCTCTCCGAAAGGTGCTAGCACTTTAGCGCAGCGTTGCTACACTACTACAGGCAAGCCCTTATCAGTTTTTGAGGTATCTACGCTGCGATTCCTGCTGACAATTGCATGTATTCCATTAAGTTCCGTTGTCCCATCAAAAGCGGAATACGCATGCCATTCACTTGATTACAGAACGGAGCTATGCCTCGGCCAGTTTTTCTTGAGATAAGAAAAATATAGTTTAGATTGTAATAGGAGTGCTCCTTTATTTCCGTTCACTGATCCATGTTATTAGGTTTATAATGGATAAGGCCGTGTGCTTTCGAACACTCGCCTGATTGTGTTGGCAGTAGTTGATATTCAAAGCAGATATATGCACGCACACTACAAAGTGAAGACATGATGTAATGCACATGAACATACACACGCTATGCATGCACGACCATGACCTTTGTACTGTGTGCATGTATATACGCACATGCTAAATAAAAAATATTTAGGGAGAACAACTACAGCAGATTAATCAGAGAATGATTAGCGATATGACTTGCACAGAAAACAAGCATATGCAAAAAGTACAGACCCACACCTAATGCAACAAATTTTCTAAAGTACTCGCTTATATGAACAAAGCTACATTCCGTGCTTAGAGAAGCCTGAATATTGATAAGAATGCACACAAGCTAAATAATTGTGTACTCACAGAGGAGAACCTAACCTTTACGAGCGAATTGATTAGAACAAACTACCGTAGTGTCCGTCACCTTCTTTCCAATGCACAAGTTTCTGATCAGCGCCGTTCTCTGTCGTGCATCGTCTGCATCCATTGGGAAGCGATAGAACGATACATTGGCATCTTTCCACATTGCGACGCACTAAAATGGCCTCTGGACATCGCTTCCTTCTTTTCTGGGCTCGTGCAAGGGCCATAGCGAAAGGGGAAGGAACTATGCGGCCGATTCTCAACACACGCAACGTGGTAACATGTCTCCTTTCAAGGTTGACTCTGTTAGTGCCATTTCCAGGCACGAACACTAGGTGGCAGGCGCTCAGTGGGAGTCGCGAATACTGGGGCTACAGGGCCACTTTCGATTCTTGTCGGGCCCGAAACTGTGCAAATTAGTCGACCACGACCTACTCTTTTTTTTTTTGCTGCTTGCACGAATGAACCTATCGTGACGTTGAAATTTCCATAATTATTTACCTTGACTGCAACCCAAAGTATCCCTGAGTGACACCCATATCATACTTTGTTAGAGATCCTGAAATCGTTTCGACGATTTTGTACAAACACATCGGGCTGGTAGAGTAAGTCTTAAGGGTAGGCCAACTCTTAAGCTCTCTGCGTAATTTATGACAGTGCTTTAAAGCTGCAAATAACTTTAGATCACTGTGACACAGCCAAACTTGTTTTCAACAGCCCATTCACAAAGCCAGATGCTCTGGTGACGCGACATCAACAAGGCTGCTGATTTGATTGGCTGTGGAATGCGCAGAAGTAAGATTGGCTGGTATGGTGACGGCACCTGTCGAAGCAGACCGCAATCTTTTTCTCTGTTGCCAGATGGTGTGCTTGCTGCCGGGCACACTAAGTGATGGCCTCAAAGATAGTGTGCAACCTGTCGGCAACAAATCTCGGAGGTCTAGACTAGGTAAAGTTCAAATCGTTGAGTGCGCTCATGAGAGCTCTGCAATTGCCAGCGTGTCTCGCGAGTTGAGGAGGCACGGCAGGGGTGTGAACAACGGTATAATTGTCTATAGCATCCCTGGTACCTGAAGTGTCTCTAAATTTGTGGTGTAAACGGTTTGATGATGCTCTAGCCAAAACCCTGACAAACCTTAAAGAACTGTTTGGTCCAGTTAATACCCACAGGAATCGCAGTGCACAGACAAATGTGCAGTAATCTTACTTTCGGCAGAAAGCGCGCGCTTCTTTTGCCCATCACTAATGGAATAGCTTGCCGACGTAACACCATCACAAGTGAACAGAATTTCATAAGAGTTGCCAATAAGTGTAGGGAACGTATAGCCTAGCACCTTTTCCATCTACACAGGCACACAAGCCTGTTAGCTCCTGAGTTACTGATAAAAGAATAGGTTGAAACTGAGAAACTTCAGGCTGTGAGCCCACTATGGCCATGCATCTTTCACTTTGCACTACATTAGGTCACAATAAGAGACGGCTGCCTGGCCCAGCAACAAGAGTGTGTGAAAGTTGATCACTAGCATCACAAGAACGCAAACTTTCCACCCGTCACCTTTATGCAGCCTCGGTTTCTTGACTGAAGGAGCAGCACTAGCGGCGCTTTCCAGACTGCCCTTTTTCCTTTTGGCGGGCACCGCATTCTGCGAACTTTGAGTCTCCTTGCAAGTGGAAAAACAAAAAAAAAAACAACATAATTGAGCAAAAATCAAGGCATACCTTAAATTATTTTATTTATTCGGATAACTAAGGCTACAAAGAAGTATTTTGTGAGCTGGGCAGAACTGATAATGATTCAAGAATGTTATTTAGCGACATTTAGATACGTGAGAAGAAAATTAACAATTGTCAAAGCTTCTTAATACGGTTAGCACAGAATGGTTACAGAATTGCGTAAGCAGAAACGAAAACACAATAAACGCGAACAAACGCATGCAGGTGACACAACTGACATGACCGCGAACAGTTATGAGAAACTTGTACAGAACGCTCAAAGTGAACTGCTAAGACAGCGGCTATGGTGTGAATGATCACCGCTTCTATGGTCGAAATTTAATACGCAAGCGAAAATGGAGCCGGTTGGCCACAAATCAAGCGATTTTTAATAGTTTCAGCATCATTGAGCGGCAAGTGACAGCACATTCGACTGGCTAACAAGAGATGCCATTCTCGTTGTCTCAATCGGACCCCTACAGGCCCCCACGCGAAGGGGCAACGACCTCTTAAAACGCGCGGGAAGCGGAAACAGTTCACGTGCAGTCATTACACCGCATTCGCTTATTTTGAAAACCTTATTGCTGCTACAATGACGGTAGGCAACCTTCTTGATAAGAACTATGGGCTGCCAAAACACCGGTAAGTAGTAAATAACGCCGGTGCAACATCACCACGTTTCTCAAGCAAGGCTTGCACTGTTTTTAAACGCCCAAGCCATTCCTGAAGGATTCTAAGAGCCAGCCAAAGCGAATACCCGACAAGTACACACATCAGCGACAAGTTATCCAATCATCTTCAACTCCGCAATCGCCTCATATGTCCGGTTTACCTCAATGCCGGCGCCGCCAGCACGGCCACGCGAGAACACGCCATCCGACGACTCTCTCTCTCTCTTGACCTCGTCAGCGGGTAGCGTGAAATAGATCACTTACCGCTGCTTTTCGACGAGGCATTTCAACACTTGCAAAACAGGACAGGCTCTATCTCTTATTCACGTTCCTCCGGCGAGATTTCAAGTACTCTGATGAGCTCGTCCAGCTTGAACAGGCGGTTGCTAGCCGGCATTACCGGCATTTAGCCGGTCACGTGGCGAGATGTGCTGCCGATGACGATGCAATACTTGAGAAGTTGGGAGTTCGAAACGGCAAGTTGATGCCACCAACCTGATTGATGCTGCCAAACGCACCGGAAAGCGCAGTTTGACACTCGTATTAAGTCTAAGCCGCGTCAAACGCGAAAATTTACCGTCAGCGTCAACACGAGTGTGATGCAAAAAGACCGCCAGACCTGCGCGGAACGCGTAGCTCAGTCACAGCGAAAGCTGGAAGAGCACTACAGTGTACTAGAATTCTAGTACACTGTAAAGAGCACCCTTTCTAAAACCTTTTTTTTAACGCCTGGAGCGGTTACTACAAGCACACTTGCAATGTGCCCACTCTACACTATAAATTAATAAAAAAATTGTGTAGTTGGGAAGCGTCCACAATGTCATATATTACTCGTCATTCTCCGCAAAAGCATATGGTACCCGCTAGAAAGTCTTTGTTGATGCTGTGGGTTACGACAATAAATAATTATGCTTGAGCCTTTTTTAATAGGCTGAAGCATGAAGACGTACTCTTAACGCAATTCACGTTGTGTTACGCCTGGTTACTCGAGGAGTTGAAATTGTGGATTACTACATGCGATCGCTGAAGAGTGGTACGCATTCTGTGCAATGTGTAGCATGCTTGATGAATACACACAGTAACGTGGTTGCCTTTTCTGACGCCTGATGGCATGTTCTGACGCACGATATGGCAATGGATATTCTTGTACCACGCGATGCATTTATAAATCATAAAAGTCATTTTCACTGCATTACAAAGTTTCTCTCCAATTGTCTGTTAATAATTGCAAATTATTACCCAGCTGGCAATTGAGCTTTACAGAAACTGGACATTCCAGAGTGAGCCGAAGTACAACTGAATTATCGAATTAAGCAGTAATCTTTCTGAATGGACTGATTTACAGCTGGAAATGGAACGTTCACCTGGAAACGGTGCATATTTATAATGAATTTCCGGATACAACACAGCCCTTTCCAACTCTGATGAGACTTTGCAATGTTTGACTAAAAAATTTTTCATAAACATATCAGCAAGGTGCAGCAGGAGCAGGCGTTGAAGGGCTTAAACCACCTCTGAAAATGTAGTTTGTACTATATATTTACACGTACGGCCACACGTATGTACACCAGCATACAATCAAAAAAGTCGACCCCCCCCCCCCCCCTCCATTGATGTAAAATCTCGGCCACAACCCAGGAAAGCGCATATGCCACAAATAAAGATTCAATGTTTATTTTAATTATTGTGCAAATTCATGTTCAAAGGGAAAGAAAACGAATGTTTGTTTCATGGCTGCTTCTGCAGCCTGCTGCCAAAGCTGGCCATGTCACCGTTGAGGGGCCATTTGATGCACTTGTCCGACTGCAGGTAAGCCGCAACGCGCGGAAGAGCCTGCAAAGGAAAGAGACCAGTTTAAGCACATTGGTTTCTGCTCTCTTTAAAGACCCATATCCCTTGAAGCAAGCAGGTACCAAAAAGTTATTACCAGTCTCTCGATGTATTATAGAAGTTGAGCAGCGCTCTCACATGCGTCTCGCATATTAAAGGTATAACTGTTGTCAATCCTAGGTGCATTCGGATAGATCTTAAAAAGTGCAGCAGCCGATTGCCACCACCATCACCCAAGAAAAAAAATGGAAGGACACTAAATTCTAAGGTGTGCTCAGCCTGTGATTATTTCTGGGGACGCTTCTCCAAACCACTTGCTATGTCGTCCCGTAACTGCAAAGTGCAAGAGGGCCCTGATGGGCTGACGATTGGACGCCACCACTCAACACGCGACTGCTGAAAGTGTACAGTGGGGGAGGCCACAGCTAGTTCCAGGGCACAGACGGATGATTGAATGCCACGAGTAGCCGTTAAAGGCTTTCGCCTCGAGTCTAGCAGCGCTTCTGGTTATCTGCCCTCATCACACGACCTGCACAGGTCAACCAGGATACTGCATGGCTCATTTGTTCTCCGTTCCGCTTCGCTGAACTTAACGACAGTAGTTCCAAAACACTCTCGCCCTGGTGAGGCCTAATTATAGCTCTATCTACTTGAACCAGAATACTAATAGATCATACACAGTGATCCACTCTGAGAGAGTACTCGCAAGGCGTGCCCCCAAAGGCACCACCGGCTTTTTCGGCTGCTACGAGTTTCACGCAAATGCGGTAAGCACTGTCAGTTGTGCTTTTTCGTAGTCCGCTACCGGCCCTGTGCAGGCGCAATCTGAATTGTTACAAATCAGGCTGTTTATATGCGATGCAAAAAGCACCGTGCCCAGCGTCTGTTGCATTTGTGCGAAGCTATACGTTGCAACCAGTGGTGGCGCCAATTGGATGCCACACGCTCCGGCTTTAACTCATAAGAGTGGACAGCTGTGAACATACAGAAAAATCACACAACTTTGACAAAATTCTCGGCCAGAAAAATTTGCGAGTCATTATACCTAATATAAATGTCTATGTGCCCAACATAATTGCGACACACGACATTACGTAGCCACCTGTCTCATAACGTCCGTTTAGAGTGCGCGCCGATTGGGACAGGCTTGTATATGCCCGCCTTTGAGCAGAAAATGCCACAGAATTGAGGTATCTGACTAGTGTTTCAAACAAAGTTTTTGTACCGCAACACGATCGACGAAGGCCTTCAGGTTGGCAAAATCCTTCAGGCAGTCAGGTGCGAAGAGGAGATGCTGGTCAAGCATCTCGTAGGCGATGAAGTCGACGTAAGCGAGCTGAAAAAGGAAAAAAAAAAAAAAAACCCACCCACAATAAATAGATTAATATTATCAGCTGAAATCAATACAAATATATAAGCGCAGAAGTGCTACCCTTGTCTCAGGTGAGATTGGTTAACTGTGAATACTATTGGCTTGAATCGGAACAAACTGATCAACTGGTTCCAGTGGGAATTGAAGTGGAAATATTTACAGTTGAACTAGAACCAGAAACAAATCTCGATTTTGTTACTGCTAAACCTAAATTGCTTCAATGAGAGCGTTTCACTCATGCAACTTGTCGAGCACCTTGTAAGACCAGAGCCATCTTTCGAGGGTCCGTGCAGCTATTTATTGCCCCGTGCAACACCTGTATATTCTACCTATACGTTAGCATATACAGTGACTACCTCAGTGCTAGAATTATATACAAGCACACTTGTGATCAGACCGAAAGTGAGCTAACATGCTCACGTAGCTTCTCGATCCTTTGTCATCCCGGCCCTGTGTAGCTTTCAGCACGCGTAAACAGGACGAAAGGATAGCAAGCACTTAGAGTGTGCGACAAACCCCTGCAGTTCCGCTCCAACTTGACGGACTCAGACAATTTTTGCAGCAGTCAATTAAACTCCGATACAAAGGCAGTGCCAAGGTTTTTTGGTTGGGGAGGGGGAGGCAGCCACAACAAACGAGCGAGTCCCTTCAAGGGGGCAGGGAGGTGAAGAATTTATGCGCTGCGTTATGATCATGTATAATCTTAGGGAGGGGGCACCTGCCCCCTTGTAAACCGCATTGGGGCGCCCCTGCTCTGATAGCGAGATTATAATAGAGGATTCGATGATAACAGTCGTGCACATGGACCCGTCATGTATGCCTGTTGGTCGAAGTTAAATAACCAGTATTGCAACACTATTACACTGCACCCAGCACCTCCACCAAAATTTAATGTAAACGCTGTGTGAAAAGCAGCGGCGTCGGGGTAGTAGCAGCAAGAGCTGGATGGCAATGTGGGCAGGGTCACAGCAGCAATCAGCCAGGCAGAACTAGCTTGTACCTTGCGCAAGGCTGCCAGAAAAAAACTTATCGCAAATAGAAGCAATTAAGGGTGGTCCCGTGTACCAGTCTCTCCTTGCTTGTGTAGTTTTGCCTTTTGCGCCCCGATTTTTTCCTCAGAGACAACTACTTCGACGCGTTTCCAACAAACAGCCGATTTAAACAGTAGCATAACTATGGGGTGGAGTAAAACTATTTTAACTTTTTTGAAGTTCGCATCTGTACATATGTACCTGCACACAACGTACAAATGCATTAACAAACATACATAAAGTACAACAAATCCTCCCTCACCCAGAGAAACATTTCTGTCTAGGGTACTGGTCTTATCCAATCTTGCAAGCTACAAAACATGCTGCAATATGGTTGTGAAAACCTGCACAGCAAAACAGTGGATTTCCTATAGGCTTCCAGACATAGGAAATCCAGGAAAGGCGTCTGGAAGCCTATAGGCTTCCAGACGCCTTTTACGTGTACCATGAACGCCAGCGGCGTCTGCGTGGATATGAAATGCTGATTGCGCAGAGCCATCAATTTCCATTGAAGTACTCAACGCATGAGATACCGTACTACTTCAGGCAGTAGTACATGTGCGAAATAATTCACCCCTGTAGCTCTCACTGCACTGCCAAGAAAATTTGTCCGCGAGTTTACGTGGGTTATAAATTTATTTTTTTCGAGAAATACAATGAATCACACTTACGTTGTCTCCAGCAAAAAACTTGTGGTCTCCCAAATAGTCGGACAAAGCCTTTAGGGACGCCGGCAGGTCCTTGAGATAGTCGCCCTTCAGCTTTTCCTGTGGACATTTGAGATCAAAAGCTTGTTTACCGCTCAATCTTGTTTATAGCAGTTTCATTTATGTTTCATATGACCTATTTGTCAAATGCATACACATCATCATGCTAGTTTGAATAATATCGTACAACCCCCCTCCCCTCCCTCAAAAAAAATTTCTTGTCGCAGAAGATGGATTCCAAATTGCAAATCCCTAAGACATCCAATGCACTGTGAGCAACACTCCATCTCAGAAATGCCCATTTGTGTGAGCAGATAGTTTCGATTTCCTTTTTTTTTACTTTTTACTGTGAGAAATCACTATTTTCGGTGGCTTATTGGTACACAGTCTGCCCAAGGTTTTTATTTATAATCTTTAGCGCTAAGTTTGCAGAAATATGTGAAGATGTCCATCGGTACACTGAAACAAGGCCTGTTCAATTCGTACTCGGCCTCGAGCACTGCATTTTGAACACCTGAGGTTCTTATACGCGTTATCTTAATAGGAGCATGCAGGCATTCTCGAGTATTGCCTGATCACAGTGCAGCTGTCACAACTGGGAATCGAACCTGTACCCTTGGGCCCAGCAGCTCAACACCTCTAAGTCACAGTGCACGGTAACCTCCGAGCCACCGCTGCAGGCAGATAATGATATCACCGCAAGGTAGCGCAATGGCAGCGTCACACTCACGAAGTCGGGGCTGTAGCAGAGACGACCCCAGTTCATACGGAAGTCCGCCAGCTGCTGCTCGACGACGTCGACTCTCTGCTTCTCAGCTTCCGTCTTGCCCACTGCACAACAAGGTGGCATTCAAGTTCCTCAACGGAGTGTTCTGATCACCAGCACAACGGTAAAATGCCGAGCAAGTGAAGTGCCCCCCCACGGGGCAGCACTCTCGCTTCCTTTTTCGAAATATCTTAAATGAGAGCCAATGACCAATACTGGACCAAGCAAGCACCCCCCCCCCCCCCCGAAATGTGGTCAGAATATTCTTGATCGTACATGTGCATGTGGCGGAGCGCTTGCTCTGCATTTTACGGTATAGGATACACAGCCATACCACATGGAGCCAGTACATCCTCGCACAGTTTACGCAATTACTTGTAGAGTTGACAAATTACAATTAAACTGAATTACATGTGAACCTACACAGCTGTTCACTTTGTTGATGCTCTCACAGCTGATGATCATTAAATATATCCAAGAGCTTTTATATCTGTGGTCCCTTAAATACCCACTCGTTGCCAATTCAGATGCTTTCCTGGCGTGATTCGACGCTTCTGCCAGGAAATATGACATGCGTTAAATGGCCCCGCAACACTTTTGAGCATAATCAGAAAACGCTGTAAACCGATAGTTGAGGCTCCCAAGAACAAGCGTGCGAAATGTTAAAGCACAGCACATGGCTTGTATTTTAAAGTAAATTCTCAAAGCAAGCTTAAAACAGTTTTGTCTTCTCTCGACAAATGAGGATACAGGCTCAAAATCACTACGTCCCAGGTCTGGTATCAGCCATTAGCTGATTTGAGCATGGCACGCTCGGTCGTTACTGGGGCTGCCACGGGATGTCGCAACTTGTCCGTAAGGAGCACGCTGTGCTTGGGTTCAATTTTCTCTTGAATCCAAAGATTATTTTATTAGATTTTTCTCGGTTTTTTGGTCGCGGACAAGATCTTTCGCTCACAGCCAACGATGTTGACACTGGAATTGCAGCAAAATGAGGTCTTCAATGCTATCGCGTTAAAAGAAAAGTTTGAGCTAGTCTTACTCAAATCATGCTTCCTGGCAAGGTAACGCAGGATGGCCATGCTTTGGGTAAGCTTGACATCGTCGTCAATGTAGTAGGGCAGCTGCAATTAAAGATGGCACTGTGAGGAGCACACAGAGAAAAATATAGCACATTATAATAAACTTTTCAAGCTGCCGAGTAGGCTGTAAATGGCCTTCTACCTACCAAGCACAGATGTTGGTTTCTAATGCACCAGGCAAAGTCAATAAGCATATACGTGTGCTGGTTACGAGTATATGCACTGCATGTACAACCTGCCATAAAATTTCATACAAGTCATGTATCAGTGATTGATACGAAGTTTCGGTATGATAATTCCTATTATCGGACAATTTACTCCTGTACACAATATACTACGATAGAAATGAGCAATATGGATAACTTCCACCCCCATAAGCATTTTCAATTATTTTTTTTCTTTTGGACAACATGAAGACTAAACTCCTGAAGTAGTTATTTGAGAGCTATGCTTCCAGCTTTTGCCCTTTTGTCTCATGATGTGCTCATAATTTAGCATCTACTTATCGTGAAGCATTGACAAAATATGCATTTTTCTGCAATTAAAAAAACTGCAATTTTTTTGCTTGTCCCAGTCTAGCAAATGTATCTACACGTTGCTGAAAGTTCATATCGATGTTAAAATATTAATAAATAGCCATACCACGCTATAATCAAATCGGGAAGATAGCTTCGTTATGTTAGAAACTTCAGAACAAATGTGCGACATTGAAAGGCTTGCTCGACAACCCCTTGATAACCAATAATTTGCAATATCCGAATTCAACTAATTTGAGTAATTCACGATTCTCTTTTCCAGTGGTGTAAATCATGGTGGGAGGGTCCAGAACCCCACTCCCACTGTGCTTAGGCTGGAGGGTGGGGACACCCTTTCAAGTGATCCCCTTCAAATTTATCTTTCGAACATCGTATATTTGAATGGCTTGACAGTTATAAGTATAGCATGTTCAAAATTTTAATCCCCATTTTTTTATTTTTTACTTTTATTGTGTACCGGTGTATACGACATGTGACATACCGAAATCGCAACTATTGCTGATCTGCTACAGTGACTGACCCAACAGAACAATGCAATTATATTGATTTCAAACTACACAATTCTTGAAGTTTATACGAGTAAAAATAAAACAAGCATTTATATAAACAAAATGGCTGTCATGGCAAGATGTGTGTCCTCCCTTTCAATTTTCCTAAATTTTCGCCAGTTGATATCCTTTCCTTCACACCCATCAGAAAGCAGCTTCCAAAAATTTGCATTAAATCCTCAACCTTATTGGCAGCGCGACACTACATTACACCTACGCTACCAGCAGTGTGTCTTGTATTTCCAAGTTTAAATGAGCTAAACGTCTTCGTACATTGGGGAAATCGAGTCCGAGCTTGGGCTTCTCACTGAGCCAGTAGCTTTTGTCGAAGTCAGGCGGGGGTCCGCACGAGTAGTGCTTCTCCTCTACCTCGGCGTCCACATGAGCAAGCAGCAACCGGATGGGCTGGGCCAACTGGGAAGACAAAAAAAAAGTGCCATGGTTGAACATTGTTAAACCGAGCTAGTCAAGTAAGGAAGGAAAACAGGCAAAAGAAGAGAGGCCGGGATTCTAAACAGTTTATATAAAAACTCGCATCCCTCGCATCCCATGTATTCCCTTAAGACGGCTCGAAGGCGAAAGCCACCTCACTTTTCTTCCCTCTCAGCGTATTAATGCTGCCCTGCCACCCTTGGAAAGCTTTACGCATCTAACGTGGTTTTGCACTGCCTTCAAGATCAGAGGCACCTAATATAGTTTTGCATTGCCTCCGTGATCGAACAACCCTTGATTAAGCTATGTAGCAATGTGATGACGCAATCATATGATGTTGAGTCATGTGATGTCACAGATCTCAGAAATTTGTGACGTCGCATGATGGCGTGATCACATCGCAACACAGCTTGGCCAAAAATGGTCCAGTCATGGAGGCAATGAGGAACTCGTACCCGACGCCGTAAGACAACGCCGCGACAGTGGGATGCCGACGATCGAATTTCGCGATTGATGAGGCATCAAAGAATTTTGCCTTAATGATCGGTATGCTACCTATCAGAAGAGTACAGAACTTGAGAGTGACTAGCAACAATTACCGTGGAAAGCATGCCGCTGCGACGTCACGCTTTAGCAGCGGCACACTGTCTATGTAGCTTCCTTTGTATTGATGACACGTCACGTGACTCCTGGTGTCAACAGCCACACACACTTGCCGGCTAGCAGGACCGACAGAGAGGAACGCGTGGGAGAGAACGTACATTGCGCATGACTGTCGCTATGACGGCGCGCATGTGAGGAGGAAGGGAAGTTTATTGACGTTGTGTGGGCTTCAAGGTCAAGCGCATGCACGAGATTATTCTCTGGGTTTGTGCCGGGAAGAGTCGAGCTATTGCTCTAAAACAACGTGTACAACCCAAAACCTCTGCGACAACCTGATAAGTCAGTCAAAGCTGCATGCGTTCTGGGCCGTTTCGCAACCTCTATTAAAAAAAATTAGGAGTGGCTAGAACTGAGCGTTGGGCGTAGCGTGATATACCTAAAGTATGAGCTACGAATGGACAAACACGTATGGCATGGGCGGACGAACCTTGATGGGCGGAAGGACGGACTAGCAAGCGAGAGATCCACGCTAATCAAGCGCCAGCGCACTAGTGACACGAGGAGCTTCCAGGCCTTCGGCGGACCAGTGGTGTGCCACAAGTATGACGTAACTGCTCCTCGCGCTTGCACAGAACTGCTCTCCGCAAACGCGAAACTGTTCAACCACGACCAGTGTACAGCTCTCACCCTACAAAACTATCGTGCGCTGGAGCACGATGGAGTACATGCAGTGCAATTGTCATAGGATGTACGTATTGCCCCTTTCTCTGAAGCCCTAACCAAACGTGTCAGCGTGTGACGTGCCCTCTCTGACATCTAGAGAGGGTACACCACGCGTTGACGTTTTAGATGTGAAGCAGCTATTTGACTGGCCTGTGTAACGCTGTCCGTCCGTGTCTCCGTTCCAACGCCGAGCTCCCTTCGCCGCAGGTGTTGGGGCGGCGCCAAGTAGGTCAGGCCTTCCATCGCAGTGCACAGTGACGTCTCTCTCTCCCTCGCCTTCCGCGCACTCGCCGCGTACCACCTCTTTATCGCTTCACCCTCTACACTGCTCGCAACGTTCGAGCGCACATCAAGTGAACACTCTTTGGGCTCGTTAATCTGCGATAGAGAGGGCGCCGGAAAGCGAAGCTCCTTCGCCCGCCGAAACATGCGCCGAAACGATTTGGCCTAACCCGGCCGTCGCCAGCGTTGCGAGGGTTAGCAGAGCCGATCGCGTTCGCGAATGGCGACGTCGCGGCTGCAACAACGGCGAGGCGCGAACCAGGCAAGCCGAACGCAATCGTCGGCAGCGGAAGACCAACGACACGTGCGAGGCGCGAGTCAACAACACCGGTCGCGTCCACGCGTAAGTATAGTTGTTATAGCCTAACTGCATGTAGGACGCACCGCATCATTGAAATAAACTGAGTCCGCAAGAACCCACGGCCCTGCGTAGAGCGGCCGAAGTGATCTGCTGGCCCATCGCCTGAACTTCCCTTGCATACTTATGCGCCAAGCAAGCTTACAAATCGACGCTACCGCTAAATTAACAATGCGGTGCGTACAAGACAGCAAAACACACCTTGGACTATTAAGCTCCTCTGTCAATGTATGACCAGGAACGAGGTGATTAGATCAAAGGCTGCGGATCAAGCAGGCATCGATTCACCGCTGAGAAACGGTGGATCCCGAATGTTCTCATAGCAAGCCCATCACACAGATGGGCCGGCATTCTGCCGGTCACATCGGTGCACAAGACCAATACTTTTCTCAGCAAGAGAGCTGAAGCAAAGAACAGAAGAAGCCTGGAAAATGATTAGAGGCGAAGCCCTGCCCCGTTTCCCTATTTTGTGTGTGCAGTTAATGCCTTCTTTACTCCCCGTAAACAAAAAAAAAAATCAATTTTTCGTGTATTCTTAAATTACAGTTTCACAGAACCGAAAAAAAAAAAAACACCCTTACCAAGTGGAAACGCTTTGTACGCGAGAAAACAGAAGAAAACAAGTGATAAGAAAATGTGGGTGGATAGGGGACACTGACATGGGACATTGGTATATTCATGTGCCGATCACTCTGACTTCAAATACCTGAGGCCTACAAAGTTTCTAATTCGGTAAAAAATTTTCTAAACAAATTGAAGTACATTGTATTCTGAGGGGGCCATAGACAACTTCAAGCCAACGACGCCAAAGTACGAAAAAAAAAAAGACAAATGCGAAACCCCGAGCGCGGATATTTCGACGCGAAATTTAAAAATAAAAACTGTCCTTGACTCAACGACGTTAGAGCGCTCAGAGTACAATATATCCCATTTAGTTGTTTCATTTTACTGCTCCCTGCGCTAGACATCTCGCTGGATTGTGAGAACAGGAATCACAATCATTAAGCGGCCCGCGCTCTTTTCATGCTCTTCAACTAATGCTTCGCACCCCCAACGATAGTGAGCCGATTTTTCTGGTGTGGAAATAACTTAGCACGCCGAGTCTGCTACGTGACTAGACATAGCGTAACATCTAGTAACTAATCACGAAACTGAAATCATATATAGTTACACGACTAAAATTACGTCACGTAACTACAGTCACGCGATTAAAATCACATGTCACGTAACTGTTTGCGCGACATGCTTCGGCCAAAACCATTTAAAAGCTGGTCACGAGACGTTTTCGGGGCAAAATTGCCGGACGCGTGCATAGTATGCGGAACTGACCGTAACTAGAGAAGACTAATGGCCAAGTCTAGCCATACTTGGTGCTACAGCAAAAAAAACTTATCGCCACTATAGGCCGGCATTATCGGCAAAGCTTAATTATAGGCCGAACACCAGATTGGCTGGCTACTATAGTTCCATTTTTGCGTCACTACAGCTAGCGCGTTCTGCTGAACACACACAAACACACACAGACACACACATATATATATAGGTATGAGATATGGCACAACGGGAGCGTTGTCAATTAGGATAAATATTTTTATTTCCCAACAGTTTCGGGAGGGGTCCTCCCCTGAAGAAGGGAGGACCCCATCCGAAACTGTTGGGAAATATATTTATCCTTGTTGACAACGCTCCCGTTGTGCCATATCCCATACCTTCACGAAGACTAACTGGCCCATTGAATTATTACTCCCACTATATATATATATATATATATAATAAGGGAAAGAAGTGTATACCTAAGGGCTCGTTTTTCCGTGTTTTAACACAATATTAATGACATCTAACAGACAGTAATGCCAAGGAATGTACAGGGGAAGTTATTAGAACCAATGGAACCAGCCGTGAGCAGCTGCTCACGGCTGGTTATTTTTTCATCCACTTTTCTTTCTTCTTATTTACATTCCATTGGTTCTAATAACTTCCCTTGGCATTACTGTTTGTTAGATCTCATATACATATATATATATATATATATATATATATATATATATATATATATATATATATATATATATATATATATATATATATATATATATATATATATATATATATAAGTAAATACTCCAGAGGAAGGCTGACGTATACGTGGCAAGCCAGAACTCTCATAAAGGAGTGAAAGGACTCGTTTTCTTATAGAGTGAATGCACATGTAATTGAGAGAACATTCACGTGGAACGAGGCATTCTGGATCGAACGACCGGCATTTGCCCGATTGCGCTGTCTCGACAGGGCCGCAACGATGGTGGTGGTTTTGCGATGAACATGTTTAGCTATCGGCCACAAAAGCGATAACTTCTGTGGCTGCCTACCACTGTCGTGAACCGGTGCGAAGAAAGCGTATCGTACGCGGAACGTTATGGAGCACCAGAATCACGGCGCGCGGAGGCGAGCCAGTGGTTTTGTCACCCGGCATTTTTTGTATTTCGCGGCCATTTGTAGTCAGCACAAAAACGCTAATAATTAACAGATATAAAGCTCAATACTGTCTAATCGGACGTTTTGCAAACCGATCTACAGCATTTGAATTGAAAATTTTGACCCATCTTCGCTCCTTCAGAATTTTAGTTAAAAGGGTCTCAATAAACAATTGATTAGAACACAAAGAATCGTCTGATTCACTCAAGACAATGGTCAGCAACATGCATTTGGTCGCGTCATAACTGCACGTGGCGGCATATTTTTAACTGTGGCTAAAGATAGCTGTGGCACCCTGTGTATTGTCTGAGCGACCATCGCATGGCGGTGTTGGCGCGAAACTGCCTTTCGAACCATAACAAAGATGGTGGCGCTCGGCGTGGAGAAAAGACGAGTGCGTGATTTGGATATTTCCTCGTCGTTACTGATAAAGGGAGTTTTGCATCTAAGTAGTTTTGATAAAGCGTAGATCAGGCATCCGAGATGCCGAAATAGGTGGTTATTTCAACTCTTTAAAACAGTTTTTTTTTTGCAATTTCCTGCGTGCGCAGCGTGCTTATGGAAAGTGCAACGCGTATGATGCATTTATTACAAAATGGCAAGAGCGTAGCCAGGAACTTTTCCAGGGGGCGCGGGGGTTTAACTATACTCTATGCAAGTTCATGCGTGCGTTCGTAAGTACACGTGCACACACGCAAGTAAAATTGAAAAGTTTAGGAGCAGGGGGGGGGGGGGGGCGGACCCTCTACTCTTGGCTACACTCATGCAAAATAGGGCTTGTTCATCCTTATTTGCCTCGTTTTGGTCATGGCAGCGATCATGAGGACTTAGACCACTTTCGTATTCTGGTTAGTCTCGATGTCTCCCGATAATACGAGTCCGTGTAGTAATGATCACTAAAACCCCTGGGGGAAAACCAGGCGTACATATGATGCGACTTTCCGGTGATCGCTTACTTGCCACGCATGACTCTCTTCAAAGGAGCACGTTAACTCCCTTGTGGAATCAGAGGACTCTCTAAAGGGAGTAAATACCCCAAGGAGGGCTGACGTATACACTAAAAAAATGTCGAGTAAAAAGGGTGTCATTTTGCCCCACAACAACAATCGTCATCAGGCTTGCGTGCGCTTCCTTTCTTGAAAACTCGGCGCTGGCCACTTTACTATCGAGAATGTATTGTAACCCTGATAATAGGCATGTGGATCGTGACCGGAATGTACCGGGCGCGGGGTGATAGTGCAAGGATGGAACGCAATATAGATAACTATTGTTATGGGACAAAAAGACACCGTTTTCACTCGCTCTTTTTTTACAGTGTACGTGGCAAGCTAGAACTCTCAAAAAGGAGAGAAAGGACTTGCACATGAAATTGAGCGAACATTCACATGGAACGAGGCATCTTGAATCGAACCACGGCGTCCTTGCAGCTGGCTGCAACAAGACTCTGCAGCGTGTCTTGGAGGGTGTGGCAGAAATCGGACCATCCAGATGCACGAACGGTGTCTTACAAGTGTACGCAAGCTCGTGAATATTTAGCACAAATGCAATCGCTATATTTCTCCGGCCAGTTGCGCGAGCTATGATCATATTCGTTTGTTCAATTTTTCATGCGTGCGCGGTAGCTTAACTGTTTCAGAATCAGGTACGGAAAGCTTCGCGTTAGCGTTTGAACTGTCGCCACTGCTCATGCGTCGTATACGCTATTCTCTTGCGTAACATCTTGCGCAAGAGGCGGAAACAGCGTGCGCACGCAACGAATGCTACCCTTGCGTGCGCTTTTCTAAAACTGCACATACAGCGGACAGCGCTTGTCGGGTACAGGTATACATAATATATTATATCGAACAAATTTAAATAGCTTTTTTTTCTCTCTTTAGGTAGCGCTAAGTAAGTCTGCTTAAAGCAGCGGCAGTTATTTTTTGCGATAAAGGAGTCCATTATCTTAGCGCATAACTTCGATCTTTGAGCCGATTCAAGACAACCACTTGGAAGTCCACTCCAGGCACAAAGAATGCCGGAGGCAGAGCTTACATCATTGAGAGACGAGTGCCATTTCTAGGTTTTTAAGCTGGTGATAAGCGGCAGACATATTTGGGGCGTGCCGCGCCGGCCGGCTTTCGTAATTGGCGTGTCCGGCAAACGGAATGCAACGCGAGCGACGCCGCCCAAAAAAAAAAAAAAAAAAAGCTGTCGACCATTTTTTTTTGTCATTGTATCGAAATTCGTGCTTTTTTTTCTGGCGCGCGCACACGGCCTACATCATTGCACGTTTGCCCGCGAAAATATGGAACCGCGAGCAACGTGCGGTATATATATATTCTTAACTTCGAGAATAGTGCAGTATAGGGAACAAAATATTTATTTATTTAATCCTAACAGTTTCAGCTGGCGGACCAGCCTTCTTCGGAGGATTTAAGCGAAAGCATACAAGTTCCCGTAGCACAGGGCCACCCTCACAGTTTGTAGGCCCCCAGAAGGGGAAAAAAACGAAACAAACAAACAAACGAGGCAAGCGACAGACAAGTAGAAGAGAAAGAAAGGAACAACGGAGAGCCGCCGGAAGCGGGCGGGTCCTCTGAAAAAGGCTGGTCCACCAGCCGAAACTGTTAGGATTAAATAAACAAATTATTGTTTTGTTTCCTATACTGCACTATTTTCGTAGTTTATAACATTTATTACGGTAGCCAGAAGAAGCTGTTCATAATATATATATATATATATATATATATATATATATATATATATATATATATATAAGGGAAAGAAGTGTATACCTAAGGGCTCGTTTTTTCCGTGTTTTTAACACAATATTAATGAGATCTAACAGACAGTAATGCTAAGGAATGTACAGGGGAAGTTATTAGAACCAATGGAATGTAAATAAGAAGAAAGAAAAGTGGATGAAAAAATAACCAACCGTGAGCAGGAAACGAACCTACGACATTCGAATAACGCGTTCGATGCTCTAACCACTGAGCTACCACAGCGGGCTTCCCTCCATCCACTTTTTTGGGTTGTTTATATGTGAATTTAGAAGTAGGTATATAAGTTAGTGTAGTATTGTGGGACGCGTTAGCACATGCGGAGAATGATTCGACCGTCGACAACTGAATCCCAGACGATAAGTGGCATTACTAAACCGAGGCGTTCGAATGCATATACTCTCACACCGTGCGCTGAATGTATTTCCAGTTCGGCCCACCATCTTTCCCGCTTATCTCGGAGAGGGGGAACTCCGTGGAGAAGGATGCCGGCTGCAGCCGGGCTCCAGTTACAGCGGCGGGGCGCGGTTACAGAAGCTAAACAAACACAGAGCGGCACGCAAGAGGGCACGCTGACAGCGCGCACCACACAGTTGAGTTCGCACGTATGTGCATCACGCCACAGCACTCAGAGGCACACACAGACATGCCTGAATTACGGTGAAGACGCCCCTTCTCCACACGCACGCACGACGCGCGAAAAAGAAGTCTGGCTACGGCCCCGACCGTCATGCAGGGTTCCACCAAGAAGTTCGATAAGGGTGTGGGGCCTTGTTCTCTGGAGGGATATTAGGGGGGGGGTGTATAAACCCCTACGAAACAGGCGATTATTAAAACTGCCGTTCACGACAGTTCGAAAGAAAATAACGTTTTAACGATCTGCGCATGGAGCGAGACGAATTCTATCGCGGTGACAACGAAAAGAAGGCCAACCATAATAAAAACCCGAAGAAGCGTGCGTGTAGCCCCGGCCGGCTAGCGGTTATGTTTGCAAACAAAGGGGAAAAAAAAAGTAGGAAGAATTTGAGACTGAAGTGTGAGAACGCTGCATGATGTGCTGTAATAGCAGTAGTTAACGCTTAGAAAAGAAAAAAAATATATGCAAACCGTGCAGCTTACCCCGCGAATGTTCCAATAGCCGAGAACAGGAGCCATGGTGCGTACTCGAAGAGAAACCACGCACGGAAATCTGCCGCGACCGCCACGAACACAAGCGAGGCGCGCCGAGGAGCAAATGCAACGGGAGAGGAGGAGCGCTGTCGAAGCGTAGTGCGAAAGTTGAATTTAGTAGAGCATTAGTTGCTAAAGTAACATGTTGTAGATGCTACTTGCTAAAAATGCTGAACTCTCTCTTCTCTGTAAGCAATAGCAATAACCAGTTTATTGCAGTTTTTGTTAAATTAACACGTTTTTATGGTTTAAATATAGGCTCATAGGTGTCGCAAACATCTGCGCGTGCTTTTTTTGTACAACAATTTTGCGTGAACGTTGGTGACACAATGCGCGTGGAAGTTTCCCCCTAAATGTATAAAAGTCAAGGGAGGAGGGTCCGGCCTCAAGCTTGTGGACGCGATTACTTGCCGAAAGAGCTACTTAACCAAAATAAGTTTCCGCCGCGTAATAGCCGGTCTCGGACGATGGGCTGGCGGAAAAAAAAGCTGGATCGTTGCGGTACGGCTATATCGTAGCACTTTGTGCGAGCTTTTTCATCCAACACTGTTGCATTCCGCCATGTAAAATTACGCTACCTATCAACTGCGATAGGCCAAAGGGCTGCTGCTGCAATCAGTACAAACTGAGAAACTGAACCCTGACAACTCTATAATGACGTTAATTTCACCAATTATAGCTTTATTTATACAGGGGAAAATTAAAGCTACGTGTCACTTTTAAATCTCGCGCGGAAATTTTCACACATGACGTCATGGATGACAAGGCGCGCACGATGTATTTTTGGTGCAACAAAAGTTTCTGAAACTTGACACATAAAGTCTGTGATCCCCCTCACAACATGATGTGCTTCTTTTTTACGAATGACCAACTGCGTGTTTCTAGTAGGGGCCGCGAAAATTCGTGACGACACAGTGAATGGTGCGGATTTTCAGGGTGGGCGTCGCCACCCACATTTACTTTTTGTGCGTTTTCTCACGACGAGCCAAACACATCTTTTACGAATACAACAAAAATTGTTATTCTTTAAATGTCATTTAATATTGCCGTCATTGCAGAATTTGACAATGCCCCAAGTAAAACACATCCCGGCTGCGGCGGCCTGCATCTTCCGATGGAGGCGGAAATGTTGTAGGCCCGTGTGCTCAGATTTGGGCGCACGTAAAAGAACCCCAGGTGGCCAAAATTTCCGGAGCCCTTCAATACTCTCTTAATCATATGGTGCTTTTGGGACGTTAAACTCCACATAACATCATCAAATCAAACACACACACACACACCGAGGCGGTGCATTCTTGCAAGTATATTATTCAGCCGGAAACTGTCGAACTCCACCATGTTATCAAGTTCTGTCATGGTGACATTTTAAGCCAATCAGAGGGGCTACTGCAGTACTCTGGGCTAATCGGAGTTGCCCAATGGCAGAATTTCACATAGTAGTATTTGACTGGGTTCATAACACTACGTCTTAGAATAATTTGTCATCACCAGTTGCCACACACGCAAAAGGCAGAAACAAATGTATGCAACTGACGTCTAAAGCTCTTGTACAATATGAAATACAGATTGCCTGAACCATTAGTGCTAATCTAGGCTAATATGAATCTAGTAATGCTCGCCTGAATGTCCATTAGTTTTTATATATGCATGAGCATATCTTGGCATCAATCCCCTCTTCTCGACTATTTGATAGGAGAGTGCTGGCTTACTGTATTTACTTTGACACTACCAGCACTGGTTAAATTCTTGGCAAATGTTGCAATGCTTGGCTGAATGATGACAAGTATTGGTTACACCAGCAAACCACTCTTATGATAGCAACATTCTCTTAGCTGGCTCACTTATATAAGAGAGTTGTCTTACAAATTTTATTCACTGCTGCAGTCTTTCAGGCAAGACTATATATTTCAGCACTCGTAGCACCATACATGCCGCCATGAGTGCCGACTAAAGAGAGTTTAATAAAAGCATAAAAGGGGGAAAACAAATGTGGATAATAAAGTTCCAGGACATCAAAACTAACCATATTCCAAATGTCGGATGGAAGTGAAACCAAACCAATACCCAACTGGGACTGTAGTCGGAGATTACCTTCAGCAACAGTGTCGCGCTTTGCACAAGCCAACATACTCGCTTTTCCTCAGAAAGACAAATGAGCGCACATTAAATGCCATTGAACAGACAGAACCAGAAAAAATACGCTTATCGGTTACTGGTTGGCAACAAAGCATAAATGACCACAGTCGTTGGCAGTCTACATGCGATCATGGCGTATTGCAGTTTGTCAAACATGTTATGAATGCGCTTTGCGTTGTGCAGTGTTTTTCACCTCCTTTGCTGACCTTCTTCATCCAGACAATCAGTGGGTCAGTCACGGACATTGAGCGCATCCCTCAGATACGCTGGATGTGTGGTAATTGTGGAGCTGCACCCTCCTCCTCGAGCATCTATAAAAGATCGGCGTAGAAGTGCTTCCTTGTCCACAATTTGCACATACGTTGTAAATTAAACGTTTTGTTTCCTTCCGGCTGCCCATTGCCTTGCCACTGCCTGGATGCACCCTAACCAGTCCGTTGGCCCTCGCAACACGCTATCCAAGAGACCCCGGGGCCTCTCATAACAATGTCAAACTTCGCAACAGCTGGCTAGTAGCAAGCTTCTGCGCATTCGTAACGCCATACACAGTGACAGCATAACAGGATCTCTTAATGCACCGTACTATACACTATGCATCATACTTGGCTAAAAAAAAAAAAAAGCCGTTTTTTAAAAGAACAACACGTTTTCCTGTCGTCAAACCGACAGCACTTGCAGTTAAAAAAAAGCTAGTTTTCCCGTTAGCGTACCGACAGCACATACAGAAATATACAGTACCTACTGTATATAAAGTATCTACTTCTATACAGTATCTTCTATATGTATACGGTATCTACTTCTTTTGCTAATTACATGTTATCTAATGCATATGATTATGCAGTGAACTGCCACATTCCTAGTCCAAACGAATACTGTCGATCAGTCATCCCACATCGCATGCAAGTGCTACATATTTCGATCAAATTGCCTTTAATTAAAGGTGCCTGAGACAACTTAATCATGTCAATTTCTTGCCTTCTGTGGGTAATGTGGAATCCAAGCAATACAGCAGTGGAAACTTTGAAAAAAAAAAAAAAAAGCAAAAAGGCACTATTTGCACTCTAACCACTTTCTGGCCCATATACAGCGAGACACATCCTTCGGCATCAGAGGTTGCGTATAGCCATGCGGTGGTGACTAGCGACGCCAGAGCCTGTGTGTTCAGATTGGCTTGACAACATGAGAGATGCCCATGTGGTTTCAGATAGGCCACAGTTCAGCGTGCTAGAAAATATATAAACGTATTTTGCCACATACAAAAGGATCCAGGCTTTTAAACATAACTTGAGAACAATTGCAACACAGTGCTAGGTGATCTGCGCAACAGCCACCATAAGACTAGACTTCCAGTATGATTGTGTAAAAGGCATGCAGCGAGTGGAGGTACCCAAGGACATCAGAGGCAGAGTGAAATGAAAAATGGAACATCTATCATGATGTACTCAGATTTGGAAACTCAAGTTCAGCTTCTGTGCATAAATTTTCATATTTTACATTCACCTCTGTGTTCAAAACCATACATACATAAAGTACCGCATTTAAAAGATTGCAGGTCCACCCATTTTGTCATAATTTGAAATCTAAGTTGGGAAGGGGGGTTCGACCTTAAACTAAAACTGGTTTCAGTTGTAAGTTTCTGAAAATTATCCCTGCGTATTTCCAAATCTACCTTTCTGCACAGCTTTAAAGCACTGTCAGAAGTCCTATTCCACTTCATTGCTATTGGAGACATATGTAAACTAATGTTTTTTAAACAAAATGTGCTCGAGGTAATATTTTTTTCAAAGCGATTTGAGGGGCGGCCGATCTGAATTCGAGCAGACTTAATCCTGTAAATATGATAGTAAAAAAAGAAAAAAAAGAAAAAGGTGCTGGGCCCTTTGAGGCCTCGGTCAAACGACTGGAGACATGTCTCAAAGGGGCGAAAGAAATTTGATTTCGTGAAAGCATCTATAGAAGAAGTAAAAGCTAATGCTTATTTTATTGTCAAAGACCTTTGTTCGAAATGAAAGAGAATGAATGCTTGTTTCATGGCTTCTTCTGCAGCCTGCTGCCGAAGCTGGCCATGTCGCCATTGAGGGGCCACTTAATGCACTTGTCCGACTTCAGGTAGGCCGCAACGTGCGGAAGAGCCTGCAAGAAAAGAAATAGGTTTGCGCACATTGGTTAGTGCTCTCACTACACGTCCATGTGGCTTGCAGCAAATTAGCACCAAAAGAGTTACCGTATTTACTAGACTAACACCACAACGATTGTAACGCGAGGGGAGACTGTTCATCGCACCCAAGAATAAAAAATAAAACAAATGAAACGGATTGTGTGAATCGCTGTACATTCTTGACAACCTGAATTTCAGGCACTTGTCACGCAAGGGTCAACCTTAAATACAAGAAATTCGGGAAAAATTTGTGTTACAGTAGAGCAAATACGGTACCTAACAGCTTCACGTACTTTGAAGTTTTCACCATGTAGTGAAGACGAGGAAGAAGAGGGGCTCGGGTGTGTTGCTCTACCCATGATCAGAGTTCGTTTTCAGATGACACTACATTGTGAAAGCCACCGGTGTTTAGCAATAAACGGCCATATGACAAAGTCGAAGCTTCGTAGTAGAGGGCTTTTGGCTTCAAGACTAAGCGTGATAAAGCTAGAAAAATTGTGTATTACCGTATTTACTCGATTCTACCGCGCCCTCGATTGTAATGCGCACCCGATTTCCACCGCAAAAAAAAAAAAAAAAAAACAACAACAAAAAAAAACATAAGACACCGATTGCAACGTTCCCCCCTTTTTTCTCGCTGGCCCGCACGATCACACCACTCGAAAAAACTACTCCTTTTGGGAGCGTCTTTCATTTAAATATGAGGTACGGGCGAAGCTTGTGCCCATCTGACGTGTAACAGAGCATTGTCGTCACTGTAGTTTTACCGTGGACCGATGTGAGCACGCGAACTTGCTTCGCCTCCTTCGTCTCGACGGTTGTGGTGCCAGGCATGTCAAAGTAAAGAGGCGTCTGATCGACATTCCCGATTTGCCCAAGCAGGTAGCTGTTGTTGCGCCGCAAGTTTAGGACGAACCTCTGAAAACCATGAAGCTTTTCATCGTACTCCTCCACAAAAGTTTTCGCATATGCATGTTCCCCTTCGGAGGGAAAAGCGTTTCCTCTTCATAAAGTTAGTTAGCCAGCACCTGCTCGCTTTAAACTGGCTCTGCATTAGACCTTTTTCTAAGACTAATTGCATAGCCCGTATTTGGAGCAGTTCTGTCGTCACGGGCCGCTGTGCCGCTCGCTGCTCAAGCACATACTCGCCGAGCAGCTCATTAATTTGCGGAAACCGACCCTGCTGTGGTCCACTGAAGCCTTTGCGTGAAGCTTTGCTGTCGACAATCTGCTTTTGTTTCCGCCGGTCCCACACGCACGTTTCGGGAAGTCCGAACGACCGCGATGCGGCCCGATTTTAGTCAGTTTCTGCACACGCGATGACTTTTCTTTTAAAAGTGGCATCGTGGTGCACTCGAGTTTTTGGAGTCGGCCCTTCCACGCTGTCGATGCTAATGCACTACTAGATGACGAACTCCTCAGCACACGTACGAAGTGCCGCACATGGGAAACACATCGGCAGAAATGGCCGACGCGCCATGCCGACGCACGTAGGGGGCGGCCATTTTGGATTTGCCGATGGCAATAGATTGACCGAAATTTTTTTGTTACAACATCATCATCAGAGTGTTGGCAAATTGCTGCCACCAACCATTGCTGAAGGCACTGTTCATGGCGCCACGCAAACAAAACTTGATGCCAGTCACAAAAAGATGCACGCACTTCTCGTCTGTCTGGTGGGGTCAACCCGGTCTGGTGTTTTTTTCATCTGCACTGACACTGCAAGTATGCAAGCCTCCAGCGTTTCGCCTTCCTCAAAACGCTACTGCTACAGCCACGAATGAACCCACATGTTCCGGGCCAGTTGCAGAGCACCATTACCAAAGATTGTGTCCCCGACGCAGTTTAGCCAGTCAAGAAAGATCGGACGTGACGTCCGAAACAAAGCTTACGTGCGCTTCCAATCTTGGATGCCACACAACCACCCGCCAGAAGTCAAACTCTGAACAATGTGCGAAGAGCATTTCAGTACTATACCCCGTAACGGCCTTTGGCTAACAGTATAAAATAAATAAACTCGTCCAGCCTGTGTGAAACCCAACATGGCGGCAGCCAAAGCCGAGGGGCATGGCTCAAAATGAGCAATTTAGTGCAGAAAATTGAACTTTGGTACACAGGTTCATCCAAAAATTGGTCGCGGAAATGAATTAGTGCAATGGGAACCCTTACGGTGCACTTATGAAGTCCGAAATACCCAGCGAGTTCGAATTTTCGGAGTCCGAAAAATCCATCAGCCATGGTACCGAGTCTACCGTAATTGCAAAGTAAAAACTTACGACAATTTTTTTTTTTTAGCTTGTGAAACGGCGACAAAACACAAGCACAATGCGACATTCCTCAATGCTTTGTACCTCAATGCGGTCGACGAATGCCTTGAGGTTGGCAAAGTCCTTCAGGCAGTCAGGAGCAAAAATGAGATGTTGGGCAAGCATCTCATAAGCAATGAAGTCAACATAGGTGAGCTGGAAAGAAAATAGAGGGCGAGAGGAAATGCTTACACACCCGAGATCATAATATGGTGTAGCTAACTGAAGTTATTGTAATATAATATAAACATCTCCTCAACACACTCTTACTCCATGCTACATGCAGCAATGAAAAAGACAGGAAGAATAATGCAGAACTGAAGTACACATCTCATTTTAAAAGAAATTGCAAAGACTGAAAGATTGTTTCGGAAATCTACATTCCTGTGTCATTCTTATCAAGTTATACCTCGTATGATTTACACATTCTTTGCCGCAAAAGCTACATTGCATTTTTCCATGCGTGCCATGCTTCTGTTTACCATTCTTACCATCTTGCATGCCATATGAGCTACTTCAGATAATTCCCTCCTGTGCTTTATATTTTGCCATCTACATGTCAAGATGCATTGTTAGTTACCTACCTTTGCTCATCTCCTTCGAAATATGTAAACATGTTTCTAAACAAATTGAAGTGAAAATTATAGAGCCCTGAAATGCACAGTGTCCATGATGTGCCCAACTTACATTGTCCCCAGCAAAGAACTTGTGGGTTCCCAAATAGTCGGAGAAAGCCTTGAGAGAAGCCGGCAGGTTCTTGAGGTAGTCACCCTTCAGCTTTTCCTGAAAGAATGTTAAAACCAAAAGTTAGTTTTCAAGATAAAAACTATTATTAGTTATTTCATTCAATATCTATGGTCTTTGTCATAGGCTTACTGATCAGGATTTCCAGACGAGATATTCGTACGTACAAAAGAAATGAGGTTGAACCGCCAGGCTCACCACGCAAATGCCACGTATCATATTACCAAAACAGCGAATTATAATGCTACACAAAAAAATACCTCTAAAAAATGTCAAAAAATCTGAACACAGTAGCGAAGAGGAAGATCGGAAAGGTTAGAAATTTCTAACAGCGTGTACTGCTGAAGCCGCTTTTTTGGCAAGTAAACTTGTCTACGTCTAGGCAGCAAATTCAAGTCGTTTGTCGAAACATTGGTTTAGCCACAACCACCACTCAAATTTTTAAGAGCTTGCCGAGAGGTGCATCAACAAATTAATTTTACGTCAATCAGTCACAAATGAATACTACTGAAGTGCTCTTGCAAAGGATAAAAAAAAAAAAGGTTTTTTTTTTTTTTTGCTTAACAGTTAAGCCTTTATGTGGCACTTTCGAGCACGCGGTGCGCGAACAGACTCGCGAATTGACTCGCTCAGCTTCGGATCGAATTGCAAGTCCGAGTCCGGGGAGTAATGTAATGGCAAGTTCGAGTCGCGGTGAGTTCGGTTGAGGAAAGTTTAGAGTCCGCCGGTAGAGGAAAGCTTCAATGAGTCTGTCCAAGTAAGCCTTACGTGCGAAATACAATCAAACCTCGATATAAGATAGTAAGATGGTAAGTCTTGAAATTGTCTTGCAATAGATTTATTGTTAGGAACACACCTTTATAACAAACTTAATTGCCTGCAAGATGCAAGTTTGTTCAAATGAGGTCTACGTGTATATTTCTTGAAAGAGCCTGAGTGAGCTCCACGGTGAACACACAAAAAAAAAATAACACAGGACAGGGAAGGTGCAAGAGAAAAAAAAAAAGACGGCGCTGACTCAACTGTTTTTTGGAAAAAACGGGGTGAAAAGTATATATATATAGGTACTGGCCGCCTATATCACGACATGCGCAGAATATGAGGTGCACTGAGGTAGCGTTGTCACTTTCATGGCAATAAACAAGATTGGCCTAAATAACTTCATTCTTTTTCATGCAGTGTGACGAATGGTTCACTAATGAACTTGCTACTACTAATCTTTATATGATATGCCTCAGTGATTTCTCTTGTTAGCTGGTTAGGATGCTTGAAGATGATGAAGGTTCTCTCGAAAATGGGACGACAACCGCATGACCTGCAATGTTCCGGCAGATGAAGTCGCGCGATCCCTTGAAGAGATAACTCATGCTCCCTCAAGTGAACATTCACACATTGTTTCGTTTGTCCCACGTACTCCCTACCACACGATAATGGAGTTAAATACAGAGCTTTTTTACGCATGTGATGCACTTGTTCTTATGATTCACAACGCATCTCCCTTTGGCTTGTTTGTTTTTCAGCGCATTATCAGCCATCGGGCAACCATCGAGCTTTACCTTTTAGTGCCGACCCGTGCAACATAGGCAAGCGCTAAACATCGGAGCTTTTATAGGGGGCAATTAACGAAGTCACAACTGCGATCAACAAAAGAAGAGTGATACTCACGAAATCAGGGTTGTAGCAGAGACGAACCCAGTTCATACGGAAGTCAGCGAACTGCTGCTCAGAGACATCCACTCGCTGCTTCTCGGCTTCAGTCTTGCCCTCTGCGCAAAAAAATCAGCGTTGAAACTCCCCAAACGAGCAGTCTGCGGTGCCAAGATTAGACCCGTTACACTCCTCGAAAGAGTAGTCTCCTGCATTAACATTAAGCAATTGGCCCTAGTTTAATGTCATTAAGCTTAGACAAGTGTATTCTACAGCGAGCAAATTAAATGACTTTAGGGGGAAAAAAATTTGTTGCTGCCATACAGTTCTACTTCCTCCTGTAAATGTACAATTATTTTTCCACAGCAATTCTCAGATGAGTCATTTCACTCAACTTACAATTTTACAATCACACTTAACTGTGAAACTCTCATTTCACAGGGAAGACTCAACATTTTCCTTCTCCAAAACAGTATCCGAGAAATTCCGCAACACTTATTAAAAATACTACTGGTTTTCGCTCAAGTTCCTTTTGTGTTTGTATACTTATTTGTGTTAAGTGTGCTACAGTTATATTTCTTTCCATGTATGCATTAAGAACCTTTCTTGCAAGGACCAATTTCTGGTGTGCAGCAAGCAGATACAATGTGATTTGCAGTTTTCCCGCTGATGTCTTCCATTCAATCCTAGGCCGCTATGTACTACAACAATGTAAATCAAACTAGCCCGAGCTCAAGATTCTGTTGAGGTGAGGTTATATTCACTACAGTTCAAAGAACCAATGCGTCAAAAACTGCAGAGAAATAAAGTCATACCCAAACCATGCTTCCTGGCGAGGTAACGCAGGATAGCCATACTCTGGGTCAGCTTGACATCGCCATCAATGTAGTAAGGCAGCTGTAAATGAAGAAGGAAACACAATGGGGCATGCAGAGAAAAATACCACTTTGACTTTCTCAGAGACTAAAACAGAGCAATGCCCCCCAAAAAGAATCAGACATTGGCAGCTGTTAACTCTAAGGAAATCTGTGCCAAGATCACAGTTTGCACGCCAACTATGAAAACGCCAAAAAGATGTTTTCTCACAAAAATCCAATAAAAACGCATAGCTAGCACTGTATGCCGTCTTACAAAGTGCTGCTGAGATGGTCTTTTACGAATGGTCGAGTAATACTGACCAAATTATACCATGAATTTGCCAAGTCATCAAGCTAGTACGAGAACGTGCTACTGTAGTTGCATTTCATGTGCTGCATATACTCAAATTTATAAAAACTATTCAGATAAGTCAGAACATGCACACTAAATGGCTGGATCAATGGCGTGTGTGTGGCTAGTACCTTGATTGCGTTAGCGTTTGAGGTACTTGTCTACAAGCTACTGCACATAGGCTACTACTGCATAGGCTGGGGTGTTACTTTAGCCGCAGCTTTGTTACTAAAACTCCGTCATTCTAGACATTTCTACGTATTATCGGTGCAGCCTCATAAGAGGTGTACGTTAGTGTTCCAATAAGTATGTCCGAGCCTCACTAGTTCCACCCTGCTCAAAATACAGCAACACCATAAAAAAGATTGAATCCGCAGTGCTGTGATAATCAGCGCAATGTTCCATATACTCAGCTAACAAGGCCAGTTTCCCACCCACAGCGGAAATGCGAACAAGCGAACGAGAGCTCGTCGTACATTGGGGAACTCCAGCCCAAGCTTGGTCTTCTCGTTCAGCCAGGAGCTGCGGTCAAAGTCCGGCGGGGGTCCGCACGTGTAGCGCTTGTCGTCCACCTTGGCGTCCACGTGCGCAAGCAGCAGACGGATGGGCTGGGCCAACTGAAGAAAAAATTGCCGTGGCCAATTAGCAACACATGCAAACTATAGTATAATGAAGCTGTTGCATTTACATTAAAACCACAATATAACAAATTTGGATATAATGAATTATTGGTTATAATGAAGTGATCAATAGCTTTTCCATAAATAGTGTTACAAATAATCGTTTATAACAACAAATTTTCAGATATAACGAAGTATTTTTGTGACAGAAGTGACTGTTATACCGAGGTTTAGGTGTACGTAAAGGCAGCAATGCAAGACAGTTGGAGGACAGTTTCAAGACTGGTTCAAGTGAAGTAGCAAGCTCAAATATTCACTGAACAAGTTGGCCTGCCATTTACGAAATGTGCTGCATGGAACTTTGGGAGTTCGACATGCTAATGCAGTGCTAAATGCCTTGGAGTACCTCGCAAGAGTGGCCCTTATACGAGTAGTTGCTTTACATAGGAACAAGACTTTTTTTTTCAAGAAAATTGCAATAAATTTAACAAGCCACTTTATTGAAAATTCGAGTTTAGCTCGAAAATTTCTAGCACTATCTGTACACTAAGTCTATTCTAAAATACTAAGCTCAAGCTCTTTCAATAAAAAAAAAAAGTCACACTCAAAAGCACCAGTACAGTTTATATTATTAAATTATGTCAGCCATTCAGTGCCGATTTGCAAAATATTTACACTAGACTTTGTAGATCCATGAATGCAAAAATTTGTATATATTGCCCCCAAGTAGTATAATCAAAGATTTGATTGCCGTAGTTCCTTTGACTTGGAAGCTTTAACAGAAAAGATCTGACAGTAGAATTAAGATACAAAGTGAACGATGAACAAAGCCCTGAAAATATGCAAACTCATCACCCTTTCTGTAAAGATACAGCATTTCTCAGTAAGGCAACTAAATTTTCTTCGTTTTTTTTTCTTTAGGAGCAACCTTAATGGCCAATCAACAGCAGTCCTATTAGAACCTGAAATAGATACATTTACTTGCAAAAACAAGCTGTCCTTCTGTACAGCTTGGTTTTGCGAAACCAGCCTAGAAGCACCAGCTAGATCTTATTCAAGGCACTCTCTGCAAATGTTATCACTATGCATAGTTAAAGATACCCATGTTATTGCTTGTTTTTTTTTTTTTCTAAAATATTGTCAGTGGCTGACATCAGAACCACAAGAAATTTGTTGAGACATTCAAGGCATTCTTCAAACTTCGTGCAAGTTTTTCCATTTGAAACCAGCGACACAAAAATTGTGTTGGAGAAAAATTTGGACTATCTTTAGCTGCGAGAAGTGCTCGACACCTCGATAATGGGCGATCATTCCTGATCGGAGCATTTAAGTTGAGCAAATCCTTTTAGCGTAAATGCCATTGCAGTAGGCGGGGCTTATATTGAACGTAACTTCCCGGTATTCGTAAGTTCGATATCGACGCGACATAGCTCTCACACCAGTGCAGCTATCCATACAAAAGAGAGAAGGAAACCCGACAAGTGGGCGGGTGCCTCCTCTCTAGCGTACACAAGTGGTCGTTGCCATGGTTACGGCGAGACGGTGCGCGATGGCGCGCCAGGCACAGCGCGTTCCACCAAGCGCGCCTTTATTCCGTGCATTAAAGGTGACCTAAATACGAGATCGACATTGATTGATTGATATGGGGGGTTTAACGTCCCAAAACCACTCTATGATTATGAGAGACGCCGTAGTGGAGGGCTCCGGAAATTTAGACCACCTGGGGTTCTTTAACGTGCACCCAAATCTGAGCACACGGGCCTACAACATTTCCGCCTCCATCGGAAATGCAGCCGCCGCAGCCGGGATTCGAACCCGCGCCCTGCGGGTCAGCAGCCGAGTGCCTTAGCCACTAGACCACCGCGGCGGGGCACGAGATCGACATTCACATACCTAATTTTCTTTTCTGTATCTCTTTTATTGAGCACCATGAAACAGTGCTGAATACAATAAGCGTCTGAACGATTGCGACAGAGTTGAAAGGCAGGCTAGGTACTAAAAAAAAAAAAAACACTTACGTTCGCATGCAGCTGCAGTGACTATTTAAATTAGAACGCCTCATGTTTCACGTGCCGAATAAAAACGCAACGATGCAGCCGCGGGAATCGAACTCACGCCCTCGTGCTTCACTGCGGAATGCCACGTGGCCACCAACACAAGTGCAGCCGATTCTATATACATAGATATTATAGAATAATTGCGTTTCTAATATCGGCTTTACACACAGAAAGCACTGCAATCAACAGAACATAATCGCACAGGTGAAGCAAGGGAAAAATAGTTTTGTTTAACCACCCGTGTTAGGTCGGCAGCCGCTATCCGCAAATGATGCAAAAAAAAAAAAAAAAAGAAAACATCGTTGAAAAATAACTATTCCACGCGTTACTGCACGCAAATTTCAGCCTGGGCAAAGGTTTTCTGCTGTCAGCACGCAATAATAGTTAGTTACGAGGACAGTTTTTATCTTTCCCGCGCAAAAGAGCGTAGCTGATTGCCCCGCCGGGTCTTATCGCGAACAGAGTACCTTTTCCTCCGTGCCGCAAAACCGTTAACGGAAAGGCTTTTGTCGCGATAAGTGAGCCATTTATTGTAGCATGGACGAACGGCCTTTCCGAACTGCATGCAACCTGTTGCTAACGGCCGACTTAAACCAGCGAATGCGAAGTTTAAAGTAAAGTTTAACGTTCCTTTAACGCTGTAGGCAAAGCCGGCATCTCAGACGCATGTATGTGCTTCAAAATTCCTTTTTTTTTAAAGCAAGCCAGACTACCTGGGCGTGACGCGCCGGCCGGTCTGCGTAATTGGGTGTCCGGCGTGGAGAATGCAACCCGACCCCGCCTTAAAAAGAAGCCCATGATTCCAGTATTTGTGATATCTTCGAATTCGTTCGTGCTTCATTCGGCATCGAATAGATGCGACCACGGAAATTGTAGTCGACCCGGTTGTGATGCAGGTTCACAGCGCTAAACTAGCCATACATCGATAAAAATGGGTTCGTATGAGCGTTTGTATGTTATTCATGCACGTGCCACACGCTTTGGGATTTAAGAAACGCCCCGAGTTTCCGTCGAAGACGACCCAAAAACGAAGACCGAAAAAAGGGAGTAAAATGTAAAGCGAAACTCCTCAAAGGCAGCACTTACGACGACACATTAAAGCCGAGCAAAGGATTCGCAGACTGCTCGATTTCAAGTTGCACTAGATTGCCGACTTCAATAAAATAAGATGGCGCGCCCCCCGGCCGGCGTGCAGCCCCGGCCGGATAACGGCCGGGTCTTCGAGAAAAGTACACAAAGACAGCGCCAAGTATGAGAAAGATAGAAAAGCAGAGACGGTAAATGAATGCAGTTACCGTAGTTAAACGCTTACAAAACATGCGAACAGCCTCGCTTACCCCGCGAATGTCCCAGTAGCCGAGCACAGGAGCCATGGTTGATGATAAAGTTCGCGCTCAAATGAAACACCACGCACGGAAAAGTACCACGACCGCTTGCTAGGCGCGCCAAGAAGCGAATGTTGCGCCGCCGATTTTCCCGGTTGGCTGCTCAGCTCGAACCTGTTGCGGGAAAGCGCAACACTCGAGCCAATCCTGACGCGGCACTCTTAGGAAAACAGCGTAGTTCACAAAGTTGCCGCTGCGAACTACTTCTGTCTCATTGTCGCTTTTTATTGGCGCTACACGTGCACTCTAACGAGCAAATTTTTATACTTGGTTGACTTGCAGCGCCAGTAATTTGGGTTGTTTGGAATGTTACTGCGTGTAGCGGCGAGATTAGGAACTAACGCAAACACTACAACCTTGGCGAGGCTAGAGCAGGTAAGTAGCTCTCTGTTGGAGCCTGGAGAAAGAGAAGGCGCCGAAGCGTAGCGTGATGATGAAGTTGAATTTGGCAACAAGTTGCCCGACACACCTTCAAAAACCGCAATAATGAAAACATTGTTTTGAGCATTACATAACATTTCTGCCATCTGTCAGCCGTAGTGCAACAAATTTCAATCGTTTCTTTTTAAATTTGAACGCGTAAATGTTTGGTATTGTCATACATAGATGGCGCTAATGTCGGTAAGTTATTTTTAATTGTAACAATTTTGTGTTTGTTTTTAGGGCGTGCGGTGCGTGGAAGTTTTTTGCCTAAGACGCAAAAGGTCTGAGAGAGGAGGGTTGCGGCCGCGCGTAGAAGTGGGTCGTGCAGGCACGATGCGGGACGGAAGGAAGAACAAAAATAAAGTTGTTTCCGCCGCATAATAGCCGGTCTTGGACGGTGGGCAGTGCCGGAAAAGACAGCTGAATCCCGTCAATGGCACGGCGCCTTGGCAGCGCTTTGTACGGCGCTTTAATTACGGCGCGCTGCCTTGAGTGAAGGCTGTCTGGGGCGCCTTGTCTCGCCACATCACCCCCCTCCCCCTTCACTGTGTCGCGGCTGTTACAAAACGCTGTTAGAACAGGAATAACAGTACAATGCCTGTGGGTGACTCAGTCACGTCCTTGAACGGATCCGTGCGCGCAGGCGTATTTTTGGCGTGTCGTGCGCCTGTCCGAGCTAAGAATATTGGCATGTACCAATGCCACGTACGCGGACTACCTCCGGAAAATAATCGAAGGATATTTTACTCGATCCTCGTGGCACGAAATGTGCTCATCGCATGTGTCGGCGCCAAGCACACACGCATTATTGTGTTGCCTTATATATGTGCATATAATGGTCGTGTATTGCAGTGAACATTGCACTTATGCAATGTTCACTGCTTCTTCAAATTAACACAATGAATTTTCATTTGCATGCAGTTTTGCCAAACGAAAAAAAAAAATCACACGTGTACGTGGTTCATAAAACTTAATATAATATATATTTAAACAATTAGGGTAAAAAAAAAAGGCATGTAGACCAATAAATAAAAAAAGCTCACTTTTTAATATAACTATTGATTTCAAAATAATATCAGCATTTTCTTTTTGCTCTTTTTGCTAAATGCTTTCTGTTAACAAAAATAAACTCAAATGCAATAGCTGCCATACGGCCACTTTTCTAATTATCCTATATGAACAGTAGCACCAATATATGTCAGTCTTGTGGTGATGGTGTCGACGCTATCTTCACATCTTATCCCTGCGCAGCACACCTCCAAGAAAAGTCCGCTTACGTATAACAGGTACACACTTAGGACAACTGAAAAAAAAACCTTTTAGTTTTTATTTATCTTGGCACGCAAAACGAGGAACAGCGACGGCTAGGGCTCAACGGAACCCATACAGGACAGATCTCACTGTAACATCAATTCTGTGCTTTCTTCAACATTTTGTGCACTGAGAATTAAGTTTTATTCACTGTCTTAACTTTCACCAATTAAATCTAACAGCTGCGCATTCATGCAACACACCTCTTTCAGTGGTCACCAATATTGCCGGCACCTACCGGAACCACCTGAGGTCACACACTATACGTAGCCCATGACTACGTCCCCAGCTGCTTTTCGTCCTTGCTATGTTTCTAGACAAACGGAAGAGTTTAGGCTCGAAATATGTCCTTTTAAAGTTCATTTTTCATCCACTCGGCAGGAAAAGATCACGCATAATCAAGCAGGTAGCTGAGCAATTCATTTTCCCACAGGGAATTCCATAAATTATGGTGTAATTTTGCTAATGTGGAAAAGTATTTCAATTATAATTTATCTTTAGTGCCCCTTTTAAGTGCATGTAAAATAAAAAGTCATAAAAACGTGTCTTCCAATTTTACATGCACTTTATGGAATGCACGTTTGTGAGCTTCATTTTCCGTTTGCAATCCATTCCTTTACAGACAAGAACATTAAACTGAGAATTTTTACTGATATGTCATATATGATAACCACGCATTTTAACATACAGACTTAATATATCCATATTACTGTATAGATATGACAGATACCAAATATATTTACACATAAGCTCCCAAGATAAGCAAGGTTTGGCATGATAATGTGCAAATCAGTACTTCCCCTACGTAACAAAAAGAAGGGAAATAAAGATATAGTAGACTCGTGATAATTCAAACTTTGATAATTCATACTTTTGGTTAAATAAAACAAAGTTCAATTTTTTGATTGGCCCTCTATTCTTTCTATGTATTTAAATGCCTCTTAATTCAAACTCCATCATTTGGTTAATTTATACTTTTTGCAGGTCCATACGAAGAAATATCAGCTGTTTTCTCACTACTATTTAAAAATTTATGTGCTTATATAATCCCAACAGTCTCAAAATGAAAAATAAGCACCGTGAGGCCTTCAAGAAAAAAAGGTTTTGCAAGTAAACAAATGTTTGAAACCGTGATGCTGCTCAACTGGTATAGAGAGCTTTGTGCTGAAGGCACATATGTATAGCAATGAAGCAGTTGGCAATTCACGATTTTTTCAAAAGGTCTGATCAGCAGTAAATGGCTAATAAACTTGTAGAATTTACACCTCTGCTTTCTGTTCACTGGGTGTAGATAGGGCTTAAAAAACTAAAAAAAATTTGTTGATGTGATAAAATGAATGCTTAATCATAATGTGTGGTGTCACCTTACCCAGAGTCCTATATTTGAGAACTTCCGATAATTCAAGCAAAATTCAGAGGTCCCTTTGAGTTCGAATTAACGAGAGCGGACTGCATTCCCTTTTTAATGCCTTCCTTTGGGCTATCTGTAATCTATAACTAAGTGATAGGCAGTGATACAGTGTATAAGCTAGTTAAGCAGCAATTTACAACTTCATTAAATAACAGTGAAACACAAACTGTGAGCTTTATTATAGGCAGAACTTCAATAACAACTCAAGCCAAGAATATATTGTTCAAATATGCAAGACACGAGATTCACTAAGCACCTCAAGAAATGTCTAAAATGTAAGCTGCATAGATTTTAAAAAATGGCTAGAGCATTGAAGGACCTTAGAGGGTGACTAAACAAAAAGATAACTAAACAAAAAAAAAGATGAATGCGTCAAAATCAACACAGTATCGCCCATATAATGAATATTAACATACTGATGGTTTTTCTGAGGAACTGCATTTTTCGAAAGTGAAGGGAGGGTGTAATCTATTTAGCATGCCACTTTTCCCATTGCCACAAACATGCAGCCTCAGCATAATGCTTAGTTATCACAAATCATACAATTTCGTGACTAGAATGCCTTGCTGAATGTGTTAATGCCAACTGACCGCATCACCAAGGCTGTGTGATGAGGTCAGTTGTGCACAAAATTATGCCTTCATCAAAGCACACAGCATGATCACGTGCGTATATCAAGGCACGGTAGACAGGCCAATTTCAGTGTAGGGGACTTGATGCGAGCTTTTTCTTCCCACATAGGCAGTGTCATGATACTCAGCAAACGCCTTACGTTTACTTGTTGTTACAGTTATGCATTTCATGGATTAAGCTCGATTGTATCACAATTCAACTACATTGCTGGCGAATGAAAATAACCACTTCTACAACAACACCTAATTATATGGCTAAACAGTTCAAACTAGCCAAAAATGTTAATCAGGGAAATTATCACCTTAAACAACAAAGTTGTTCCATTTTCTCTTTTTGTAAACAAGTACATAAAGCATTACTACCAATGTGATGCAAGCGGTCAAACTTCTTTTAGAACACTAATCAGCGACACATACTAAATAAAATATTGCTCTAAAGAACAATGCCCTCGGAAACCATGCATAGAATAAACTCAAACCTCAATGTAACAAAATTAAGTTTGTTATATCTGAAAATCCATTATAAAGGTTTATTTGTAACACTATGTCTATTGCAACATAATTTTTCAATTACTTCATTATTACTGATATTTCGTTATATCTGGGTTCGTTATGTCGTGGTTTGAATGTAGCTACAACTAAGTTCCAATGCATGTGCATTCGACGTGGGAACAGTAAATTCATCTGAGTGCAACATCCCAACGCCAGCTTCAAACTCGCAGTAACATGTTTGATTTTGCTATCAAATTCCCTTAATAAACAAACATTGTTGCATGATGCTCATAAAACACTAGTCGAACAATATCACACTATGAAGGAATATTCCGAGCCACATATTGCCTACATAACTGTATAAAGGTAGTATTAAAATGCTCTTGAAACTGTGAAATTATAGGAAAGCTCAGTGATAGTCAACACTAACATATAAATGACTAACATTAATTAACAAGCTAACATATAAACCACAATCAACATTGCCAACAAGTGCCACTATCACATGCAAAGTCAAAGTTAGTGGTGCTTAGCATAAAATACAAAATTTGTACAATGCAGCTATCAACAGGTTCAATAACACATGTTCAACATTTTAAAGCAATAAGTACTTAGGCTATCAGATACAATGTAGTCAAGGAGCTTCAATTGATTTGATTGGTAATAGTAGTTTCCTCACTGTGTACTTAAATATATAAATGCACAAGTCTTTGTGCATACCGTTCCAATCTAATCAGTTATGCAGACGCTGTGACTGAAAACTTAGATTGCGTCAATATCCTATCAGTCACGTAACATAGAGTAATTGTGTCACCTGGGTTAAATGTTAACAGCAACAAACTACAATGTAGAGACCACGCATAGAAGGCAACATGTGCCTTAAAATATATAGTAGCCTTAAAAATATAGGATCATATATGCTTACAGTATGACAGTATGCAGTAGCAATAAGTACTTGCTTTCAAAATAAGTTAGGCATTTTCACCATGTGCCGAGACTGTCAGTCACAGCTGACGCGCAGTGCCTTTCTGCTTCTTTGCGCATGGACGTCTGCAAACCTGTTCAAATATTCCATGTGGCTTTTCGGCTTTTCTCATGCATGTAGAACCTACACCATAGCATTGGAATTGCAAGTTTGTAAAATCTTCGCAGGAACCGAACCAATGTTGAAGGGTCAGGCAAGTAAGAAGCTGAAGCGGCTGGTCAAAGTATATAAGTCCAGGACAAACACACATTCTTTCTTAACGAGGTACTCCATGTGAACACTGGTGAAAAAGCTAAGTGGGGCCACCCAAAAGAAGAACAGCGCCTAACTCGCAGTAATAAACTGCTAAGCCACCATACGGGATTGTGTCAGTTCTTGTACATCTCCCAAAATGAGATGATCACACGGCAGTATTGCCGATTTAAGTACGTCCACTTGTAAGTGAAGTAATCCTGTGTATGCGTGGAAGAGCCGTGCAGGCAAGCAGCTCGTGGCAACACATCCAAGTAATAAATTATAAATTGCTTTTCTTTATGACCATCACTCGGAATTAAGTGTGTACGAGAGTCAAATATGAAGCGCGTAGGCGTGAGCATGAACACACAGTAGTTAGCTGCACCAGCAAGAAGTCGTGTCTATGAAAAAACAAGGTACAGCGGTGAATTACAAAAATTTGTGGGAGGTCGTCGACGATTGCCACCCTGAGTGCATGGCGTGACTATTTGGCACGTTTCGACCAGCGCACATGTAAGCTGGGGACATTCAAATGGTTATTGTAATAAGTTCAATAAAACAATTATAATATAATGTCCAGAAACAACTACACTAAAATAAACAAAATGCAGAAGAAGTTACCGTCAGTGTTATGAATAAGGGACTTTTTCTTGCAAAGAGAATGTTTCGAGCTGAAACTCTGCGGCCCTGCTCAGAAAAAATTCAGCGATTACGAAACTGCCTAATGGGAATTATGAGTGCAGCTGTTTAGGTATTTTGATTTTGCGACAGGCTCAGCAAATGCCCATATCTCAATGTGACACAGCAAAGAGCAAGTTGAAGTACAGAATGCTCAGTTTGTGCATTAACGTAACATGGTGAAAGCAGCGTCCCCAACTACTGCTCCCACTGGCTGATGTGGATGTCCCTTAAGGGTCTGCCAATGCCTACCACATACAAAGTATCCCTTCGTCTAACGAATGTCTTCTCCCAAGCCTCGCAGGTCCACCCACTTTCTCCTGCCAGTGTGCAAGAGGCATACGTAGCACTGTCACAAGAAGGGCGAGCAGGCATGAGGCATTGCAGAAACTAATACAGTGGCTCGCTGGTTCTCATCATTCATCACTCCTTGGGATAGTCTCTCTTTCACGATCTTTCATCCTCATTTACTCTACCGGTTATGCTGACGTCGAAGCCGCTCAATACTGAAATAGATGCCTAAAAGCCGCACTCTAAAGCGTTAGCCGATACTGACTGAAAAGCAGTGCAGTTTATATGCATGTTCTAGGTCCTATGTCTGGCACAAGCTGGCACCCATAACAGTGAATTGCAGAGGTTGTGCAACCGAGGTGGCTGTTAATTGTCACCCTAGTACATGGAAAAATGACTGCTTCAGGTCTGTCGATCATTATGGAGTTACACCGATGGAGTCGCCAAACTTCTAGACCAATTTATGACATGAGAGTGAAGACAGAGAAATATGGAAGAAAAAGACTATTATTTGCATGAGTTCCCACGAAATACTTGACATTAATCTGCGCAAGCTTTGAACTGTTTTCATTCTTTACATACACCATAATTTTTTACCTTACAGTCGATGCCCCCAACACCAACGACAATGCACTTTTTGTGACATGAGCTCCTTCATCCTATCACATTACAATTGTGAAAGCAGACACTCTGGCATGACTGAAAGTCAAAGAAACAGCATTGGTCCTACACAGAACAGATAGTTACACTAGAATGGATTAGTACCAACTAGCCTAACTAGCCATTCTTCTGCTTACACAGCACAAGCAATGCAAGGACTGCGTGATGCCAGCTCCAAAGCTGGCATCACGGAGTCCCATACAAAGGAACATTGTAAAACTAGAAGCAATGGATACATTAAACTAATATACGTAATAATAACTAGTAATGTCATAGGTCAATGCTTCATGTTTTGCCTCAGGGCATCGCTGTGAGCGTCCTGGCCCCACACAGAGGCAAAGAGTTCATTCTCCCGCTGCAACGCTTCCTGGAGAGGCAAGTTTCGGGCAGCCACCATGCCAAGCTTGATGGCTCGCATAATCTCGGTAGTTCCTTTGATCCGCTCGCTGATCCACTGCAGTGCTTGCTCCTTAGTGTCCTGCTCGTCCCCCAGAACATGACTCGCGAAGCCCGTCCGAGTCGCTTCGGCAGGGCGTAGTGGTCGTCCTGAGGCAAACAGATCCAACGCCAATGTGGGACCTGCCACGAAGATGAGCCAACGTCAAAACTCTGAAGTCCTGAGGTTCAACGAAAGTTAAGGTTTGATATAATCCAACATACTCCAATGTAGCATGCGAGTGCAGATCACGAGAACGTCACCTTGGCAAAGCGCCGCCCTCTAATCCCAGTGCTTTCGACCATTAATGGGATCAAGGGCTTTTGGTGCACTTTGATATTATCTGGATCCAAATAGCTCTTGTGACATTTTGCACTAGGTGCGTGCACCCATACTGAACTCACACGCACAGAAACCTGTTTCGCAACCTGTTTTGTGGGTTTTGTAGACTCCAGACAAGTGGCATGGAGTGTTGTTTGCCCTACTGTGCGCGCACATTCCTCAACTGCGATCATGTAATCGCACTGGAACTGGTTTGACTGCAGAAGAGCCCAATTCGCACCTGGCTTAGCATTGCTGGCTTGAAATGACAAAATGTAACAGCCTTGCAGGAACATTTTGGGTAAGTTGGAGTGTAACTGAGCATTTAGTCGCTTCACTAGTAAATGGTGCAGCAAAACCTCACTATAATTATGTTGAATCTAACAATAAATAGCTTTGCTATAATCAAGGAGTCATTAGACATGTATATTTGTAACACTGTATAAATGTCAAGACTTCAGTTGCTTCATTATAATGAATAATTTGTTATATCCAGAATTTATTTGATGACTGATATGTGGGGTTTAACATCCCAAAACCACCACACGATTATGAGACACATCGTAGTGGAAGGCTCCGGAAATTTCGACCACCTGAGGTTCTTTAACGTGCACCCAAATCTGAGCCCACGGGCCTACATTTCTGCCTCCATCGGAAATGCAGCCGCTGTAGCCGTGATTCGATTCTGCGACCTGCGGGTCAGCAGCCGAGTACTTTAGCCACTAGGCCACCGCGGCGGGGCTCCAGAATTTCTTTATAAACGTGCAATCGCACTGTTTCAATGACATGACCAATCTTGACATACTTCATCCTAATGAATAATTTGTTATTAACCAAAAGTTTATTGCAAACATATTTTGTTACACCACACTATTGACAAGGCTATGGTTCATTTTCTTCATATAACCCATAGTTCGTTATACCCACATTAATTTAGCAATGTTTTATTTTATATACACTTGGTGTGTACAGAGACACATTTAAGGATACACACCATTAGTGTTTATGTCACTGAGGGCAAGGTGTACACATTTGTGAATATAATTTGTTTTTGCAGTTTTGCGCAGTGATGGCAAGAAATAAATGGGGGCAGCTTGCACTAGTGGTGCAAGGCTGGACTAACAAAAGAACTTGTGTTTGGCTCCATTAATTAGCAAGGTCTTAACTAACCTGTACATAATTAGCCATGTCTTCATTATCATGACCTCATTGAGTGTGGTCTCAATTAGTAAGATCATAATTAGCATAACCCTAACTTGCATGGTCCTCTCTGTTGTTGTTTCTCTGTTTTTTTGATTAAGCACTCCTTTTTATTTTATTCAGAAGGCACAGGCATTGAAAAAATGCCTCAATTGTGCATCCATTATGTCAACCTGAGAAGGTGCACTGGACACAGACCTTATCATCCGCAAAATTACTAGTTTATGCCGAGACATGTACTACTGCCCTTCTCAATGCTTGTATGCTGTTGCCATGAGAAAGCTGTCTTTATTTGTGGTCAATCTTTATTTTATTTTATTTATTTTCAAATACTGCAACCCAATCAGGGCTGTTGCAGGAGTGGGGTACATTTACATGAACAAAATACACTGATTACAAGGTTGACATAAAAAAAACATTATAACAGTGCGTCTACAAATTCCGACTACGATAATTCACGAATACTACCGGGTAAGTCATTCCACATTTCAATAACTCTAGGAAAAAAACTGTTCTTGAAAATGTTCGTGTGTGTAAAGAAAGGCTTTAAGTTGAGGCTGTGGTAACGTCTAGTTGAAAGAGTATCAGCATACGAGATGTAATCATCTGAAGATAGTCCGCAAGATGAGTGAAGAAATGAATGCGGTAGCTTCAAAGAATCGGTATCCCGTCTGGTGGATAGGAGAGGGAGTTTCAAGGAAGTCATTGCTGATGAAGATGAAAAGTTATGATCGTAGTGATGGCAAATGAAACAAACCGCTTTTCTTTGAACAGATTCAATTTTGTTGACGTCGCATGTTATACACGGGTTTCCAGACACATGAAGCATATTCTAGTATAGGGCGTATGAGCGTTTTATACAACAGTAACTTGGTGCATTTCGGAGATTTAGATGACGTACGACGCAGGTAACTTAATTTTTTCAGTGCTTTGGATGTGATGTAATCAATATGCCGCGACCAATGTAAGTTGTGTGATAAGATAACCCCAAGGTATTCATACTCTTGTGCCCTGGGAATTATTGTGTTCTTGGAAGTGTAATCATGCAACAATGGAGAACGGCTGTTAGTGAATGATACCACAACAGTTTTCTGTAGTGGCATCATTCATTTGTCCTCTCCTTTTTGTTAAGACAAAAAGGAGAGGACAAAGAGAGTGTGCATCATCCATTGCAAGCACTAGGCACAGCTTAGTTATCTAGCCATAGAAAACTGTAGAATCAAAAGTATAAACAGCCTAGTCGTTAAAAGAAAAAAGTGAATTTTGAGCTTTGACACAACTGAAGCACCAGCATTTCAGATGTATATCTGCAGGCAGTCCACAGAAAGCCGCATATTGTTATGAAAAGCATATTTATGAATGCGCTATTATTAGCATGTTTTACTGGTGATTGAAGGTGACATGTGTAAGTAATGGCAATTTTTTTTTTTTTTCAAAATGCTTGCAGTTAATTTCTGTGGTTCCTGCAAGCTACTAAATTCATATGATACAGAAATACAACTTGCATTACTGTGCAATAGAAAACGAATGTTACACTAATCTATGATAGTGCATGAGGACTCTACGTGTAAGGCAAGATCCAGTCCCCTCTCTGTCTTTCTGGTAATGGAGTGCCATGCACCTTGAAATAAAGTTCTTCAAGCCTATTCACTGAGGGCTTAATTCATGTCCGATGGCAATATAATACCCATAACGTCTATTGTACAAAGGCCATCAACTGAGCCTGTTATTGTAGTAACTGCAACAATGTTTTTACCACTTCTGACCAATTAAGTTGTTCACATGGTAACCCAGCAGCTAAACCAAAAATAGTGTTTTGCCTTTGTATGAATATAACAGTGCACATGAAATGGGTAGTATCAGGAGGACAACACAAAAACTCTACAAAATGAGCAAACATTTTCTTTTTCATATGAAAAGTAAGAACAAGTGAAATCCAGAATCGAAGAAAGGAGCTGTTTCTCTGACAAACGCAACTATTTCTGCAGGGGACGTTTTTCTGGCCACTTGCTTTATTTTTCTATATAAAATGCATGCAATGTTCTCCATACACAGGGCTACTGCCGTTTTTGTAAATCGAAACACACAGCTGCTGTCCTTACCTGACACACACTATTCCCGCAGCAGTCTACTGAAACAAGGCACTGCTCACAACTTTTTAAATAAAAATTGCACATCAGCCTTGCTGGTGCATTGTATTAAGGGGAAAATCTGTTATAACTCACCAGAATACATCAGGTATACAACAAGTTACAGTCATAGCGTAAGTATTCACCTGATTGCACATTTTTCATTGATGCTGTCTGAGAAAGGGTGTTTACTGACAGAGACCACGACAAATAAAAACAAGTTTCTTTCCATTCTCGGAGACCTGAGGCAGTCAAAGAACTAGCTTTTGAAAGAGTTTGACATGATTTAAAACTGTGCCTTGGGTTATACTTAAAAACTGTCATGATGACAAAAACAAACTTAAAAATTCTGGAACAGTAAAGTATGCAAAAGCCTTGTACACATGACATGAACCCTTCCAGATGTCACCTATTAAGAACTCTCTGTAAATGTGTCAAATCACTAGGTTACTTCAAGGCAATCTATAGTTTATAGCAACAAGAATAATGGGATAAATAATGGGATAATCATTGAACTTTTGTGTGATATTGTAACTTGTTTTAATTAAATTATATCTAACTATCTGTTTATCCTGTATTCACTGATGCTTACTAGTGGCATAAACAGAATGAAATCCCAGGCTAGGAATACAGTTCAAATTTATTTTTGATTATGTCAACTTTGAGAGCAAAAAAAAAAAAAATCTGCTTTTCACATTGCTTGCCAAGATAGGACCTTCAGAAAAGTGATCATATGTATCAGTATATAACAAAATGGAGACAAATTTAATGTGCATAAGGTTCAACTCATCCAGCGTACGATATATTATCTTGCTCTTTCTTAGCCTCTACTTGATGCAGATAACAAAAACAAGTGGAGTACACAATTGTGTACACGGCATCTCAAAGGGTTAAGAGTGTGACAATGATTGTGCCATGTACAAAGATAACTGCCCATAATATACAAAAAAATAATTATGGGGTTATATTTACGCGCCATACATAGGATATATAATTGAGAGGATATTCACCTGCAGGTGACTTCAGATTAAATATTTACCTTCTGGGGCTTTTTAATCTGCAGCTGAATTCAAGTACTATACGGGTGTCTGATTAGTCCCCATCAAAACATGGCTGCTGCGGTTGGGTGTCGACCTGCCATGCTTGTCTAGTTGTTATGGTGCTTGGCTGCTGACTTGAAAGTAGTGAAATGAAACAGATCCCCAACATGGTGGCCACACTTTAATGAAGGTGAAGTGCTGCAGGTCTGTGCACTTAGCTTTCAGTGAATGGTAGAGAACACCAGACTGTCAAAACATTCAGAGCTACGATGTCCCTTATAACCGTATTGCGGTATCGGGGCGTAAAAACCTACAGTTATTATAGTAGTTAGCTAGCGGCTGGGCGTTGAACCTGCTAATCAGGCTTAGTGATACTGCTAATTAGCTTCTAATTAAGCCAAAATATTAAATAAGGGTTTATTAATGCAGCCAAACATAGGCTTACGAAAGCCACCAAAGTGAAGGGCCCTTTACAAACTTTGACGACCTTACTTTGGATACACATTCGAAACTGAATTCTGTCACTCTAATGCAGCCATGGCAACCAAAAAACGAATCTATGACTTCGCACACAGCTCATAAGTAGCCACTGAGCTGCAACAGCCGCATCAAGATCTGTGACATGGAACACGGGCCCCAGGCGTGTCTGCACCACAAATCATCTTTATCAAGAGAGGGAGCCACCAATGCATGAGCAGGTCATTTTGATAAGCGCTACTCATAGCTGATGATGACTTAAGGTAAGCACGACAAGAATCCGGAATCCAGAAATTTTGCGCTCACCAACAATCTGCGTTAGCCGTGTCATGCCGCCCCACGCAGAAGTGATCCCCATGCGCGCGTGGACGAACTGGACTTCGGAGTTGGGTGCCATGATGCGGAAGTCCGCTGCCGTGGTCAGCTCGGCTCCCCCACCGATTGCACGACCTTCTACTAGGACAGCGGTGATCATGGGCAGATTGCTGAACCTGGTCAAAACCAGAGCACGAAAAGTGTAGACGGCACCCATTTTAGCATTTCTACAAATAACGAGACTATACGAAATTTCGTGTTATAATTATAAAAATTTTTAAAATATCCGGTGGTGCATAGTGCAAACTTACCAAATTGCATTCATTCAAGAGACAGATGTTGCAAAATAATTACAATGTAAATAAAACGCTTAGCTGAATAACTAAAAACTTAACAATTACATTTTAAATTATTATTTAAGTGTACTTATTGTGATGCATGAAATGAAGGCAGTGATTTTGTAAGGAACACGCACTAAGATCCAATTTCAGTACCCACAAGTTAGACATAAGTTAAAGTCTGTTTATGGTGCAGTAAAAATACACTGTTGTTCCAGTTACTCATTTAACAAAATGTCTCTTTGTGCATTAAAACTAAAAAGTAATTAGAACAACAATACAAACTTCACTGCAATTTTTGGCGGTGAATGTCTAGAAATTGCCATCATTTTTTCCACATGAATTATATTTTGAACTCGCCAACTACATTTCCTATTTACCAATATGTGCCACATGATTGTTGGTGTAAACGTTCAGAAAACTGCATTTATTAGTCCCGTATTAGGCTTAATTTTCAATAAAAATAATGCGTATAACAGAACTGTGCAACATGACACCAGCCATTTCAGAAAATCCCGCTATGATAAAAGAAAACACCCTATATATTTTAACATTAAATCCAAACGCCAAACACTGCACTGACCACCCTGGACGAAAGAATGATAGACGCTTTAAATAGCTGTGCTAGCTGTGAATGCAGACCAGTAAACATACCCTGAAGCTTTTATACGAATTTTTTATGCAAGCGTACTCCTACACTGCCTTGCATTGGTGGGGAGTGAAGCAGATATGCTATATATCCTACCTACATCAGTAGTATGCTTATGTAATCAAGAAGCATTGGTTATAATAAAGTGATGGAAGGATATTCTAGCAAGGTGTATATATATATATATATATATATATATATATATATATATATATATATATATATATATATATATATATATATATATATATCATCATCATTATCAAGAAAGGGAGCCACCAATGCATGAACGCGTTATTCAAAGGTCGCAGGTTCGGATCCTGCCCACAGCAAGTTATGTTTTCACCCACTTTTATTTCTTCTCATTTACATTACAATTGGCCTAATAACTTCCCCTATACCTTCCTTGAAATTATATTGTCTGTTAGATCTCATTAATATTGTGTAAAACACAAAAAACGAGCCCTTAAGTATACACTTGTTTCCCTTATATATATATATATATATATATATATATATATATATATATATATATATATATATATATATATATATATATATATATATATATATATTACTAATAACGAATTTTCAGATATAACAAACTTTTTCGTGCAACATACAACTTTGTTATAATGAGGTTTGAGTGCACTAGAAATGCATGAATACTATTGTATGTACGCATGCAAGCATATACTTGAATCTCATGTACATATGAAGGGAAGGGATTCATCCTGTATTTTTCAGGGTGAAATTCCTTTGTATAGGATGCACCCTCTCCTTTCATCACTTTCACGGAAAAAATATGTGCAGTTGTCTACGAGCTTGACTTGAACACCCTGCAGAATGTCCTGAAAAGATTTGGTTGACACCAGTGCCGTGTAGCTTTGGGTTATGTTGCCGACGAGTTACCCCATGCATGCCGACATACTATCCAAGCATACCAGGAAATTGTTTCGGTAACAGTGCCCAAGGCTTCGCAGCTGGCAATCAGTCGATGTGTCACAAGCTACACCATATGTACTTTTTGCATTGTTCAGTTGGCAGCTGGAAATCTGGCAATGAGGTGTTTGAATATTTATTGTCACTTTAATTTGTGCGATCGTGGTATCCACCTGAAAAATCTTTTCACACAAAAACTACACATATCCCAGAAACTTGGGGGATATTATTTGGGTTCTTTATAGTGCCACATTTTTTAAAAACTTTCAAACCCTGATCGTTTCACCCTTTATTAAAAAAACATACAAGGGTCGGTGATGTGGTGCAGTTTTAGGTGCAAAGGCATTGTCATTCTACCCAACAAAAAAATATTGCTTTCACAATAAAAAACTCTATCCTAATTAAGGCTTACAGCACATACTTTTGTGCCTTATGAAAAATTTGCGGTACTGTTTTAGCCAGTGAATAAAGTATTCTTCCTGAAAATTATTCATGAAATGACTTTTTGTGTTATAGCAAAACACCTGGAATTTCACAGAAGAAATTCCAAGTGCTTGCAGGTCAAGGTGGGTCATGTTTGCATGATATGACGCGAGAGCGAGCTGGTTCTATTACAGAAAAAAATGATAGCTGATGCCTGCATAATGCTTTGCACAACCTGCATGTTGGCTAGCCCAGAGTTTTCATTTATATTAATGAAACAGCCACTACACGAATCCGTCATTTTTTGACGGTACACTTTAGAAAGAGAACTTGCTTCAAGTTCTTGATGAACGAGTAAATAGAAGTTTGCTCAGTTTATTAAGTTCTTGACTGCACAGCTGTAGGTTCAAGTTCAATTGATGCCTCAACATTAATTCCTTTTAAATAAAAAAAAAATGTGCACAAGCCTATTGAGACAAAACCTACTCAATAAATAAATTACAGGGTGTTTGTTTTATGTAGTTAATACAGTTCAAAAAAGCACAAATATTGCGCAGAAAATTCGATTTCAGGGGTTTCACATGTAAAATACTAGAAATGAGACTTGTAATAGGCAAGTACTGGATAATGCTGACGATTTGGAGTCCTTTTTAACGTGCACTTAGGTCATGAAACAAGGACTGCTCCAAAAGTAAAATTAACGTGTCAGCAAGAGGGTAAAACAGGTGTTTCTGTAATTGAAAACTGGCTGCAGCAACCTCAAACCCATTTTCATCAACAACTCATCACAAATATTTGTAGAAAATTACAAATAGTCACGCCTTCAAGATGAGTGCAAAGACTGTTTGCTAAAAGTGTGCAAATAGTGAATTGCAGAACGACATAGATTAGTGATGACATTGAATCGAATCAAATACTGTATGAGAGCTACCTTCATGCAGAATGGCATGTAATTCATTTCAAAACAGCTCCGAAATTCCATTGTTGTACTTGAAACAAATATTCACCTGCTTTAACAAAGGAACACTGCCATTACTTCTAACCAGCAAAAAATACCAAGGTTTAGTGAAGTTAGGAAAGCTAGTATACAGTAGTAACTAGAGCCTTAGAAATAATTTTTTAAGTGAGGGTTGGAATACAGGAGCTAGTGCAGTATTTAAACAGGTACTTTGTCAACAGCTACGAAATAAAGAACTGATATACAATAATCAATTGATATTCATGAGTTAACATAATCGTGAATTCCATGATGAAGATGGCTGTAATTTTGGCAATGCTAGCTTTAAGCAAAAATGCCATCTTGCTGTAATCAATGTAACACTGATAGTCTCACAAAACCTGAGCTTCATGCACCTCGGTAATTCGTTAACTAAAACGAGAAAGGTGATCCCTTCCTGGTCGAGCATTGTGTTTTTTTTTTGAGGTTTTTAAAAAAATTTCGTAGTTCTAATATGCAATAATAGGTTCGGGTGCCAAATTGAAGAAAAAAATGTCATTTGACTCTTTATTTGAAATTTTTGAACATTCGCACAACTCTACAGTTCGCACTTTTAAGTTATGCTGATCACTGGTATAGTTAGATGTACTGATCTGTAAAAAGCCATAAATTGCAGGACATCCGGTTTCCTGAAACTTTCAAGCTGTGCACAACTACGGCTTGTGCTTTCAAGTTATGCTGATCGCTAGTATAATTGGATGCACAGAGCGGTAAAAAGCCATGAAATATAAGCCATCCGTTTTTTTTTTGGCCTACTAATGCAATGGACACAGCTGCAGTTTAGTGCACGTGGTGTTAAGGTATGCGTAACTCTAAAATTGAGATCACCTGGTCAAGGTGCTTTGCATGAGAGCCGACATCTGGCGCCCCTCATCTGGGGCGGAAATGGCCTTCATAGACGTCAGGTTTGCACCCGAACAGAAAAATGAGCCTTCTCCGCACAGCAACACTGCCTTGATATGAGACCAGTGCTCCAATGTTTCGACGGCGTTCTCTAGCTCCAACATCATCTCTCCTGTGAAACGAAATGAAGAAAAATCTCAACAAATAGTATCATGCCGTCGACTTTCATCAACACCACAACTTGTGTAATGCAACAAGCGCATTGTAAGTAGTCTAGAGCAATACAAGAAGGAAAACTGAAATTACTTCTTGAAAGTTATGCTGGCTAAACACAGTTGGCAAGCACAAGATTGTTTGGAACAAAATATAATGTCTGCCACAATTCATATCGGTACATCACAAGTAGCTCTCATTTGACATTGCATTTCAAATTTATTACCGCTGTGTATACATAAATGGTGTTACACAGGCACTTCAGATTTCTATCAGTTTCTGAGCTATTGGCTTTCCTCGACAATTAGCCAATTGATCGCAGATATGCTGTATTCCGATCGGAATCGATTGAACATGCATTGACACCGGCGAGGTCGTGCACCGGCGCCGTCAAATGCGGAATAATGCCGGGCACTTTCTATCAAGATAGAATTGCGATCTCTATCGCGATTGGCTCGTTGGCGCAGGACGAAAAAAGGGGGCCAATCACGATCCCTTTTCGGCCTAGCTGCGTAAATTAGAGAAGCCAATCACGATGGAGATTGGGATTGCATTAGCTTGACCTCGATCAATGTAGGCGTCATGCCAGTTCGAATCTATAGATGCAGCTTTCCTGGAACGGCCGTATGCCGCGATGCTACAAACGTCCGGTATCCACGACTTGCGCGTTATTATTGCAGTTTCAGTTAATCCACGCACATAAGAAAAGTTAAAGGCGCACTGTAAGTCAACGCTCTACAGATTAAGAATACTCGGAATCATCGGATTATTCTAAACGGGCCACCAACGGTCAAGGAACAAGGAAGTAAATAATTCGATGCATTTATTCACCATCGGCGCACGTTAGCCGGATGGCATTCAGCTTTGTTTGTTTTCATGAATGTGTGACCTCGACTACATACAGCGAGCAAATTACACCACGACCACAGCCACCCGTGTGATACTCACGTTAGAAACGGCACAGGTTTCGGATTCGTCGCGGTGCCGTATCCCACTCGTATCACGACTTACCGGATATGCAATTGCGCTTGGCCGGATCGTTGATGTTGAGACGCGCGATGCCCGTGGCGACATCCTCGGTGAGCTCGATTCTACCGTTGGACTTGAGCGTCTTCAATTTGGCACGGAATCCTTCGCTGACGAGAGACGACATGCTGTCTCCGCCGCGCAGCGGCCCGCCGATTCTGACGGCACGGTATCGTACAATCTCCGGCACGGTATTGTACAATCGGCAGCTATTGAAGCAGCCCGCGCGGACAGCTCGTCGGATCCGTCATGCGACGTGCAAATGCACAGCTGCTACTGTCGACTGCGCTTAACCCGCGCCTTAAAAAAAACAAATCAGCCGTTGAATTATAGGTTGCATTCATCCACACCGTCTCTAAACGCGCGATGCGTCTGCTGTTGCGATGGCAGCGCCATGGTGCGGAGTTTTTGCGACTCACGCTAGCGAGGAAATATAAACAGGATATATATATATATATATATATATATATATATATATATATATATATATATATATATATATATATATATATATATATATATATATATATATATATATATAGTTATAAACTTCGAGAATAGTGCAGTATAGGAAACAAAACAATAAAATATTTATTTAATCCTAACAGTTTTGGCTGGTGGACCAGCCTTCTTCGAAGGATGTAAGTGAAACGATACAAGTTCCCGTAGCAGAGGGTCACCCTCACAGTTTAAAGACCCTCAAAAAAAAAAAAACTCTACCAGCCGAAACTGTTAGGATTAAATAAATATTTTATTGTTTTGTTTCCTATACTGCACTATTCTCGAAGTTTATAACTTTTATTACGGTAGCCGGAAGAAACTCTGATCATCTATTTCATCTATATATAAATATATATATATATATATATATATATATATATATATATATATATATATATATATATATATATATATATATATATATATATATATATATATATATATATATATATATAATATATATATATATATATATATATATACATCATCGGAAACTCGCAAACAAGGTATTTACATCGCCATTCAACCCGCATGAAAAGACGACACCTGCAATCATTTCCATCCGCGGAGCCTCTACATTCGACATCGAGAAAGAGCTTGCTGGCATACCACGATCTGTGACCACTCTCGTTTTTCACGTCGGTACGAGCGAGCTGGCGTCGTACGGACTAGAGGAATCGCTACGCCGCCTAATGAACAACACGCTTCGGACACGCCAGGAACTCGAAAGGCTCGTTGTTTCATGCGTGCTGCCCCGTTACCTCAACCTACACCTGGAACGATCGAACGAACAATTCGTGCACCGCTTCAACCGGGGCGCTCGTCAATTCAACGAGACAGTCAAGGCCTACTGCCGAAGACCCAGCAAGGTTTCATACATTGACTACCAATTCGAGCAGTTGCCACCAAGACGCTTTCTTGCTGCGGATGGGCTTCATCCGAGTTTTATGGGTGTCGCTTTGATTGCCGAAACCCTCAAGAAAGCACTCGGTCGTGGAGATTTCGAAGCTACCACGGGGTGGTAGACTCAACCAGCAGCTCCCGTGAATATACGTTCAACACAACAAGACGCCCACGAGAAGACTTCTGCATATCAACATACACCACGAGCCCCACACCCACCCAACATCACAGATGAGTTCCCGACGATCAGCGAAACTGTGACTCCCGCGAGCCACACGCACCCCCTCACCATCATCAACAGCGCACCACTACTAGGGGGGGAAGTCTGCAGAACAGCCAACACGCGTCCCTCCATTGCGGATGTCGAGACCAAAAGCACTACACGACAGCACCACTACACCACTACTCAAAGGGAAGCCTGCCGAACTACGAAACCGCGTCCCCCTATTGCGGACCCCGGAACTGCCAACGAACACGTTCGCCGGGAGCCCAACGCCGAAATCCTCCCCACAACGACGAAGGCCTGCCGGACATAACTACAACCTGCGCACCTCATCAGTGCCATCCCCGCACCCAAAAGAAGATTGACTTCTGAAATGTAAGTCCAGCTCATCGCTTCCCAGTTGCAGTGCCACTTTCCTTAAAATACGAAAACTTGCTGACAAACGAATTAGACATGAAATGCATAAATCTACATTGCAAGTGTACCTTCGTGCTAGAATAGCCCCCAAGGGTATGACACTCTCCCTCACACCAGCCGCTACAAATCTAGATGAACACGACCAAATAACATGGAAAAACGTCCTCCTTGAGGCATCTCTTAAATTAACAGAAATCACTCTTAATCACAGTGATAAGCAGGTAAAGAAACTGGTCGCTATGACCAACACCATTTTCCGCCACAACACTTTATCGAACGAAGAAATCACGCGATTAACAGAATTTGAACAGAATAAATACCAAGCCATCATAACCACAAAAATTCATAAACTCAAAAGAGACCATGTGCCCGAACCCGCGTTCCCTGATATAGTTCCTTATCACTACAACACCATCACCCAAAAAATCACTAGTGGTACAAACGAGCACCCATCTAGGAACACACCCTGTGACACTGTGATTGTAAACTTATCGGACACGAGCTTGTCACCTGACGAAGAAAAACTGCTATCTAAGGGACTAAGCTTCTGCCCGACCACAAAATTTTTCGATGAATTCCACTTGCTCCGAGACCTCGACAACTTCGCTCGAAGCTTAAGGTTGCGCGAATATTTCTTGGACAGGCCTTCTAACCACGAAACAATTCACCGTCGTAAATCAAATGATTGGACACCGAACAGTAATCGAGACAAGTGCTTGGACCTTTATATCACCGCAGTACAGAAAGATATAGTACACGAATACCACAGACAGAAAGGAAACCGAGAAAACTTGACAAAATCTGAAAAGATAAGTATGAAAAATTTGGCATCTAGGACAGACATAACAATAAAACCCGCTGACAAAGGAGGAGCAATTGTAGTCCTTAATACAACGAACTACTTACAAGAAGCATACCGCCAACTAGACGACTCAAGATTTTACGAACGCCTCCCAGGTGATCCGACAGACGAATAAAAACGTATCGTATCAACAGAACTAAAGAAACTGTTGGATGCAGAAAAGATAACCAACACTGACCACAAACTGATGCAAGCAGCATATCCTCGTCCAGGTCGCTTCTACATCCTCCCAAAAATTCATAAACCCGGTAACCCAGGTCGACCAATCATATCGGGCATCGGTACAATAACTGAACCCATATCAGGGTACGTGGACAAACTAATAAGCCACATTCCATGCACCCTCGCGTCGTACATAAAAGACACCACACATTTTCTTCGAGACATTGCAGGTATCTGTGTGCCGAAAAACTCGTACTTGGTTACTCTTGATGTCTCTTCATTATATACAAATATTCCTCACGATGACGGCATAGCTGCATTACAAAACATGTACACAAACCATAGACAATCTAACACCCCAGATTTCTCTGCCATTGCAACTTTGACGAGGATGGTCCTCGAATTAAATTCATTCGAGTTTAACCAAGAGTATTTTCGACAAATCAGCGGGACCGCTATGGGCACCAAAATGGCACCTAATTATGCCAACATATTTATGGGAAAGCTAGAATCTGAATTTCTTGCACAAAGTTCCTTGAAACCAATGTTATACAGAAGATACATAGACGACATCTTTCTTATTTGGACCCACAGCGAGGACGAACTTCTCAGCTTTATCGACACTTACAATGCTGTACATCCGAACATACACTTCACACACACATACTCGCAAGTTACCGTAAATTTTCTTGATGTTACCATAACGATAGAAGAAGAGAAGCTCTCTACAACCCTATATCGCAAACCAACGGATCGACAACAATACCTCCATTACCAATGCGATCACCCACGCCACTGTAAAAACAGTATTCCATACAACCAGGCTCACCGGTTTAAGCGAATCTGCTCTAGAGACCCTGACTTTGACACAAGCTCACAGAGGCTAAAACTTATGCTCGAGAAACAAAAATACCCCCCACATGTAATTAATGACGCTGTTCAAAAAGCGAGAAAACTAAAGCGTGAAGACTTACTTATGAAGCGACCACCACGAGAAGACCCACAACGAACAAACCTCTGCCTGACTTACAGCACAAACTTCCCCAATGTAAACAAAATCCTTAAACGACATTACAACATTCTGGAACAAAGTGAACGTCTGAAACGCGCATTCCCATCCGCTCCAGGCGTCGTTTACCGACGACCACGTAACCTCAAAGACACCCTTATCCACTCCCCAATTAACACATCACCCCCCGATAATTCATGCCGCCCTTGTTTAAAGCCACGATGTCTTGTATGTAAGGCGATGCGAGAAACAGACAAAGCAACCAGCATGCAATCCAAGTTTTCGATTAGCATACGAGGAAACCTAACATGCGATTCCTCTAATGTGGTATACCTACTCGAATGCAACGTGTGTGGTATGCAGTACATCGGACAAACAGAAACACCATTTAGGATCCGCTTCAATAATCACAGAGCCCATGCGAAATCAGCCCCAAGTCTACCTCTATCAAAACATCTCAATCTTCCCGACCATGCATTCGATAAACTATCAGTAACGCTCTTAGAGACAGGATTTAAATCAAATCGAGAACGTGAACAACGAGAGTCATACCTTATCCACCGATTTAACACCCTCGATAGAGGAATAAATGAGAATCCTGGTACACTTGCAGCAATCAAAGCATTAGAAAGCAATAACGGCAACAATGAAAAGAGTAACTGAGTTCACGGCACTGCAGCTGCGAAGGGCACTGGACAACCCAAAACAATTCCAAGTGTAACTACTGTTCCTAAATGCAGCTGTCGTCTGTTTTTTTTTGTTTTATTTCACTACCCAATCAATTGTGCCATGCATGACATGCCCAACAGCAACCCTGTGCACAGCCGGGAGGCCCCCACTACACGCGTAATCCGGAAGCGGGCAAGGAATTCGCATTGCACCCGCTTGCACAGCCTACCGCAATACGGGGCAACCCTCTTTTTACGACGAAATGTTGACAGGGCGCGGAGTAGTTAAAGGCTTAGAACTTCCTAAAATGCCCGCTTACCAGCTTCTGCCACAATACGCGGCACCCCTCCTTCTACGACGAATTGTTTACCGGACTCCGAGTAGTTAAAGGCTTAGGACTTCCTGAAAAGCTCTTTTTTGTCCTACACCAAACCGCCAGTGCCGGGAGGGGCCATGTGATCGGGAAGAATGCGTTAGTGAACGGAAACATACACAGACCGCTGACATCAGAAAGGTGAAGGGGAGAAGGGGGAGAGAGATGAAAGGGGAGGTGGAGGGGGACGTGGAAGGAAGAGTGGAAGGGGGGCACCCGAGGGGCGTCCACCGTATATTATTTTTCTCTTTTTCTTCTTTTTCTTTCCTTTTTTTTTCCTTTTTTTTCTTTTCTGTCTTTTTTCCTCTCTCCTTGCCCTCTGATTTGAGATTGTATAAAGCTGAGCACCAACAAACTGTATCTTTAACCCTGATGAAGGCCAGACTCTAGGCTGAAACGTCGAAACAAACCACGTTGTGACCGCTCACGGAGGATCTACTGGACTATATATATATATATATATATATATATATATATATATATATATATAAAATAAGGGAGATAAGTGTAATCCTAAGGGCTCGTTTTCCGTGTTTTGACACAATATTAATGAGATCTAACAGACAGTAATGCCAAGGAATGTACAGGGGAAGATATTAGAACCAATGGAATGTATACCTAAAGGGCTCGTCCGTGTTTGACACAATATTATGAGGATCTAACCGACAGTACAGCCCCGGAATGTTCAGAGGGAAGATATTAGAATCAATGGATGTAAATAAGAAAGAAGAGAAAGTGGGATGAAAACATAACCAGCCGTGAGCAGGAATCCGACCCTACGGACCTTCGAATAACGCTTTCGATGCTCACGGCTGGTTATTTTTTCATCCACTTTTCTTTCTTCTTATTTACATTCCATTGGTTCTAATATCTTCCCCTGTACATTCCTTGGCATTACTGTTGTTAGATCTCCATATATATATATAGATAATATATATATATATATATATATAGGAAATATAAAAGAAAAAACATGTCCGGCTATTTTACGTGCATCGATAAAATAAGAAAAGTATTACAATAAAGTGCACATGATCGCATAGTTTGTCAGCGAACTTATTCGTGAGAAAGGAATTAGGCAGGTAGTCAGGAAACATTTCATCATGGATTTTATTGCCATTTGCAGCATCTTCCAAGATTTTCATCAATGAACACGAGTGGTTCGTTACTTATTCATATCTTAAAACAGCACAATAAATTTGGACCCAGCTAAGGCTGTTTTTTTGCTGAGCAGTTCCCATGGGGCCCCTCAGAATGCCTTATTCATGGTGCTACCGCCAAAAGACAAAGGAAATTAACACAAGTTATGTCGAGGTACGCGTGCTCACCAAACTCATACGAGAAAGTTGTCCCATTCCCGATGGAGGCAGAAATAGTGTAGGCCCGTGTGCTCAGATTCGGGCGCACGTTAAAGAACCCCAGGTGGTCAAAATTTCCGGAGCCCTCCACTACAGCGTCTCTCATAATCATATGGTGGTTTTGGGACGTTAAACCCCACATATCTATCAATCAATCGAGGAAGTTGTCCATGTTTGTATTGCTCTGTTTTTGACTATGGATTGTCGTCAACATACATGCTCAACATAAACATTCATCTGCAACATGGAACATCTTTCTTTAAAAAATATTATGTGCAAAAATAGCATACGACTGACACGTTCACATCTGCAGACTTATGAGTCACTGCAACGACTTACCGTACTTACTCGAACGTACAAGGAGAGTTATTTTACAGAATTTTACCTGAAGGCGACCCTCACACTACAACTGAATATTGAATTAACACCTTTTCTTCCTGGATGCAATGAAAAGTCACTTCTCATGTTACAATCTTAGTTGCATATATAGTATTTGAGTACCTATACAGTATTTTTAATCAACAATGAGCAAACGAGATATGCTTCAGCATTGAGGCAACATTTTGCTCAAAGGGACTAAGTTTATCAATGAAACATTGGCTTAACCTGAAGTATCTCTTTAGTTTTTGTTAGCTTAACTATCTTTTGTATTTCCATCAAGCAGCCGTGGCCCAACGTTGATCTCTTCAACCATCTAACCCCATAGTCTATTGTGTAGTCTTCTTCATCGTTTTGTTTCCGAAAATGTCCCCGCAACATCACTTGATTATTTGGTGTTTCAATACGGAAAGGAAAAACTCACTTGAATTCAAGTTCACTTGCAGCTATTGCTGCTGTAAATGCCATGCTTGGAGTTAGAAAATGGCTAGGGTACGTGGTCGTGCAACAGCAGTGGTACAGTGGTTACAGAGCTCAGAGATAGAGTGGATGGGTAAGAGAAAGGCAGAAAGGTTAACCACAAGAAACCTTCTTGCTTGCTACCCTACTGGTAAAGTGGCAAGGGGGAATAGAAAGGTAAAAACAGAAAAAAAAGGAATGGCTTAAAAGAAGCTGCTGAATTGAAAGACATAGGATCGATCCCTAGCGCTGGCAGTTGCCTTTCAATTGAGGCACACTGCTAGAGGCCCATGTAATGTAGGTGCACGTATCAGTAGTTTTGTCACATGAAACCTCATAAATTTATGTTTTAAGGCACATGGTCTGCATTGCCTTTTTCCATCATTGTCGTCACCGAGAATAAATACCTGAGATGTGTCTCCAAAACAAATTCCAACCGGGAACCGTTTAGTATGTTCTATGACTCGACCAACTGTAACTCAGGAGACGCATCCACCCTATGCAAGGTCTGTCGCCATCGTCCAAGGAGTAGGCAAGTTTAAATCCTAATTCATATCTCTGTGCCAGTCATTTTATTAGGTGTGCTCATATCTGTGCGTTCTAGACGTACTGCCCATTAAGTCAGCTTATCAGACAGACTCGTTCAAGTGTTGAAACCACATTGTGCAACACGTCACAGATTCAATAAACCTGGTAGAGGTGACAAACAGCACATGTACATACCAATTTTCAGTAATTTGTTCTTATTTCACAAAGCTCATTCCATACAGCTTTCTAAAGTTAACAAGAGGAGACTCTGGCGCAAGGATCGTTCAGCCACCATAGAATGATGGGTTGTGAATAAATTTGCCTAGCCCTCCTGCTTGTAGGCTTTGAACCCATTTATGGTTTTGTTTATTATAGTGTTTTGGTTCTGTTTTTAAAAAAAAGAATGAAACTGCTGTGAACTTCGTGAGCTCACTTGAATATGTGAGCCAAGGTTAAGGTAGTGAAGCGCTACTGCTAAACCTTCGCTGAACTTCGTATTGCGGCAAAGCAGATTCAAGCCACATGGAGCCAAACGGCGCCAGAATAATGAAGACTAGGCACATTTGTGTACTATCTATCATTCCCATGATGGCTGAAAAACCGCGCATCACAGCACCAACAGACCATAGGGCCAGAGTTTATTTTAGCGTATTTACAAGAAATTCTATGGCCTATTCCACCAAAAAGAGAGGTGGTCCCCAAAGTAAGCAACTCATTTATGCTCCATTAGAATACTTCTGAATGTAAAATTTACACGTCTAGAGAATATAAGAAGAAAAAAAAAAACTATTACCAGTAAGATTGCAGCGTCGATTAGTACAGAAGACCTGCGTCTAGGGTTCAGGGCAAACCCAGCCAGTATTTGCCTTAATCAAATATGCTTTTCTTTTACTGCAAAATTATTTAAGAGAAAGCTCAGTAGAAGTGAGATGTGAAGCACATGTTAGTGCCTAATCTTTCTCTTCAGAGCTTCCCGATTGGCCGGTCCACTCCAAACGGTGGAAAAGAGTCTCAACTCTTCCCGCAGGCTGTCGACCGTTGAGAGCTCTCTCGCCTTCACGATGGTTTCTTTCAGAGTCTGCAACAATGACAACAGCATCAACTCCTGAACAATTACACAGAGTCCACTGTGTGAATGCGGTAGCATGCTGATAAGTATCGACACACATAGTTGAATTCTCTTTCACTCGCTAGAACTCTTACACAGAATTGCTTGGCGCAAGTCAAGGCTTGAAGTATGGAACCTTCTTGAGCGTTTTTTGCACAGCTGCGTGCATGGTCCCACGTGAGGTACCATAGCCTCGCAGTACTGTTAGGCTATGACTTACTGTGAGTACTATGTGTGTTACTGTGGGTACAGTGACACTGCACAGTGAAATACTATGAGTACTGTGTGTGGCACTGTAGTACACCATAGCCTTACAGTACTGTGAGGTTATGACGTACTGTGGTATTGTCTGCGGTACTGTGAGACACCATAGCCTCACAGTACTGTAAGGCTATGAAGTACTGCAAGTACTGTGACACAGTACTGCGAGGTACTGTGAATACTGTGTGGTACTGTTAGACACCATAGCCTCACAGTATGTTCTCTGCCACCTCTCTCTTCCCTGTACCCCATACACAGTAAAATGTAAAGAATTTCTTAATGCCATGTTTTAAACAATTTCTTAATGCCATCATTTTCAATGTTTTATAAAAGTGAAACTACACAATGGTACAGTGAATTAGGATTGAACAGTTTTCTGGATAGTAAGCTTTTTTACCACATATATATTAAAGAACTCATGAATGAGGTTCTACTGTACTTTGCCTTTGGTGCCTATCATGAAAAAAAAAAAATGACTTGCTTGCAGAAACGACATACCTTGTTTCAAAGGGCATGCTTTAGAGAAGTTATTCCTGAACTACACCCACGTGCATTCCCATGCTAGTGTATGTCTAATGCAATTGTCAATTTAGTAGGACACGTTGCTTGGCCACTAGTTGCTTTGGACGTGCAGGTTCGAAAGACTCAAGACTTGTGACAGGACAATGCCCGAGTGCGCAAGGAGAGTGCTTATATTGCGTCTTCTCTGCACAACGTACTTTCCAGAGTTTTGGACTTCTCTGTTCCACATTATGAGCACATTCAACATCCACAGGCCCTTCATTACCATTCCAGCTTGAATATAGAGCTTCCATGTGTTGCTCGCAAAATACTAATAAACGTTGCAAGAGCAAATTCACTCCCTCCTCATGACTCCCTGCCCATTAGCTGGGTAATTAAACCTGTAACAACCATACTTCTCTTAACATCACAGAAGATATTTAAAGTTTTAATCAACCCTACCGGCTGTACTTTCTTTTGCCTCATTATGTGGTAGAATTTTGTAGTGAATGACTTCATGTTGCGTGACCAATGAGTTTGTTATATAGTGCACTGATTAATCCTTCAAGAGAACCTCTTGTTGTCGAGAAGCACTGAGCCGCTCTCGATGCCAGGCGATGCCACAAGCGTGCGAATGCCATTGCGCTCTATTTAAAACAAATTTTTTAATCTGCCTAAGAAGCTGCAACCTCATTTCCTCTTGCTTTCAAATCAATCGTGTTTAATGAGTGGTTGATGCATGGGACCCTTCGTCACTGAAGAACCCATGCCACCTTGCTGCTACTGACTTCACAAGAAAGGGCTGACATAAAGCCCACAAACTACAATACTATTCAAGGAAATGAGGACCAGGCATGGTGTACTCGCCATGATCAGCAGCGGAGGAAATGTCGCACACCGCTGTGCTCATTGCTCACTGCTAACAACAAACTGCCTACTGCTTTGATTGACTCTTCTGAAATGCATTCCCAAGGAACCAATAAATAAACATTGAAAGAGAGACAGCACAGGCATTACTACGAAAAAGGTAGAATTAAGTGAGAAAGAAGCGATGTTTTTTGCAAGGTAGACTGTAGATGTGTAAAGTTTAGGTTGTGCGCTGCCTCTTTTGCTTCTCACTTGGGCTTACCTTTCAATGTACATGCGTTCATGTGTGCTGGCACAATTTCGCAGTTTGGGGTGGCTTAGTTTTTGGCAGCTGTCTCAACTCTGTCTCAGTGGCTCATGACGAATTGTTAATTCTGCCTCACTTCTATTTCTATGATGAAACTACCTTGTTCGGAGGCTTATATAAATCGGTGTGGTTTTCGTTAATAAACACTTGGAAGCTGGCCCTTGTGTTAGTCAGTTTCTGTCTTCACTACGGCTTCTTTGTGCCATACCAATTATTTTTCCTCAGCTGAAAACTTGAACTAACTAAACCTTTCTTTTAGGGGGTGTGTGTGTTTTCTGGTCAATACGATTGCAAAGCATAAGATGTTCCTTGGTGCAGCCTGCTGTAAAATACGAGACATTATATAAGTGTTTCTCGATTTTAGTCTCACCCCCCCACCATAAAACCTTAATAGAGATGGAAAATAAACCATTATGTTGTTATTACACGAAAACTTCATTCTAAAAAAGTAGCATTTTACTTGAAAATGAGTTCATTATATATGAAAATTTGTTATAAGGTATATTTCTGACAGTATAGCTATTGCACAATTATTGTTTATTTACTTCATTAAAACCAATATTTCAATATATCTGGGTTCGTTATATCCAGGTTCAAGCGAATTATTATCTGCACTCCCCCCACCCACCCACCCAACCAACCCTTGAAATGTCATCTCATATAAACTTTTGCGCAGATATTACCCTGCCCAACTTAAAGCATATGAACTACAATACCGATTCAACAAAATAAAGGCCAAACGTAAAGCACCGCCTGCTAACATTTACAGAGGCTACTAAAGAACATACCCGTATGACGTGAGCGTCGCCAGCAATGTACTGCCCGAGCCAGTTCCTGGCTTCGGCCAGAGGACTCTCGTAATTCTGGAGAACGTAATCCACGAGCCCAATCTCGAGAGCTTCCTCGGCGCCGACCTTACGGCCAGATGCAAGCAGTTCGAGTGCCTCGTGAGCCCCCAGGAGCCTCACCAACCGTGTGGTGCCTCCCCATCCAGGGACGAGGCCCATGCGGACCTGCAAGCCAGAAGCTAGTGTTACAGTCAATGTCTATGCTCCACTTCACACTTCGATGCAGCTCTTCTGTGAGGCATTCTATGCAAAACATTAAGTCAAATGCATCTGCTCTTTCTATCACACTTTTCACATGTTCTGTCGCCAGTGCACCTACACAAAACCAGCACAACTAAACAACTTTTCCCTTAATTCCTCAAGGTGAAGTTCAATGTTAATCATCTTCCGAAATGAGGGGCGGAAGCCTTTTGCAAATGAACATGGTAATTGGTAAAGGAATTTGTAAATGTTCTTGTGGAATTAAAAGCAGCTTATTATGCTATTATTTACTATTGCATCTCTGTGTTGTCACCAATAATAGATACTGTCCCAAGCTCACGCCCCAAGTTAGACCAACCTGCACAAACTGAATTTCAGCCCCGGGTACCATGACTCGAAAGTCGCAGGCTGTGGTCAGCTCGGCTCCGCCGCCTACAAGATAAAAAAGACAATATTCACAGTGATGAGAAAAAAATGATAACATATATGAACGTGTTCTCGTGAGCTGCTAGTGTTCCTCTATGAAATTAGATAACCCTGCATGGGTATAGTTTCAAGATAGTGATTCTGTCATAAAGTTTCGTAGATTTGAAGGCCTGTGATGACATCTAAAAGGCTGACAGAGTGGCTGCTAATTCTTTTCGCTGTTAACTGACTACAGGCTAGATGAAGACAATTGTTTTGAATGAACAACCTTGTGAAATACGAATATCGAAATCTCCAATAGTGCACCTTAAGCCAGCTTCGAAGAGTGAGGGCATATAAAGATGGTACAAAGAAACAAGACACAGAGAATGAAAGCTGAACTTTAGCAATAAAGCCATGTTCCACAAATCCAGTAACTTACAAGCCCACATTAGACTTGAATGGGCAGTACAGTTGCAACGACAAGTAACTTTACCATGCGGGAAAGTTTTGCTTAGCTTACACACTCACTATGGGATTCTCCACTAAAGAGTGGCTGCCTAATCTTTCTGTCTTTTTCCTAATTTTGGTGATATAAAGCTGTCTAATGATGACGGCATGTTGCGTCTAGTGGCACAAGGGCCAGTTGCGGCCAATGCAAGACTGTTCCCCGAACAATGGTGTTATCAATTATGAGTAAATATAAATGTATACGACAATGAGTAAATTCAACGTGGCTGTAAAGGCTCCCAAAATATTATGCACTCATGTAAATAAATAAATATAATATTTTAAATCATGACAGTAATAAAAGACGTGTGGCATAATTCTAAAGAGTGCAAAATGAAACAATAAAACATGAAAACAATGTGACGCGATAGCGGGAACTACTGCTATCAAGGACCCTCGGTTGCAAAAGCCTGGAGACATGCGCACTTAATATACAGTACTGTCACAGCAACATCCTCTCGCAGAAGATGCGCTATGGATACCTTACACGAAGACCTTTCAATGTAGTGCAATCTTAAAAGGGACTTCCAACACTGCTTGAGCATGGTCAGAAAATGCTGCCGATCTACAGTCGACGCTTCCAAGAACACGCGAGCCAAAGAATGTAGAGCAGCATGCAGCCTAGTGTTTACAATGAATTGTTGCAGTCAGCTAGAAATCCCTCGCTCTTTTTTCTAAAATGATGCCATAAACCCATACTCCACAGCCATTGGCTGATTTGAGCATTGAGAGCTACATAGTTGGTGCAGCTGCTGTGGGATGGTGCCACCTGCCTAAGCATGTGTTTGCAATTACTCTGAAAGTAAGCCACATGTTTGAAGAAAAAAGAGAAAAGAAAGCACTCAAGGTGATAAAATGTGCTCATAAATAGACACAGCTTTTTATCCTTTGCCATCCCTTGCCTGCACAGCCTTCAGCCCACTCGTCAATATGAAAGGAGAGAGAAAAACACTGTAATACTTTTTGTGATCGTTAATTAGTGAGAAAAAAAACTAATTCAAAGAAGTCACTCAATGATCACTTGAAAAGTATTGCAGGGTCCCTTTTAACATCGCTAGCCAGTCTGGCGATGAAAAAGTAGTGCATATATTGGTGCCTAGACGTACCTAAGGCCCTGCCCTGGATCAGAGCCACACTGATGAGGGGGAGGTCCCGGAGACCCATCAGGGCCGAATGCATGATGCTTGCCATCTGGGCACCCAGCTCGGGTGTATTCAGTGCCTTCATCATGTCGAGATCACCGCCAGAGCAGAAGATGCCATCACCACCATAGAACAAGAGACCCTTGCCTTCCTTCCAGGAATGCAGCTCACGGACCACATCGTGCAGCTCTATCATCATGTGTCCTGGAAGGCAAGGAGACAAATGGCACATGTAGTAACACCAAAGTCTCTTAAGATGGGAGCTGACAGATAGAAGCACGGATAGGTTGAACGAACAGGAGAGAATGCCTCCGACAGGCTGGCCGATGTTTCAATAGGGGGGTGTGCTATTTGTCATAGTCCGGTCCTTCCTATTGACACTTCGGCCAGCCTGGCCAGTCTGAGACACTTCCTCCTGTTCGTTCTACTTATATGCACGTGTACAAACAGCTGCATAAAAATTTGAGCATTTTTACATACTTGTAGAAAGCAGGCAACCAAATTAGGCTCATAGTGCTCTGAAACTCCCCTTGTCAGGGCGGTTTAAAAGTTTTCTTTACAATGCTGTTTCTATTTAATTGTGTAATTATCACATAAATTAACACTGGCATCATAGACCCATATACAAAGCTATACATATATATGTTAGCAGGATATTTCTAGTTACAGTAGCAGTCTCACTGATGTCACATAATCTTTATACAACTTGGAAGTTGTGTAATATTTACCGAACTTTACTAATGGTTACAGCCACACTGTTTCATGTTGCTTGAACACTTAGCAGTTTTGATGTATATACAGAGATATATCGCAGACTGTCAATGTCAAATTTCGGAGCATTTTGTAATACTGTTCTTTCAACATAATTAACTGTCTTGAATGAAAATGTATCACAAGTGAGTGCTGAATTAAAGGGTTACATTTGTGAGTACTGCAGGTGCATATTGAAAGGCAAGGAAGATTAAAATGCAAATTGCAAGACTTCATACAGCACGCCAGCTGCGAATAGTGTCCTTCATGTGGCTACAATGTGATATCGCGCGTCGCAATTCCATCTGCGACAGATGTTCATTCAGTTTATCAACTTGGTGTTTTATATTTATGCTGATGGTAGTATAAAAAATCACTTGCGTCATACATGAGTATGCATGCCTGCGCTAAAACGCAAATAAGTGACGGAGTTATGCCAATGAATGTTCATGCGGCACCAGATGCCGCATGAACATTCGGCACCAGATGCCGCACATCATTTGAATACTAGTACAAGCCCCTATGTCGTGCTGACAATGCTCGAACAATTGCCACGTCATGGTCCTTAATTTTTTTTTAGATGTTATAGGTGCCATTCCTATACTTTCCAAGTACACATGCACAGTGATTAAACCTGTATTTCGTAAGTGCGATACCACAAATATTGCGTACAATACCCGATTCATTCGAGTAAAACACTCCTTGCTTACAAAAACTATGACACACAGAACACCGATAAATTCTCCCTTAGCTGTACGCAATATGAACACGAAACAGCCAGTTGCTCGTGCGATCACCATATGTGAGATGATTGGTAAAACGCGAAACAACATTACCCACCAGAAAACGAGTTTCTCTTGGTAGGATTGCTGAAGTGAACTTCGGCGATGCCCGTGCGGTCATCTTTCGTTAGCTCAACGGTTCCGCCCTTGAAAGCCGAAAACTTTGATCGGAGCTCGTCCGATAACGTAGTTAAGCGCCGGGCGCCCGGTGCATTTTTAACGAATAGTCGGGTAAATAGTAGACTGGCGTACTTCATGGTGACTGCGAGTTCATTAAAGGGTCTAGTTTAAGCTTTTCAACTAGTGTAGTACGTTAACGAAAGGTTAAAATGCCCCACGCGCATCTGAAACACACTTTCAGCGATGTGAGCTGATCGTAGCAGTCGACACTGGCCTGAAATTAATGCGAGCGCCGCTGCGACTGCCTAAATATGAGAGAGAAACCACTATCGGGTACTTTGAAAATACAGGTTTTTGCGTCAAATGTAGTCAAACAGAAGGTTTTGATCTGGCTACACTGTGCGCTGCTCGACGGTGAAAACGCAGTCGCAGGCATGTGGCAGCCGCCACAGCAACAACAGATCGTTCAATCGGCATTTATTCCTCGTCGGATGTATGTCAGCATGTTTTCGTTAGTCGTCGACGGATTGAATGGTCGTCGGTGCAATGCCCGTCGATCTAAATCGTCTCGCCGATGGCTGGCTCGAGCTAGAAAGCGATCCAGGTAATCCATACGCGGCGAGTTTCCGCGCTCGACGTAAACAACCGATCGAAATTGACGTTTTCTTTTCTTTTTTTTTCTCGGCTCATTCGCAGGTCTTTTCACGCTTCTGCTTGAGGATTTCGGCGTGAAAGGCGTGCAAGTTGACGAGATATACGATCTGCAGAAATCCATCGAGGGGTAAAGCGTTCTTGGCATGATTCGCGCGAGCTGCCGTGTGTGTGCTGTTGCCCAAACAACACGACCACACTTCCCGTGTTCGTTCGCAGGCCCGTGTACGGCTTTATATTCCTCTTCAAATGGATCGAGGAAAGGAGATCGCGGAGAAAAGTCGTCGTGCAGGAGGAGAAGTTTGTCGAGAAGGAGGAAATCGTCAATTCCATTTTTTTCGCGCACCAGGTAACTCGGATCTTGTTGCGGCAGCGTTGGCGCTTTGTGGCAACGCTTGCTTACCGTTTATATTCCGCCGCAGATCGTTCCGAACTCGTGCGCAACGCACTCGCTTCTGAGCATCCTGCTCAACTGTTCCAAGATCTACCTGGGTTCCACTCTGACGAGGTTGAAAGAGTACACGCGGAATATGGACCCCGAGGTGAGGGGACGTCTTGTGAGGAAAGCGAATGCTTTCGTAGCTTTTATTTTGCATGGGGATGACGTGATGCATGGCCGTGGACATTTAGGTGCCAAGTATTCACACGCACTATATCAGACGTCACATTCGTTAGGTTTCTGTTTTAAGCCACCTGATTTTAGCTATCAGGGGATGTCACTATGAAGCATTTTTGCTTTACTTAAGAAATGACTGCATGCGTACAATTAAAACAAGCACCTCTTAAGTAATCATCAAGGAATTATTGCTTTGGTACTGGCTTACCGTTTCACCAAGTCCTCACATGACTAAGAAAAAGTTGGTCACGCTTCTTCTCATGTTGTGTGTCACGATAAATCAGACGGACAAACCCTTTCCTCTTTTTACTAATTGTTTGCGTATTCTTGGTTAGTTCCTTCAAAGCTAAATTTAGTACCATGCTCTTGTGTTGCTAGGCTCTGTAAGGGGCTGGAGCCTTGCCAGCTTTTTTTGTGTCACTTTCATGTTTCTCATGGAGGAAGCAAAGTTTCTTCGATTGATTGATTGAACTATGTTATTAGGACACTTTACCGTTGATGGCTTGGTGGCTCTGCGGAGATTTGATTTTGCAAGATTGCATTCCAGTTAATCCGACCTTGCCTGTGCTACTGTTATGCTCGTTTTTTCAACGCAGAATAAGGGCTATGCGATTGGCAACACTCCCGAGCTGGCAAGGGCGCACAACACGCACGCCAAGCCTGAGCCCCGGCAGCCTCAGGAAAAGCCCCACGGTGTCCCTATGGGTCGCACCATGGAAGCATTCCACTTTGTCAGCTATGTGCCCATCGACGGCCGCCTGTATGAACTCGATGGCCTGAAACCGTACCCCATCGACCACGGGCCGTGGCTTCCTGGTGAAGACTGGACTGACAAGTTTCGCATGGCAAGAATTCATTTCACCCTCCCGAGTAATGAACGGTGGCTGAGTATGCATGAATACTGTGATATGAATGTTTTATGTTAAAAATAAAAATTGCTGTGTTTTTCGATTTGCTTTTGGCACTATTTAAGTCATTTGAATTTGTGTAAAATAGAGGTTGTCGAAACTTGCCCCACCAAGTGGTTCACAGCAATATGCCAGTTAACGTTGCCATTTGAAAAGGTCTTTCACGTATCAAATATGGGTAATTTCTGAAGGGGGTTTGATGTCAGGTTTTTTAGAATTGTGCCGATACCGATCTTCAGAACGACTGAAACCTAAGACGACATATCTGTAATACGCTCAAAACCTTATAACAAATTTGCATCTTACAATAAGATAAGTTTGTTATGTCTACAAAATTTGTTATAAAGGTTATTCCTAGCACTGTATCTACTGCAAGGCTTTTTTTATTTACTTTGTTAAAACCGATATTTCGTTATATCCATGTTCATTTTTATATTGAGGTATGAGTTTCTATTTCATGGTAATGTTTTAAGACATGTTCACTACATCGGTGCTTCACAAAAGATGAGATTGAGATCAGTCGCATCTGTGTAGCTTATGAACATACTTACTAAGAAAATTTTAAAAATCTGGGATGAAGACAGTCATGTGCAGGGCAGGCTACCTGTGAGGTGTACACGGTCCACATGTTTAAAACCCCCGGCCTAAACCTCTAGCATCTCTGCTAATGTAATGTTCTGAGGATATACTTTGCAAATGTGCATTTTGTACAATCAAGTTATTTGCATTAACTTATCTCACATAGATGGAGGATAACATGCATGCCGGACTGAGCGAAGAAACAAATCACATTTTTTCAGGTAATTACCGAGAGGCTTGGCGGTGGGGACATCCGTTTCAACCTCATGGCTGTGGTTCCTGACCGGAGACAGGCCTACGAACAAAAGCTGCGAACGCTGAGGACAAACCGTGGCATCGTTCTAGAAGCACTTCAGCAAATGGTATGCACTTTTTACTTACCCTGTTATCCATTTTATTGTTGTACCAGGGCAACAAAATAATAATAATAATAATAATAATATGTGGGGTTTAACATCCGAAAACCACCATATGATTATAAGAGCAGCCGTAGTGGAGGACTCTGGAAATTTTGGCCACCTGGGGGCTTCTTTAACGTGCACACGAACCTGAGCACACGGGTCTACAGCATTTTCGCCTCCATCGAAAATGGAGCCGCTGCAGCCAGGATTTGATCTCCCGACCTGCGGGTCAGCAGTCGAGTACTTTAGCCAGTAGGCCACCATGGCGGGGCTTGTATAAGGGCATAGCAGGCTTTTCAGGTTGGGTTGGCACCAATTATCAGCTCAGTATTGATCCAGGAGTTGCAGTTCTGGCATTTGTGTCTTTTTAGCACCGATCCTGTCCCTGTGTTAACATCGGAATTAATGTAGATTCGTTAAACCACTTTATGTAGCAGTAAATCTCATTGGCAGAATCGCCCTTGAACGCATGTTCAGTGAACAGTGAATATCGATGTTGCAGGAATGGCCACACACGTTTTGCGATTCCCTGCAAGTGCAAGAGAGATGTCTGTATGTCCTAATCCCTCCCTCCTGAAATCTGGTGCCAGAGTGTGGCTAGTGATAAACTTATGAAGTCCTTCTCAGCTTTTGCTGTTTTTTCACTGTGAAGAGAACATAGGTTTAATGTTCATTGACGGAAACCATATGAAATACTGGTATTTCGCTATTAAGATGTATATAGTCAGCCTGTATGCTTTAACACTAAATTGTAGTTCTTTTGTAACCAGCGAAAACTGCTATGGAGTCATTTAACTGTGGTCTTCATATGGCTCGGGAAACCAGTTGTGTTAGGGCCAAAACAGAAGTTGTGTGTCAATGCATCTCCTTGAGAAAACTCATTGTTAGAATGCCCACTGGGACATAATTGAGTTTATCTTTGTCATTAATCATTTTATTTATTTCAATTCGAATTACCTTACAGGCCCTATAGGGAGCATTAAGGGGGCATCATAGAGGAAATTACAGAATGTAAACCATAACGTGAAAGCCAAGTGTTTGCAATAAAAGCGTGCTTGTAAATGAGCATGCGTGCAGTAATTATCGTCAATCATTGTAGCCAAATGTAATCTGTCGTTGGGAAAAAAGAAATCCTGGGTTCGTGCCTGTCTGCAGTGCAATTTTTTCACATTACAGGTTCGTGATCAGCCCGCGCTCGACGGCCACAATTATGCCAAAAGCCCCCTCATGGAGGCGCACTCCCCTGCGCCCAGTTCAGGTTCCTCAAGCACGGACACCGCGTCCGAGGTGGGCAGCGCGTTCAACTCTCCCGTACGAGGTTCGCCGCCGGGTGCGTCGCCACCTCCACAGGCGCTTGCGTCTCCGCAACAAGCATCGCAACATCAGCAGCAACAATCAACAGCACAGCAGGCACAACACTCAGTGGCACCGCAGTCTTCAGGCGAGTTACTTGTGGGACCCTATGCAAGCAATGCATCCATAGGCACGATTGCTATTGCAAGGCAGCACGTGGAACGATATGTACTTAATTGAAGACAAGCCAGCCTCTGTTAGCTTTCATGGTCGTTGCTTGAGAAACCACTGCAAACCGCTCTTGCCAACTTCTATGTCATTTTTTTCGCAGTGTGTGAAGAGACCAGAGGTGCCACTGAATTTTTTTTCTTGCCTAGTTCTTACTGTAGATGATGTAAAAGTCAGCACTCCATGCACACGTACGGGAATTGATGACAAGTAATGCTTTTCTCAGAGTTTGCTATATAATCTCCCGTGTCCACTTCTACATACCTCAGTGCATCATCGAAACTAAAAGCGCTCAAGAGGAGGACTGAGAGGCTGGAGACGCATGAGTGCGGACTCGCAACAATACTTCGAAACACTCATCATCATTCATTAACCCTTAAAGGCCCCTGTTGGGACATTACATAAGGGGTATGGCATTCACAAGGTGAAAAAAAACGTGTGACGTATCCCATGTGCACTAACCACGTTGTTGATAGTGTGCCTCAAGCTTCTTCGGTGTCCTCGTCTCGTGCCCTTTTAGTTTCTATCATGCATTGAAGATTGTAAAAGTGAAGAATGGAAATTGTTTTGCAAACACAAAGGAAAGCTTTACTCCTGTCTCATTTTGGTCCACTCGTTTCTCTACACTTGGCTGCTTTTGATATCGTGTTCATCACCCTCTGTAGGCGATGCCTTCAATTTTTCTCAAAAGTTTAAATGGTGTAAAATATGGGGACACAGAAAGCTCGTGCAAACAGTTGTAGAGTCCGTTGTCAGCATTCCGTGTGCGTTGTTGCATGCCCCTTTTGCGTCCTACCGTTTTACGCTGCTTCCAGTTTGGTTATAAACAGCCAACTAGCGAAAGCTTTCACCAGGTCAGGCTTCGGTTTTCTGTTAGTGACATCTTCGCTACTCGCGCCCTGTCTAGCCGTTCCGAGCAATCGGCTGAGAATGTCGACGTTCGCACGGCTCGTGCTGCATGCCCAGTTGTCTAACTTGTGTATTGTTCGTAACAGGCAGAGAGGCAGAGCATCACTTCATAATGATAGGTTTCTCATTTCTCTATACAACATTGTGATGGAGGCAGCAGGAAAGAGGGATTATCGCTTCATGAGGAAAGCACCACGCTTCTCGTACCTCATCCTGTGGTTCCATAGGGTTAGCATGTGGCTAGTTTCATAAAAGAATTATAGCTAGGCACCCAGCACTAGAGTGACTCAGCAATAGTACCATTATGAATGTGCATTTTGCAATTGCAAATTGATGGCTGTGTTTTACGATAGCTTGTACAGTATCAGTTGACTTGCTTTGTGCTTGGTGTCAAAAGAAAACAAGTGTGCAGAAGCAAAGTTCGGACTTGTCGTCATTAGCAATTAAAAAAAAAAGCACCAGTTTATGGGATACGTTGAAGTGCAGCACTAAACAAGTGTTAAGAGGTTATTCTTTGGTAACTCTATTGTCATTGTAATTTTGCCACGACAGGTTCGTTATTGGAAAAAAAAAGACGACCATCGAAGTTTCAATTCACATTTCGTACTGCCTTCTCAGTAGCCCATTATCAATGTGAAGACATTTGTTCCATGAATTTCTTTTTTATGTTGGCCGCACTGGCTCAATGAACACTCACGAAACATGCCATGTTAACTCTCACGTTCGCTCTGAACGCAGTATAGCAATCCATTTTTAGCCACTAAGAATTGTGTTGGCTGTATCAATTGTCAGTATATATGATGTCATGGAAAGTTGCTATTAAGAACTTTCAGCGAGGAAGTTTCACCTGCATTTTTTTTTTTTTTGCTCACTTTCCTTCTTAGCAAGTGTTTTCATGCAGTGAGAGAGTCCAGTTTGGTACTCCAAATGGGTAATCTGCTAGCACATGTGAAATCGTTTGTCCCCTTTACGACCCTTCAACTTGTAAAGCGGTACAAGTCGGCGATCGAGCTTAAACAGGCTCCGAGATTGCACACGGTTTCCTATGTAATTAAATTACCTGGTTTAATTGGGCTTCTCTGTTGACTTTTGCACATCGTTCTTTTCCTGCCACAGGCACAACAACTAGTGGAGATATAGACAGGCTCGTTGTGGTGAGGCTGGGAGAGGAGCATCCGTTTGCGCCACACGACTTGCTGGCCCTGCTGAAGACAGTCGAAGCCGAGATCAACGTCTGTGAGGGCGCGCTCAAGGATGAAGTTGACAAGAGGCGTAAATATGTGGTGAGTACACTTAGAATCGGCGATCTCTCGTTCTTGCTTTTGTTTGATGGCAGAAGTCTGGTGAGACCCGTACAAAATGGTCGGCGAAATTGCGTGACATTTTTGAACGAGACCTTGTAGCGATGTTAGTAGCAGGCACTCATCATGATAATCACTGAAAAAGAAGGCGTGAGGGCTAGGCGTGAACTAGAAAACACTCCCGAAGCTTGAGAAGGGCTCAGCGTTAACAAGGATGACCCGCTGCAGCACTGGCCAGAAAACGTGGGCAACGATAGGTAAATAGCCTGCGACAATGAACAACCTGTAAAATGCTCTTACAAGTCCCCCCCCCCTATAGTGAAAGATAATCCGACCAGATTCGGGAGGGGGCGCGCTTGCTGCGTATTTTGCGGTATAATTATAATTTCTGGTGTTTTATGCACCAAAACCACAATACAATTATAGAGCACGCCGTAGTGGAGGACTTCGGATAATTGCGACCATCTGCAGTTATTTAATCTACAGCAACATTATGCAGTAGAAGGGCCTTTAGCATTTCAACTCCATTTAAATAAGACCGCCCCGGCTGGGATCGACTCCGCGTATTTTGACTCTGCGGTCGGGCACCAGAACCTGCCAGGCCCCATGGTGTGTACTTACGGATTCAATTTGTTTGTGAGCCTGGGAGTTCTTAGGATGCCTATGCATTGAAGTGGTGTTAATAACTTCAGTGTGAATGAAACCGTAACACCTGTCCTCTGCACTTCAAGGCAAGCAATACTCTTTGCAGTGGCAAGTGCTCTCGCTGTCGCTGTAGCGCGCAGGTCTTAAACTGCAAGGAAATTTTGCCTGAGCTAAATTGGTTGTGCGTGAGTAGTACTGGCAAACCAGGCTGTATGGAATCATCTGCTATATGTAATAGCTGTAACAGTATTCGAAATCCTCTGCATAACTAAAACACTCCGATGTGCGCATATGAAACTTCCACTCGCTTCACTTACGCAGTTGACATCAAACACTGCGCTTTTCAGCCGGCTCGTGATCGTTTTCAATGCAATGGCAATAATAACTTTACATTCACTACATTGAATTTCATATTTTGGTCGTTAACGCGAGCATCTTCTGCTGCGTGTGAAAATAAAGTGTAGAACGACAAGGCTCGGATCTGTTGGTCTAATGCTTACCATTACGATTTTCGAGCTAGTGGCAGATTTTAAAAAACATTTCTGCGTGAATCTGTGTGCCCCACCAAAGCTGTGTGGAATGGCCACGTAAACGATGCGAGTCGAGATGTAACATCGCCAATCCTCTGCACAGGTGGACGACTGCCGACGGACGCACAACTACGACCAATTCATCTGCACGTTTTTGTCGATGTTGGCGGAGCAAGGGAAGCTGGCCGACCTGGTGGAGCAGCAACTTCAGCCCAAGCGACGCCTCCTCGCCAAACAGCCCGACCGAAAACGACGTCCCGCCGCCAAGGCCAAGCGACGACGCTGACCTTTCGTTGCACGCATTTGTTCCCGCTCCTGAAAGACCCTCGCCGTCTCTTTGTGCAGCTACGATTGCATTTCTTGCGTGTCCGCCGCGACCGAAAAAAGCGCCAATGCGACGCCGTGCGTGCATTTCCATTTACAAATGCTAGCCTATATCTTCTGTTGAATCCCGTATCTCACTGTTCACCGTATGCGGTCATACTGATGGGGAGACGCAATGACAACTTCAGCATTTCTGCGTTTCCTGCTGCCAGCCATCGAGCGTTTCGTCACGGCGTCCGAGTTCATGGTGACGCAGCTGTTTTATAGCCAATTTTTCATCCAACTTACACGAGATATATAAAGGGCGTTAGATGATGCTACTGGTATGCCAGTTATTTACTAGAAACAAGTGATGAAATCGCCGCCTCATGGCAGATGATGTGGAAAGTTTTACGTCCATGCAAATAGGGCCGGAGCCTAAGTGATGCTTTTGACAAAAACAGGACTCTCTATTTTTTGTGACAGAACCCATTTTTTTTTTTGCACTGTGTGGACCAGTATGTTAAAAAAATAATGCTAGACTTGAGTTCCCACCATTTACAAGCCCTTGCTTTATATAACAAAATGGAAAAAAAGTGCTGCGTCACATTTTCTCAAACTTAATAACTAACGTGTCGGGCAAGTCACACGAGTTGTACTTCAGCAATAATTATTGTACGAGCAATGTATCGAATATTATTGTGTCGCCTGCGAAGTTGTTTAGAAGAGAAAGGCTCAATTGCTAGCATATGCCGCATGCCATGAGAGTCGTTTGCTCCGAAGCAGTTTTCCATGTGCGTACGTGCACACAGTGTGCACACGTATGTCGATATGTCCAGTGAATGCGGTTGTCTCGCAACTGTATCTTTTTCGTTATGTTCACAAGCTATGTTAGAGTCGGAGCAGTCGAGTTCTAACGGTTGCTGTTGATAACAGATGTAGCAAAGCTGCACTCAAACCTCATTATAACTAAATTGTACCTTATATGAAAATAGGTTTGTTATATCTCAAAATTCGTTATAAATGTATATTTTTAAAACTATTTCTTGCAAGACTGTTCTTCATTTACTTTGTTATAAACAAGATTTCGTATATCAGGGTTTGTTATATAGAGGCTGCAGTGTAGTTATAAGCGTTTGTTAAAAAATGTACCAGATTTGTTCTTATGTGGTGAAGCGATGGATCTCTAACAATGTCCTCCCCTGCTTTCTCTTACGCATAAAAGGCACCTCACTACATTTTCACTTGATGGTAATTAGTTGAGCTTTATCTGCGAGTCTTATAACTGCCTTGATTGGTTAGTGTGTAAAGCAGGTGCATCAGGTGGTTTAATAGCTTAACTCTGCATGTTTTCTGGTTTATCCTAAGTTTTGAAAGTTCACACCTTGAGCATTTTTTTACATCTGTTTTGCATGTTCACTTTTGATAGTGATCCGCATCTCATTTCTTGATTATGATTGGGTTCTTTAGATTAAGGGAGCCAATCGCCACTGATATATTTCATACTGATCGGGCATAACTGTAGTCGGCAGTGCACCGTGTGACAACGCTATTATAGTAGGTGTACAAGAATGGGGCAGTATGCTTGGTTCCGAAAATGTGGCTCTTTTTGCGCTGACGGCCAACACTGCCTAAGCACATCATACTGCTGTGTCGTCACCTGTCGCCGCCCGCTGAAGTAATTTATGAGAAGCTGAGATACAAGGCCTCTAAGATTGGTAGCTTTAGTTGCCACGCTGGTCGTGTGCACGTGTACCTGGAAAACTCGTTGATTGTTCTCTACTGTGTCTAATGAAGCGTTTGCGAATTTTTTTATCTATATTTTTTATCTCTTGGCTTTTGAGGGGGCCTGGTGCATTTTAGTATTTGCAGGCTGATTCGAATTAAGGGCGTTTTCTCATGGGATAAATATAGCATCCAGAGTACACCGCGGTACATTTAGCTGCATTCATGCATATTCGAGGAGTGAAATGCCTGAACAAATCGAGCAACATTCGTCATTTAACGTTACACTTTTTCTTACATTTACATTACACTACTGGCTTATGCTGGTGAGAGGTAGTCTTGAAACTCGCCAGATGATGTTCACGTTGTCCCTCCGGACCACCTCGTTTTGTTTTGCCACATAAGTTCAAGTTCGTGTGACAGCTAGGCAGTCGTACATATGCATGGAATGAAACGCAAAGTGCTTTTTTTTTATCCCTTCTGCAATGAAAACTGTAAGCGAGCAGACAATCCAGGGGCCTGTTCTGCGATAGGAATTGTGCAAGCTCAGACAACGCAGGAGCAGCTTGATTTATGTCATTAATGCATAGAAATGTGTTGAATGTGCTTTTTTTTTAATGTTGCAGATACCTTTAGTTTCAATCGTGTGACGAGACTATCTTACTGAAAAACTGCAGAAAGTATCGCAATGCAAATTTAAATCGCACGCGCCGAGCACACCGTTCAATCATGGTGCCCCTACTGGCGGTTTCATTGCAAAAGCGACCACCTCTTTTCCATTATTTTTCTGTGAAGACAGCACACTATCCCGTTCTGGTACATGGAGGTGGAAATGCCGTAGGCCCGTGTGCTCATATTTGGGTGCACATTAAAGAACCCCAGGTGGTTGAAACTTCCGGAGCCCTCTAATACGGCATCTCTCATAATCATAGGGTGGTTTTGGAACTGTTAAACCCCGCATATCAATCAATCGATCCATTCTGGTACACCATACTATTAGTGCAGCCCCAGAAGAAGGTGCAAAAAGGAGCGTAATCTTACGTCACCCTCTTTTAAACATAATCACATTGATTGTAGTAAATCAAAGAAACAGTTGTGGAATGATCAAATTTTTAGATACGGGTCCTTCTGAATGCATCTCTGTAGTTATTATATCTCATAGTTACAAGAACACCAATATGCATTTTTTGAAAAGCACACCAGGTTCGAATGCAAGCTTTAATATACTGCATGTATTCGCTTTGACAAGAATGAGAGACACTATAGTGTCACATGATTTGCTGTTTGAAAAAGGACATGCGTTTGTTTTCAGCGATGACGTATTCGTTCAGAGCTCCAGTTCTTGTTCAGTTTGCCGTGACAAATTGACTACCGAGAATATTTTCGTCAAAATCTGCATGAAAATATGGTGGTGCGATTGACATAGAATATCTTTTTTTCATGTTTTCAGGTTTATGTCCTTTGACCTGACGAAAGTGTCTTTTAAAACATGACAAGTTCATTCCTGGTTTTCCTTACCAAAAGATGCAAACCATGTTTTGCTAATTTCAAAAATGTTTCCTTAGTCTCGGCGAGCTAGTGCAAGAATATTAGAAGTTAGATATTGCACATTAGAAGTTGGATATTGCACGCTTTTTAGGTCATGCAAGCCTTGTGTCAGCATAGGATGGACAACTGCCTAATCCGACTGAAATTCTTTTTATAGTGTCAATGTTTTAGTCGTTTCTCAATTTTTGTGGCCTGTCGATACTGGTAGTTTCAGCATTTTCCTTTTAGCAATTGCGTGAAAGGTGTATGCAGTTTCTTCCCATTTGCTTGCCACTTTTTGACAAGCACCTGTCAACAGAAACAAGGTATTAAAAGAGCTTGCCAGCGCTTTCTTTCATGGCAAATACGTCATTTTGTACAAAGTAGATGATGGTCGCAGAAGCTGTACAAGTCTGTTACTCAGCCCCCCTGTTTATGACCAAAAGAAAGAAGTGCTTTGAATGTAACATGTTTTCACTGTCTTGACCTACCCTTGTACATAATATACCCCTAATAAACATTTTTTTTTTTCGAATTCACATGTGTGCATCTCTGTTAGTTTGCCATAGTAATGGCAATCACAGTGATCGTTGAGCCACGAGTTAACACAATTGTTTTAAGGGCTTGTCTTGCAGAAATTCCAGTGCTGGCATTGGTGTGACGTCGTTGGTTGTCAATGAAAAATGATCATCTTGTCCATGATTAAGAAATTGAGACTGATGAAAATAAATAAATGTCTTCGGTTCAATTGAAAATCGAACCCAGGCCATCTATTGCTTGACACTACTTGGAGGAAAAAAAAAGAAGAAAAAAAGAAAACACTATATGAATGTCATCCAGTCAAAGGAGTCTCCTTAACGCACGTAACATTGTGCGACAGAAGGGTAGAACCACGCCGGGCATCCAAATCTCGAAACATGTAAATTGCGTGGCGAGTGGGTGTTCTAAAGGCCCACCAATTACAAAGTGCTCGGGCATATCTAATAATCATCAGCTACAAAAGCTTTAACAAAACGAGCAGGCTGCAAATGTTCGCGTGTGTCCTTGGGTACGTGTAGTGGGCCCTTCGCTGATCCGCAAACGGAAGAATTGTGGCATGGTGGGCATTACACAACTGTACTTGCAGTAGGAATTCTAAGATGGTTTGAAACGCTCTATGTGATGCACGCAGTAATTCGTTTTTCACAGCTGCTAGCTTGGCCTCACTTCTCGGTGCATGCACCGAGAAATGGCATGCACCGAGAAATGAGGCCAAGCTAGCAGTTGCGGAAGCAATGCACGTGAGGCCCGAAGTGCTGTCGCATTCTACTGTTGGAGGCAAAGCTCGGGCATCCTCGCAAGTTCTGGTCGCAGCGTATGCCGGTATCTCTAGCCCGCAGTTTCGTCACAAGAGCTGCTATATCTTGGTGCTGCACGCTGCTTGTAGAAAATGTGCGTGCTGCCGCAAGTTTAGACAAATACTTTGCAGAGAAGCAGTCTACACAATTGTAGTATTTTTTGGAGAATGAAGTTCAAGCCGTAAAACCACATAAAAGTGCAGTCAAGTAGACGGTCAAAGCTCGATACAGTGTCCACTGCTTTCCGACCTGAGCTTACGTTAATTTTTTTATAGATTTGGCGTATTTGTAACATCGTGATAACTTTCTGCTACACTTCCAAGCAGCTGCAGTTAGTACGCAGGCACGAATTTTCGAGACACGCACTTACATTTCCTTGCAAACTTTGGCACATTTAGGTGGTTATTTCAAAGCGCTCTGGAGGCCCTGAAAAATTTACGTAAAATAGCAACCAAGTGTTACAACCACAAATATTGGGCCAATACGCGATAAGCAACATGAGTTCCATATTTTCTGTTTCTCACTGAAGAGATTTAAGGCTGTTGAATTAACGGTTGAATTAACGGCTTTCAAACACAGTCAAAGCACTCTCAAACGGCCACCCTGAACGTATTAGTTCTCTATGCATGAGAGCCAAGGGCACTGGTTGATTCATACAGTGCTGCTAGTACTACGATTTGGTCTTTATTGGCTTCTTTTTTTTGTTTCTGGGCATTGTATAGGGCCCTTCTTGTTTTGTGTGTGTGTACAATGCATGTGTATATTGTGTGAAAGCGATGATGATTGATTGGTCCCAAAGTGGATGGAATGTAAATGTTTCAGTCTTCCCTTCGGGAGGGTCGCTGACCTCGTGGTCATTGACCTGACCTTTTGGTTGTCTGTCGCTGCCTCGATACGCGCTCCTTTCCCCTCGTTGCATTCTTTTATGTACAGAGTTGGCTTGCGCTGGCAGCTTCGAAGAAGAGGGAGGCATGTGAAACGGATGTTGCCCTGAGATCTTTCTACACCGACGTTTCATTGCTGTCCCTGGAAAGAGAACGAGAAAGCGGCACATAAAAAAATGTGGCGCTAAACTAAGAAAGAAGGGGAAACCCCAAGGGATCATTTTTCTTTGCTAAACACAACGTTAGGACACAAAAAAGTATAAAAATTTACAGGGGATGATATTTGTAGTAATTATGATGTAAACGTGAGGAAAGAATAGTTCACAGAAAAAGGATGTTCCTTGCCGTTGTGGCTACTAGCAGTGCTGACTACACTACCACATTTAAATACACCTCTATACCCCATAAAGTTGACGGGGGTACGACCGCCACTTCAGCTCAGTCGGTTGAGCATCGGACGCGTCATTCGAAGGTCGAACGTTTGGTCCCTGCCAGCGCAAGTTATCTTGTCATCCACTGTACTTTACATTTACAACATAAGTCGACTCTCGTTAATTCAAACTCGAAGGCATAGAGTTTCTTAAATATACGCTAGAAGGAACTCTGGCGCTAGTGCCTATAGGAGGTGCAATGCATAGCGCTTCAGCAAGCAAGGGAATTATGGGTATGACATGGATTTGCTTAGTCTTCATACTTTACGTTCGTCCTGGCTTTGCGTAACTTGAAGCTTCTGTGTCATGAAACAATCAAAAAATGTCTAGCAGTTACGCTTCACCACCTCAATATTTTAGGTTTACCACTTCAAATAGAGTAACGAAGTGAGAAACGGTTCGTTCTTTCATTCGAAACGAAACCCAAACACAGCAATAATTGAAGCTACAAGTGCATTCGCCCCCAGAAAGCACGAAGACTAGGCAAATCCATGTCATACCCATAATCGTCGTGCCAGTGTCCCCTCTATTTAATTTTAGAAAACTCTATACTCGAAGGGACCTCTGAATTTCGTTTGAACTATCGAGAAGTTTGAATTTTAAGAAGTGCTCCGATATATGACTGTGGATGAGATAACACCACACATTATGTATAATTAGGCATTAATTTTATCAGATTTTAAAAATTTTCAAGTGTGTTTAAACCCTAACTGCCCGCAACGAACAGAAAACAGAGGTGTAAGGTCCACAAGTTTATCGGTCATTTACTACAGATCAGACCTTTTAAAGAAATCGTGAATTGCCAACTGCTTCTTTGCTATATGCGCCTTCAGCAAAATGCTCTCTATGCGAGTTGAGAAGCATCGTGGTTTACCTTGCATGTGCTTTGTTTCAAACATTTGTTTACTAGCAAAGCCTTTTTCCTTGAAAACTTGAGGTGCTTATTTTCAATTTTTAGGCTGTTATGATTATATAGGCACGTAAATTTTTAAATAGCAGTGGGAAAGCAGCAGATAATTTCTGGTATGGAACTGCAAAAAGGATGAATTAACCGAGTGATGGAATTTGAATAAAGAAACCTTTAAATACATTGAAACATTACAGGGCCAACCAAAAAAGTGAATTTCGTTAAGTATAAATTATCAGTTTGAATTGTCGCAAGTCTATTGTAATTGCCGCAAATAACATCCTCGACACTTTCCTTGGCTTTCTTGTTTGTAAGGTCTAATTGTTGCTATGCTTAACGGAGATAAAGAATGCCACTCAGAACCCTGATTTGATTAGCTTAGTTATTGTTATGCGCTCGTTTGAAGATGTGCCAAGGAAATTTAGGACGATGCAACGAGTCATAGAAAGAAAACATAAGGGTGTAACACTAAAGGGACTCCGCTACACTTTCTCGAGTAACCATTGGATGGCTACATTAAAGCAGTTTTGATGCATACATAAATGCTACTACTAGATAGTACTGCGAGGCCAAACTATTTGCGTTAGGTCACTCTGGCACTTCAACGTAATGACAGGATAGCCGCAATTTCTATGTGTTCTCATGCAGGGTGACACATGATACGAAACTGAAAGCAACCATGATCTAATATAAAAATTTATTTTAGGAAAGTCGATTGACGTACTCACTCAGAATCGGACGCGGCCAGCGGAGGCATGTTTGGCTTGTGGCACAGGCCGTCCTTGCCCTTGGGCGTCGGCTGGTCAAGGTTGTTCCTAAATTCACCGTCCTCGTCGGCCCACTGGACGTTTGACGAAGGAGAAACCAAGCCCTGCGATGACGACAGCGTCGGTGGTGACAGTGGCGACTGGCTGTATATTGAGGTTATGCCGGCTGTGGTGCCGTAGCTGTGGGACGTCGTCAACGAGCCCAGGGCGGGAATGGATGCGAGCAATCCTTGCTGCGGGGAAGTCAGTGATTGTTGCTGCGTGTGCTGCCCCAACTGCTGAGGTAACCCGCAGTCCCACAGGCCACCACCGTTGTAGACCATCGGCGACATGACATCGGTGACTGGAGCTGCAGACAGCGGCGAGATGGTCGTCGTTGCCGGGAGAGGCACATCTGGAAGGGAGAGCGAAGTGAATTGTGAAACTGCACAAAGAAACAATAATAGAAAAAAAATAGGCTTGTGCGAATATTCGTATGCTTCAACATTCGAAGGAATAGTAGAGTATTAGAATTCACTTTGATTCGAATTTAAATTATTGAACATTCCGAAGTATTCGCAATAAACGAATAGGTGTATATTAATCCGCATGTAACCACCTGTAAAGGTAGTTTCACTGCAGTGTAGGGTTGTTAAACCGTGGAAACAACCACCTAAAAAAAATTACGCTGTGCCGCGAAATGCCCCTTCAAATTTAAAGGGGCACTGCGACGCTTTTTGAGCATGGTCAGAAAACGCTGCTGATCGGTAGTCAAAGCTACCAAAAACACACGAGCGGAATATTATAACACAGCACGCAGCCTGCAATTAACAATAAATTCTCAAAGTCAGCTGAAAATTGCTCCCTTCTCTCGGCGAATGACACCAGAAGCTCAAAAATCACTTGTCACAGCCATTGTATCAGCCAGTGACTGATTTGAGCATGCCGCGCTCCGTCCTTATTGGGGATACCGCGGGAGGCCGCCACTTGTGCACGCGCACATGCGCGATCCACTGAAAAGTGGCGCATTCGAAAAAAAGAAGAAGATATCCCACATACCTGGAAATCAACTGTATGTGAAGCATGCAGCGGGAAGGTGACGTGATCGTATTGCAATTTCTTTTATTGAGCGACACGTCATGAAATGACGTGTCGCTCAATTTATGTATAAATGTTGCACGCACAGACATATGTTGAAGAGTTACAGATGTTCATATAACCAGTTGTTTGCACTTGCACAACGATGCCAACTGGAACATGCGTATTAGCAACACCAGAAGCTGATGTGAAGCGCTGATACTGACGAAGATGTGAAGATGGCCCTGGACGCTGCTACACAAATCAACCACCGCGTATAGGAACTACCTACAACTGACTTTAACCTGACGTGACGGCTGTATCAAAGGAGTACATATGTAATGTTTATAAAATTGGGTAGGCAGCACTGCAATCACTATTGATGTTTCACGAAGATTAGCGTCTATTTGAAAAGTAGTTCTGAGACCTAGCGTAGCTCTGTGGTGAAATGCTTCATTGCCACGCAGAATGCTTGGTTTCGATTCCAGCTGAGACCCTGACACTTTATTCTTTGCGCTCGTCGGGTCGATGCTACCGATGTCTGGTATTTCTTCATAGTTACGTGTTAAAATTGCCCATGAGTGTTCTCCTTGTTCCTGGCTAGATACCAAGTGTCCATCATCTGTGGCGCATACCCGCATACCAACGGCACGTACCCGCCCATGGGTATGGGCCACTGTCTGGTGGGAATAGTTTGACGACGTACGTAACAAGATTGTGACATTATTCATGTCTTGACCAGCGAGTCATATTCGTCGAACCATCTTACCTTCCCATGCTAATTTTGGTTCACGCCAACTCCTTAAAGGGGGTGACAACGAGAACACCCAAACGTAAACGGCAGCTGGACGGACGAACGGACGGACGGACAGACAGACAGACAGACAGACAGACAGACAGACAGACAGACAGATAGATACGCTAGATAGATAGATAGATAGATAGATACGCTAGAAGTCGCCGAAGTTCACTAAGAAATGCTTCACATTAGAAAAGTGCTCATGGTTACGAGACGCGCGTGACATATTTTCTTTCCCTGTGCCTTCCCTCCCTGCTTAGTTTCCAGCACTTTTGTCGGGACAAGAAGAGAGGATGCAATTGCAGCGCGTGACAAATTTTTCAACTATGCTTGTAGTGGACGGATTATAAAAATTTTTACGGTGGTGAATTCATGAGGCAATAAGCTCCTGTAATTAATCCATTCCATGGCTATTAGAAAAATTGTTTCATGGCCCTTTTAAATGAACCTATCAACCTGATATCAGTTAATCACTTTATTAAGCTTAAAAGCTTGTTATGATGGCTTATACGCTCTAGGTATAATAAATTTTAAAATGTTACCCATTATAAAGGTTATGACTCGCATCCTAATGAAAGTCAAATCCTGCTACTACTTCAAGTTGTTTCGACTTCCTTTGAATGAAGAAAATAATGGCATTTTCATAAAGGTCCTATTTGAATTAAATAAAAATATTGTGCGGGTTGTTCGGTCATGATATATAGCCCTTTTTTTTTATATGTCACCTATACTATTCGAATTTGTTTCAAAATTATTCGACCAAGATTAGTATTTGCTTTGAACCTAGAATAAATTATTTGCACAAGCCTACAATAAATAAATATAGGTTGAAAGATTGTACTGTGAAAGTCCTAGTGTAGTTAATTTCACTACTTCAGAATTAATAAAAGGGTAGACGAGAAAGCAAAGTCCAAAGTTCATATTTAAATTTGGTTCTGAAATTTCCACACGAGTCGTCACACATTTTATAATGGACATTTTGTATTGGCGACACTGCCTCAACTAAATTTCCTGAAACTTGGTATACGAAGTATATGGCCTTCTCAAAAAACAACGTACTTCAATTTTACAGATTGGAACTGCATAGGACTTAGCAGATGCCATCAAAATCTCCGACGTTATTGGCGAGGAAATTTCAAGGTGACATCACCATCTGCATTTTCTTTTTGCATGTTTTCTTGCACACCAAGCATCTCCTGATGGCAAACTAGGTGATTTTGGAATTGTGAAAAAGCAATTAACTGATATAAGAAAAATTGCTGCTCTCTTTAGTGTCCCTTAATGCATTAAGTTGGTGATTCAAAGAGATTAATTTTCAGAAGTTGTCGCAAAAAACAAACAAACAAACAAAATGTGCAAGCGTGTGCAAGCAAACCACGCGGAAACTACTCCTGATATAGGCACGGATGCATACCTTCCTCACGGACGGTTGGGAGTCCAGAAGTGTCCCTCCAGGATGGCTTCGACTCTTCGTCGTCCGAGGAGTGGCTCGATGCGAGGTCGAGGGAGGCATGGTCCAGGGACATTTCAGAGTCCGAGTCCGACGTTGTGCGCCGTTTTCGCACCACTTCGCCTGCATCAGGATCTGTTGTGAAATCACGTTTGGCACATAAGCTACACTGTACGCACTGTGTACACAGGCGTGTGCAGGGGAAGGCGAGGGAGGGTGGCCACTCCCTCTATTACTCTAAAAAGCCCCTGCCCCGCAATGAACAACCTCGCACACGCCTGAGCATAAGGAATAGGTGAGCAAAGCATCGGTTTAGACCAGTGTTAGACAGGTTGCCTCGGTTATTTAGAATATTTCCTCTGCTGAAAGGTAGAGCTGCAGTAATTGGTAAACCTGAAGACACATTGTGCAGTGGGTCTGTTCTCTTGTCTTGCTTCAAATAACGGTGCTGGTAATCATGCACATGTATACCACCACAGCGTTAGAAATTACTAATAGATGCTATTCTGCACTCTTAAGGTTGTCCTCGTAAGTCAAAGCGTACTTATGCAAGACGATATTATGACAGTAAATACAGACACGAAAGGCACAAGTTCTATGTGCGTTTTATGTCTCAGTGTGTGTTTACATAGTAGATTCAGTGCTAATTTTGAAAAGCCAAGAGCGAATAGTTCACTTTATTACAAGTTTTACCCCAGTGTTATTTTATTTCTCGCTGTTTCTCCCTTACACCAAATTGTTCCTATTAACATTTTGCCGTACTCATGTGGGACACGACTGATGTGTAAGAGAGTTCACGAACACTGCCGTCGTTTTGATAATGAAACGTGCCTGTCACAATTAGATCGCATAATCATTTTCAACACGACAGACTATATTTAAATTGATGTATTCATCAGTTCTTGGGATTTGGTTGCGATTCCCCTGCGATGAGTATTAGTGCATATTGTTTTAAACCACACATATGATTTCGAATACACAGCCCAAAGCGTATTTCTTCGCAGACTTCACAAATGAAGATATCAGTTTGCACTTTTTTATGTGCATTTCACGTACATACAGTTTTAGTCTGGGACCTGTGCTGCATTGTATACATACCACCAGAAGCATCAGTTACACAAGCGAAAGCATGCTTGCCTCTTGAACTTTGCCGCCAACAACCTAGACAACCCCAGTTACTGATTTATTCTAGGCGTGTAGTAGTATATACCTGGAATGAACCCCCCTTTTACGAATAAAGTTTTAATTTCGATCACAAGAATAATTTATATGGTGTGCTTTCTTCAATACACAGCTACTTCAGCCTCATGACAAAATTGCTGTGTAGTATTTCCTATGCTCCAGACAATATGAACTGGTTGATGAACGAAGTACGAAACATTAATGAAAGATTTGCAACAAAGCATAAAATTTATGAACACAATTATTAGACTAAGATTTAACAAAGATTGTGGGGTCTCGATGTCCCGAGAGAGAGCACCATGCTCTTGGAGTGAACGTACACAGTAGACACGGTCGGCACAAACCAAGTCAAATAGACAATTCTTTAACTACTTTTCGATCGACGATATTGTCAGCCGAATTACTATAACATCAATCGTGATCAAAAGGCTAAGAAATCTTTACACAATATTAAACAACCCTCAACAACATGACAAACAAGGCGGTGTTGGTAATGCCTGATTCACCACGTGGGTCCACCGCTAGAGGCAACCGTCCGCGCTACTGCCCCACGCCAAAAAAGATCAGCTTATTTCTTGCGCGCCGCCACCAAGGCGTGCCGCCAGGCGTCGCCGCCGGCGCTGGCGTTTTCTAACTACAGTGGAACTTCGATTATACGTCCCCCGGTCCTGCGACGACCCGCGTTTTACGACGAATTGACTTGGACCCGGCAAAACCCCCATAAAACTAATGTATTGAAAACCTTCATTCTACGACGCAATTTTACGCCAGCCCCGCCTTGTACGACGCTTAGCTGGACTGTCGGAGAAAAAAAAAACCTACAATGACGCACGCAGGCTGCCACGCAAGCACACTGCGGCCGGATGAAAAAAAGTCGGGAAACCATGGAACCGAGTTCGTTCCTCCGCACGTTCTAGCACACTATCCGCGCTGCCACCGCTGCCACCACAGGGCCTCTCCAATTTTTTGACCCGCTGTCCGCCATAGCTAGCCAGAGCCAACGTTGTCCAGCCGGAGTGCATTCGTTTTGCTTAGTCGCATTGCACTGCGCACTTCCGTTGGGGCCTTTTTTTTTTGTTTTCTGCCTTCTTTTGGATGGTTTTGTAGTGACAGCTGTGAGCAGGTAACATGGCAGATAATTTCGAGCTCGCTTTCTAGTATGCAATAACTTTCACTAGATTTCGCGTCGTTGTACCGGGCGTGTTGAACGGCGATTGTTGAGCCTGTGTACATTTGGGACAGCCGCGGGAACCGGAACTAGCTGCTGTCTAGGTACCAGAGGGCTAGACAGCAGCTAGTTCCGGTTCCGCTACCAGAGTTCAGCAACCTAGAGCTGCCTGGATCCTTCGCGGACTATGTTGGTGCCGACGACGACGTTGCAGTGTGCAGTGCAGTGTTGCTGGATGACATTATCGAAACTGTGCGTCCTGACACTGCGGGAACTTCCGACGAGAAAGAGATAGATGACACTGCAGAGGCTAGTGCGTCCGTTCCGACGTATACGGACGTGTTGTGCTACGTTGACAACATTCGGTGGATTGCTTGCGCACGCGACGAGATCGGCGACTTGCTGCCAGATGTCGCAGCTCTCGAAAGAAAGCTGATGCATTGTGGCTAGGCAAACTCGCAGAAAAAAATCACAGATTTTCTTAAAACGTGAGAATAAAGATTTGTTCACACCTCCGATAAAATGCGTGGTTGTCATTTTTTCAAGTAATTTAATCTACCTTCATCGGAGCAGCGTAGATTTGTGCCGCGGACTTTCTTGCGCATTATGTGACAACTGTTGTGGGGCAACAACGACCATCAGTGCCTATATTCTTGGTTTTTCGATTATACGACGCCCGGATTATACGACAATTTTGCGTGGTCCCCTGAAAGTCGTATAATCGAAGTTCCACTGTATAATGATAATAGTGGTGATCAACGCTCGCGAACACAACGCCACCTACCGCATGATAATTGCGACCCCTAAATGCGGGTTCTGCGCGATACACGTGCGCCGGCGCAAATAACTTTACAGGGGGTGTCAGCACCCCCACAAGATGATGCTGCTGTTTTAACAATGGACAACCAGCATAATTTGGAATTAGTCAATGCTAGCCATCACTCAGACATTACTCGACATTAGCCATTATCCAGTCAAAACGTAACAGCCAACATGAATAAGTGTAACAGTTCTTACCATTATGCACGTGGCTTCTGCGATGCGGAATCCTTCCATTACTGTTCCAGGGGCTGCTTGATGTCTTAGCCGTAGAGCGGCTTGTTGTAGACGATGTGGATATGCCAACATTTCGGTGAAGTATGTCGAATGATGAGTTATGGTACGCTAATGCCGACCTCTGTAAGGTTGCAAAGCACAGAAAAAGACGCTTTTTTATTTGTACATAGGAAGATAGCTCATTTTCTCATGCATAAGCTGACCCTGCATATAACCCGCACCCCCAAACTAAAGAAAATGTAGTAGGCTCTCGTTAAATTAAACCTGAAGGGACCAAAATGTTATGTTATATTTAACGGAAGTTTCATTCACTAAGAGATGGAACTTGGTTCAAGCTTTCCGGTACGAAACCAACATAGTAGGAGCAGTTGTTTCATTTAAAAAGTACACACATACCTTGATATAACAAACACAGATATAATGAAATATTGGTTATAACGAAGTAAATAAAAAATAGTCACGCAATAGATACAGTGTTATGAAGAAGCTTTATAATGAATTTTCGGATAGAGCGAGCTTACTTTATTGCAAGCTGCAACTTCGTTATAATGAGGTTTAAATGTAATTCTGTGTCCGTGATTTTAGTTTACTGAAAGTCTTTCGTAATAAATAGTAATAATAATAATGCTAAAAAAGAAACTTGAGAATTGCTGTGAAGACTTCTTTCTTGCATTACCATGGATCTGACTTGTGCATCGAAATTCGTGTACAATCCAAAATCCACACCCCGATCTTATCTCTGATTTTTCCGTATATCTTGTGTGGGTTATGTGCAAAAAACACACTATATGTGTTGTCACAAGATGCGCTTAGCGTTGAGCCCTTTGCACTATATAAAATTATAACTGCATGTTCCTCATGAATACATCCTGCCTTGACAAAGAAGTAGAAGAGAGACAAGAGTTTTCTATGCACTGTACAATGCCCTAAATTTCATAGGTTGATGTGACCCAATTATATAACACACGATTAATTATTGAAAGCTCCACGATGAAGTACTTCACTCCGCAAACTGATGCGAGACCTGGCGCAAAAGCTTCGGTAACAGCTAAAGTGACATACTAACACTATCACTGAATACTAACCGAAATCATGGATGCCCTGGTTCCACTGAGACTTTCGTCGTAAGGAATTTTCTTTCCTCTCATCCTTGCCCAGACATAGCACAGATGCTGACGAACCTAAAGATATGAGAAAATATATCAAAACTGCAAACAACAAGTAAGAACGAGTACCAGCACTAACTGATAACCAGCAGTATCGTAATGACAATGTAGCAACACCCGACAAATGTTCGACAACCAAGGTATTAGTGGGAAACGCAGTAAACCTTGCAGGTACTCCTACAAACAGTCGTGCATGATTCAAAAGTCTTATCACCCTTTGTTTCGTGTGCTTGGCCCCTAGTTCTCATTGCTGTTCACAGGCGTTCTCTTATCTGAAACTCAAAATTTTTTATCACGTGTCGCAACTACTTTTTAAAATTTTTTAAATCTCTCTGTTCGTCACCATAAAAAGCAACGTAAACAAAATTAACTACAAAGGTCACACTTCAATTTCTGCAATAATGACTCTGTCACCAAGTGAAACAGCGAATTACCGAACAGCAAGAATACGGGACATAAGAAAGAAAGTTCCAACGCAACCGTCCAGCATGTACAGACAGGTCGACTGTTAAAGGGAATGCTTGCATGCAGGGAGTGTGCAGAGTTTGCTCTCTTGCAAAAGCATAGTAGCTTGGATTTGTATAATACTACTGGTGGTCTACAGCTACGACTCTTTCAGACAACCTGGTGCCGTGTAGAAACTATATTTCTAAGTTCACTCGCAATAAGGCGTCCAGCAATACGAAAGGCTTAACAGTAGACAATAGTGTACTTACTAGATAAAATTGAATTGACCCACAGGGCAAGATATAGCAACCAGTTCAAGTTAACACACTGGTAGTCATCATCACGGTTACAACAGGTAGCACCATCAACTTTAAGATTATAGACATTGAATTTGGCAGCGTTACAGAGGTAAGCGTCGAAACATGACACTCGCGGTTTGTGACAAGGCAGCGAGAAGCTGTGCACGCACCCTTCGGTTAAGAATGCAGTAGCCGAGGAAGATGTAGATGCCAGTGATAAGACAGACAGCAGGAAAGGCGAGCCGCAGTTCGGGTGGCTCGTCGCTGACCGACAGCAGGGCAAGTGTCCAGCAACTGCCGACCAGCGGCAGAAGCAGTACGCTGACCCACAACAGCACCCTGAAAGGAGAACACATCGGCACAAAGGTTAGGTCAGCAACCCAATTAAGCAATTGATAAGAACCAAGATTTCAAAGCTGTGTGCAAGGCTCTGGGACAATTTTGACCAAGCAGACCAACCAACGTAGAATGTTTGGCATGTATATAGTTGAAGCCACGCATATTCAACCCACATAACAAATAATTGTAATCTCCCCTTTAATATATATTTGAATACTATATGTAAACTGTAGGTTTACATATAGTATTACAAATAGTAGTACATATAGTATTACAAATGGGTTTGGCTGTAGCAGTAATGGCTACAGACTAAAAAAAAAACGCCATTTTTGCGATAAATCAAACTTTTGCAAGTGCTTCTTGAACGGGTGAAATGAAAGGACGAAAAAGCTGAAGCAAGATGACAAAAATGCTGACCCCAACGTCTGGGTCACGTCCTAAATTTCCACATTGTGTGCTGTTGATACATTGAATTTCCATTCAAGAACGATTAGACCAGTCATGTAAACACGAACAATGTTATACGAGTTATTCATCAATAATGTAGTGCAATGCTTGTTCGCACGTGACAAACCTGCTTGTTTTTGCATGAGGACAGTATGGAGAATTAGTGCTGCTACAAAGCAGTAACGAATGACGTGAGAAAGATAAGAAAACGGGAATGGGAAAACACGAAACCTAACATTAAAATTTTTGATGTCCACCGCTACTACGGGCACTGAACTTAAAAAAATGATCACTTAATATTGAATCAGAATTCTGAGTAGCTGAATACGGTTGCTGTTGAAATGTCTAGTATTTAGATACTCTAATGATTGAGCGACTTTGAAACATTTGGATGCTTCCTTGAATGATAAAGATGCATGAGCAAAATTGCTACATAACCGCACTTTTCTCACGTATATGTGTCCGCACAACAAAGGCAGAAAACTTGGAGCTAAGTAAGCTAAATTTGAGGTGTAGGCTATATGAGAATTTCGACATGAAAGATGGCTTCCCGACAATGATCAACAGCAATGCAAAAAAGAAGAATTTACAGCACTATGCAGAATGTTCGAGGTATAGCGCATCGATGACGGGACAGAGAAGAAGACACAGAACACATACACGGCGCTGTGTCTTCTTCTCTGTCCCGTCCTGGATGCGCTATACCTCAAACAACATGAATAACCAACAAGCCCACCGTGCAACCTTAGTCGACTATGCAGAAATTTTATAAATATATATATTTCCGTGGATTGTAGTATTAGGTGCAGCTTATATGGAGGGGCAGGTTATAGGAGAGAAAATACAGAACTTCTTTGCCCTCTATTCAGCCATGTAACACCTGCAGCGGTTTTCAAGGCAGACAAGCAAGCAAATCTATAGTCGACATCGTGCACAGTTGGCTCGTTTCGTCATTTCACTAACCTCAGGTTTCCAAAGTCCATCACTGTGTCCTTGATCTGGACACTCGCCCGTATCGACAGAGAGAAGATCACGAGGGTCGCCTGCATGGATATGACAAAAAGTGTTAATTAACTATTGACCCTCACTCAATTCAATGAGCATGCACTACAGCGTCCAATAATGTGATGCCACTTACCAGAACCATGTAGACTATTTTACGGGTTGGTTTCAGTGGCAACATGTTGGGCTGTTAACTTTTGCGCTTTGCATTTCCAACAACCAAGCGAACAGCATTACGCTAGACGTTCATGCATAAGCATCGTTGGGTTGGTGTGTGTGATGTTTCGTGACCTTATCGATTCAGATCACACTATGCGAAAACAAGAAAACATCGACTTAACAGTTTAAGATGACGGTGCCCCCATGTCTTAGATAAAATAGTCCATTGTCAAAAAAAAAATCGAATGCAAGTACAGTTGAACCTCTCAATAATGAAAACCTTCAATAAGCGAAATTCTCACAGCAATGAATAAATCTGGCGTCCCCGACGAACTTACACAGAGTTCAATGCTCTCAACAGTGAAGAGACCTTGAAAAGCTCTGCCGCTATAACCAGCGCTTTAGGTAGCAATGCGCAATGTTTTCTTTTACACGTGAGCTAACTTAAAACTGAGAAGTTCGAAAATTGCAGCACTGCTCATTCGACAAGTCGGGCACATTCGTTTTCGTCAACAAATATTTGTGCAACCACTGCTGTTTACATTCGATCGAATGACGGTGATAACAACGATACTTTTTTGTTTTTTTCCCCGAGAACAATATTTTGCTTACACCTCTGTTGTCAACTACATCAGCACATCACATTTAAAGTGCCCGCAAAGAATATCAGGAATGACGAGAGTGAGGAAAGCAAAAAAAAAAGTAAGTGCGTGCAAAGTTCTTGACACTTTTTCCATCATTCTTATGTTTTTCAGCGCTTACAACAACAACGAAGCTATGTAAAGCTAAATAGACTGTGAGGCTTGAGCCATGAAGCTGATTCAAATCAACGTGAAACAGAGCATTACAGGCGACTTCTTCAAATAAATTTTTTAGGTTGTGCAAAGTGACTGATGTGCACGTAATTTCTTTCTACTTTTACAACATTAAAATTCTCACGAGAACAAACTAAATTGCTTCCCCGGTAATTTCGCTTTTGAGAGGTTCAACTGTAATAAAAAAGTATATATATGTATCAGATGATTGAAAACTAGAGCTATTAAAACAGCTAAATTCTGGGTGCAAAGTGAATTCCGATATTAAAGTTTGAGTGCAAATCGAATAGATGATTGATTTGTGGGGCTCAACGTCCCAAAACCACTATTTGATTATGAGAGATGCCGTAGTGGAAGGGCTCCGAAACTTTGACCGCCTGGGGCGAATCGAATAGAATATTTTTCTAATACTTCAAAGTGAAATTTCAGAAACAAGGTTGCAGAAGATCCCTAAGCACATTCTTATAAGATACGAAGATGGAAGTGTTTTTTTCTGGCAATGGGTGGGCTAGATTGATGAAGTGCAGGAGGAATGGTGTTTCATCTTTCCATGCTGCATGCTGTTTGTTTATGGTATTATTTTTCACGAACAATAAGACCACTTGTGTGAAAGTTACTAAAGTCAGATGAATAGTTAACATCTCGCGTCTGGCACAGCATAACTTCAGCTGCTTTTTCACACACACAAAAAAAGGCCTAACCAGTAATTAACTAACCACGTTGCCTGATGCTTCAGTTTGTGGCAAGACAGACATAAGGCAATTGCGTTCCAGGAAAACTCACAAGTTGTGGGTAGCATAGTGGTCAGCTCGCACGCCAACGGCCAGCCCAACCACCACAGCAGGTGCGCCGTAGCCGAGGGAGTAGTAGAAGCGCATGTGCCCGTGGTTGACGTCCTTCATCTCGGTCAGCATGCGGTACAGGTGGACCGCATCCAGCGAGAGCCAGGCGAAAACGCACAAGAAGCCGTAGTGCAGAGAGATGGCCAGCAGCTTGCATGGGAACTGCGGAATCGGGGAGCTTGAAAGGAAGCCACTAGGACACGCGAGTTTCGTCGGAAAGCAGCATAAAGCCTCTGCCTGTGCCACAGCAAGGCCTACCTTCATGAAAACGGCATGACAGATGAGGAAAATGTTTATTCAGAGACTAATTGCTGAAAGACTTTATTTTGGCAAAGCTGGTTATCGGTAGGTAATGCGTATAGTGGAACCTGGATATAGAGAGTCTGCAGATAATCACAAGAATGTTCTATATATGAGTTATTTATTATATAAAATATTTTTTATACTGAAAGTATATTCAAGAAATTTTTCAACTGTTTGACATACACAATAACTTGTTACATGTGCGTTTGATACATGTGGCTTTGATTGTATTGTTGAAGTGCTCTTTCGACAAAACTGGTAGATGTCCTATTTTATTATTGTATTTAAGCAGACAGCGCAGACACTCGGTGGTCAATGGCTATGAGATGTAAATCCCAGCATGCTGCTTCAGAGATTCCCGGTGCACTACGAGCATCCGTCAGCATATATCTCATCCAGGAGGCCATGGCGAGAAAATGAGCTTGTTCTCAATATTCTAGAACATGCCCCACTTCAGAACACAGTAACAGTGTTTGTTTTTTGTCATACATTATCAGAAACATATCTCTTTGTTAGCTATTTAAAACCATCTACACATACTTCGAGCATAGAAACTTTGAAAGCCGCTTTACATGTGCACGATCGATAAATGGGCTTTTAATGTGCAATGATTCATAGTTACCGTTTATAGTGTGTATACAAAGCTATGTTTACCTCCATGATCCTGCTCCAGCCCCTACAAATGTAAGTACACATAAGAGAACATCAGTGAGTTTTCACAAGGCTTTTAATGAACAAGAAGTGACAATAGAGGAAATAAAAGAGCATATTTTAGTTAACAGAGGCAGATTTGTGCATCTGTGGTTTCCAATAATGTAACTTGCTACAGTGTCGTACGCACATGGGGGGGTGGGTGCAATTTCCGCCCCATACACTGACTTAAGGTGGAGGGGGGGGGGGGGGATGAACCTCTGTGCCCCTGAAAAGGAATCCTGCACACCGTTATGGCTACAAAGCACGTCACTTCACTTGCATAGTTTGCCATTACCGTCGGTGACCGCTGTGCCACTGACACTGACCTCTTGGTAAAGGAGCGTTCGACGCAGCTTGAGGGCGACCAGGAAGAGAAGCAGAGAGACGAAAAGGCAGCCAACGAGGTTTCGATGAATCGAGTTGGAGTTTGTGCAGGTTCCGCGGAGAAGGCTCAACACGAGCCACGTCAGGAAAAGCATGACCAGCGCGCCGACGAGGCCAGACCAGGCAACCGCTCCTTCCGCTGTGGAAACCTCGGCTAAGTGCTACAAAAAGAAAGGCAGAGCATACCGTGTAAACAGCAGCAGATAAATATGCACTTAAGCCTCGATACAACAAACCCTGGTAAACTCAAAACTCAATGTAACGAAACAGGATATAACAAAATATTGGTTATAACGAAGTAAATCAAAAATAGTTTTACAATAAATATAGTGTTAGGAAAAAACCATTATAACAAATTCTCGGGTATAACAAACTTACTTTAGTGTAATATACAATTTTGTTATAATGAGGTTTGAGTGTATAACAAATTATGGATTATAACGAAGTGAAGAATAGCCTTGTTATACAGTGTTAAGAATATACATTTATAAAAACTTTCAGATATAACAAAGCATTTTCATGGCAGATCTGGCTTTGGTATAAAGAAGTTTGTGCGGACAACATTTTCGAGTTTAAAGCCTGCCAAGAAAGTAGAAAAAAATCGGAGCTAAACTCGAATTGTCGGTAATCTTTCACCTCTCACTGTGTGCCGATTTTTATTTCTACTTGTTTATTTATTTATTGTCATTACTAATATAGTTGTTGTTATTTCTTTGTGCAAATGTGTACTTTGACTAATCACTCACAGTTTGTGTCAAGATATCACAGTCGAAAATCTCTCCAAGCTGCCATTCGAGCAGCTTTGTCTTCCAGACCTTGCACAGTTTCCATGGTTTTGTTACATGTCTAACAACACCAATACTTCACTCAAAGTTGCTGCAATGTTGGTTCTACATTATAAACATCTCTGTGTTGCCTCAATGTTGTCTCAACATTTTTAATGCTGCTACAGTGTTATGGCAACAAGGCATGCTAATAAAGACGCCAATGATGGCATAAACTAATAATTTAGTTTGTAATGTCTGATAATTCCTGAAGTTTATGTTCATAATAGTGAGACATAGCTTAATTGCTATTTTTCATAAACACAGACTACAGGGGATGCACTGGTGAAGTACCTCGTGAAGTCAAAATGCTTCCTTATGTCAGACTCTCAATGAAGACTTTGTACCCAGATCTTAATTAAAAAAAGGAGAAGAAAAAAAGTGAGAGGAGCTTTTACCTCACGACTGACAATGTCAGTCAGAACGGCAAAGCTGCTGAGGTGGTCACAGGAGCAGTTGACGTAGGCGGTGTCGAATCCTTCAACCTTGCAGCCTCGGCTTCGACCACTTGCCGCGACCACTTTGTTGTAAAAAACACACATAGAGAAAAAAGTGCACTGTTTCAGTAGGGTCGGATATGAATCGCGGTAGTGATAGCTGAGCTGGCACCTGGCTTGATACAAGTCACGTTTAAGACAGTGTCTTTCTGTTAAAGCCTAACGCCGCTAAAAAATTGATTGTGCAAGTTCGTATCCGAAGATGCAGCAAATAATGGGCGAGAAAGGAGGAAAGCAATATAGATAAATGCTTGCCCATGTTGTTTTCCTTTCTTTCTTTCCATGCTGTAGACATTTATTTCGTTCAAGGATGCATACTAGAAAAGGTGCTTTTACGACCAATGGTCACTTTAGCAAAGAACAATTACACTCGAACCTCACTATAACAGTCACATCTGCCATAAAACTACTTTATTATATATGAAAATTCTTTATAAACGATTATTTGTAACATTGCATTTACTGCAAAGCTATTGGTCACATTGTTATAACCAGTAATTCATTATATTTAAACTTGTTATATTGAGGTTTGAGTGTAATTATGAGTAAAGAGAAAAAAAGACACTAAGTAAGCATCATAATCATAAATTCAGACATGAGCACCACTACCTCCTCGGTGATTCTTGTCAGTTCACGAAGTGACAAAACTGCTCTATAAATCTTGGCCCGCTGTTTCAGTTTTATAAATGCAAAGTGACCATGAAAATAATGTAAAGAGAAACCTTTGGACTAAACAGACAGTAAGATGCAACAATGTTATTACAAAAACTGACAGCCATAACACAACCGTGACGTTTAGCAAACTAACGTGCAACCTGCTACAGCAAAGTGCGTGGCAGAGAATCGAGCGAAGGTATAAAATTAATGCTCTTCGTGCAAGGTCTCAGTATATCTTTTGTAAGTGACGTCGTTAAAGCTAATGTGGGCTGCTTCTTTGAGCAGTTTCGAACAAAAGACTTGCACTGTATTCCTGCAAATTCGGTGGTTGATACAAACAACTAATCAAGAGTTTACTCACGTGGATGAAAACATCCAAAAGACGCACTGCGGGTGTTCACCTCGAGATCGAATTCTCGGGAAGCGGAAACGGACCTTGATCTGACCGACAGGTGTGCCCGCATTCGCTGGTTGAACCACCAGCGTCGTCACAGGACTTCCGAGCGCCAGTTCGACGCCAAACTTTTGCCTGTAAAGTTGAACACATCATGGCGACATGAACTCGGGTTTTCCCTGGATTTCTTAGATTTTCAGCAAAGAATTTATCAAGTCGATTCTGCTGTTTCAGAAAGTGCCTATATAGTATATGCCTACGTAAATCTTGTGGCTAGACAGGGCAAACGTAAATAAATCTCAAAGAAGGCGTGGTGGCCCTTCCGCAACAGTATATGCAGTAGGCATCCCACAATAGCTTGAAACGGCCAGTGTAACCTCCACAGCCATTTCTTTTCTTGTCATATAGTTTCTGTTGAAAAGTGAAGCCAAGACAATGGTTGAGAAGGTGATGAGGCCAGATTACGCTATTTTATTCAACTTTTAAAGGCTACACTCAACTGTCATACGAGTTAATGTTCTCATTTTACAACATTCCAATCTTACTCATCAAATGATTGCACTTTGCAATACCACTTGACAACAAGAGTTATAGCCTTTATACAGGGTGTCCCAAATATTATGCATCACTATTTTAAAAAAAGAGGAACATCGTTACGCTAACCACGCCTAGTGCATATTATTCCCAATATACTGTAGTAGCCCCAACTAATTTTTTGTTAACGAGGTTCAGTTATCAAGTCATAATTATGTTTTTAACTTGACAAGCACTCATCTAATCATTGAAACGTCAATGAGGCATATGTAGGCATGTTCAAATGACATCTAACTGTGCTATTTTCAGCGGCATACTAATTACGTGCTCATTTTTCCTTGTGTGGTAAAGAAACCACACGAAATATGAGAAATCACAAGCGACTACGCTGCCGCCCACAAAAGGTGGGAGCATAGCACTGACTTGCTCAAAGCTCCTAGTGATCCTGTTTGAGGGCACTGCTCCGTGATGTGTGCTGCAATCTAGTCATGTGTCACTTTTAAGATTTTGTAGGTCTTGCTCATTAGCCAAAAGAAAAGAAGTGAGCAAACAATTAGTACGCTGTTGAAAATAGCACAGCTAGATGTCATGTGAACATGCCTACATATGCCTCATTGATATTCGAACGATTAGATGACTACTTGTCGATTTAGAAAGATAATTAGTGACAATTAACTAAACCTCATTAAGAAAAAACTGAGCAGTGCCTACTGCAGCATACCGGAAATGATATGCACTAAGTGTGCTCCGCGTAACGAGATTCCTGTTTTTTTTAATTGTGCTGCGTGACATTTGGAACACCTCGTATAGCATCTTGAATGACATGCTATGACGGGGCCCTCACTAATGATTTCCAAGCTTGTGGCAAGTCCTACGTTATTAAATGGGTTTGAAAATTTGAGCAATCGACTGATTACTTCTGATGATAAATGGATTTGCACAAAAATGAGGCTCATTCTTCAAACCTTGCTTGGAGGTACAACAGCCAGTAATAATTACCAGCCTCTCAATGACTACATATGTTGCCATTTTATTTTTGAAATTTTTTATTACCTTCCACTACTATCTATACTTTTCATATTTATAGTAGGTAAATAAGAGTTTAGACTGCTCATCCTACGTACACATGGTCTTATACCATAAATCACAGTTTATACATTTATTTGGTTTTCTTTGATGTCACACATCCACATATACTTTTCAATAACTCAGATGAAAATATGTTGCCTCAATAATATTCATGAAGATTAATTATAGTCATGCTCAAAGCCTTTTGTTGGCAAGCCGGACAGATACAGTATATCATGATGACGTGAATACTGAATTCTCTACTCTAATTCAACTATTCAAAGATATAATAAAGAAAAGCCAACGTGAAATTTGGAAGCGTTCCTATGATGAGCCTGTTCGTGAATAGATGACTAACCATATACTTGACCTACTTAAAGTGAAAGACTACTAGTACCATAAACGGATGCACAACAAAGGCAATGGCGACTACCTAAGTGAGTATAAAAAAGCTCACAATGAAACAGTATCTGTTCTGCGTAAGAGGACAAGAGATTAGAACTCCGGGCTGATTACTCGAGCGGCAAGCAATTCTAAGAGGATCTGGCAACTTGTGAACGAGGTAATTTCCCAGTCTAGCAAGCAGCACATTGTTCCTGACAACAAAACGGAAAGTACAGTTGAAAACTCCAATACATATTTCTCAAACTGTAGGTCCTAGTCTTGCAAAGATACTTCCCGATCACAACTTTCCCGCACACTCCTTCGCTCCTATCGTTAATTCCTTCAAAATGCGCAACATTGAGCTGCATGAAATACTTGATACTGTGAACAAACTAAACATTGAAAAGGCTGTAGGATCTGATGGTATTACTATGAGGTTAAAGAAAACATTGATATACCGGGCACCAATTTACTCCGCCTATTCAATCATTCATTGCCCCCGGGAATCTACCCATCGACGTTGAAAACCGCTAAAGTGACTCCGATATTCAAAGAAGGAGACAATTCTGACCCCTCATGCTATCGTCCCATATATGTTCTTAGTGTAATCAATACTATCTTTGAAAAACTTCTTGCTAAGCACATTCATTCTTTCTTTGAAAAATACAATGTACTTTGTCTGCAATAGCATGGTTTCCAACCTAAACACTCTACATCCACAGCAGTACTTCCATTAACGAAGACTATAAACACAGCTCTTCATAATAACCAACTAGTGGTAGTTGTCTTTCTATCGTAATAAAGGCTTTTAACACAGTTGATTATGGCATTTTACTCAATAAGTTGAAGCGCTTATGGGTTTTGCAACAATGAACTTCATTTTTTTTCACAGTTATTTTGATAATCGAAAACAAATAGTACATATGAGTGGCATAACGCCATCCCCTCAGCACCTTAGTACAGGAGTATCGCAGGGTTCAGTACTCAGTCCCTTGTTTTTCACAGTATGTATAAATGACTTGCCCCAAACATTAAAATTGGCTGATATATCAATGTATGCTGATGACACCACTATGATAAATAAAGGTGACAAAATCTAGGAACTACAGGAAAAAGTCCAAATTGAGCTTGTTAAACTTTCAGGAATGATTCATTGCCAATAACTAAGCATTAATGCTGCAAAAAATAAATATACCGTTTTCCACTCACGTCCAAAAATTATCTCTGATGGTTCTGTCTCACTGTATTTAAATCAATGCCCCCTTGAACGCACCTGACTCATACCCTACCTTGGCGTTGTTTTCGATCAGCATCTATTGGCAGCGTCACATCGAAGCTCTTTGCTCTAAACTAGCATCAGGTTGTTTTGCATTAATTCAGGCATAAGAACATTTTCCAAGAAACATTCTACGCATCCTATATTTTTCATTTATTCAGTCTCACCTGGCGTACTGTATTGATTCATGGGCCTGGACATTCAATACATACCTAGATCCTGCACAACGTCTACAGAAATGAGCTGTCAGAACTATTAATTACTCACGGCGAAACGAAGCAAGCAAACCAATATTTTCTAAACTGCATATCATACCATTTGATTTCATATGCGAAATAAGAATGGCAAAATGCATCAGCAGTGTAATAAAGGACAACTATCATTTAACATATAAATATTGTGAGTGCCAAATTGTCAAACAAGAAGCAAAACAATTGGGGATTTTCATATACCGTTGGCGAAAAACCTATATATTCAGAGATTTAGTAGAATTTATTCATGGAAAAATATGAAATGACATATCAATTGAGGGAAAGCAGAGCAGGAACATTTCACACTGGTTAAAAAAGTACTATCAACAGCAAATGTCATCTGTATAGATACTTAAGTCACATATGCAACCAGTAGATACACTCATATCTACTATATTGTTTTCTTTCTCTTGTCTCTCAATTTTGATATGCTTACCACAGCTAAGTCATACCCGACATGTTGTTTTGTTGTTCTATATCATATATTCTTGGCTGTTAAATATGTGTGTATATATGTATGTGTAAATAGATGTGTATCTATACATAGATGTACGCATGTATGCATTATATCTGCTATTCCTCATTTTATTAACGTGTATTAATGTAATTATGTGTCTGTAAACGACCCCAATACTAGCCTTCAGCTAAAGGGTCATACAGTGTTTGCAAACAAAATGTACTTATTTCATGTGAATAAAACTTCAAACTTCAAATACTGCACTGACGTAAGTTCATTGTGATACAGGGGCCTTATTTCGGTCAGTCAATAGTGAACGTCGCATCTTACCCCATATAAGCTGTCCCTGCATATAACCCACACCTGAACTACAAACCGTGGAAATACATTCGAAAATAAATTTCTGCACATTGACAGTGAAGCCAACTTGCACAAAACCCGCACTCCAACTTTAGATCAAACTTTTCTGCACATTTTGCTGCACATTTTGTGCTGGTTATACGCAAGAAAATACAGTACCTTGTCTTAGTGCTACATCGCGGTAGCCTGCAGTTTCTTTATGGTGCAGGCCGACGCTTTTCTTTGATTACTTCACGCCTTCACCATAAGAAACTTCATGAGGTGCTGGCCCAACAGCATGTATGCACATCGATCTACGAATGTAAATAAAACTAAACAAATAAAATGTTATGCACACCTTATGGTTTGATCGAAAGAAGACGGGAAGAGGCCGTCCAAGTTTGGGTAGACCGCGTAAACAACCACCGCCTTCTTCGTGAAGCTTCGCAAAGGGGGTTCTGAAAACACAAGACGTGCCAATGTTAATGCATCAGGATATTTCTCATTCCCTGAGAAAATGCCAATTTTGGTGGTACATATCTCTTGAAGTTCATATCTCCTGAAGGTACATATCTCTTGAAGTCAAAAATAAGCACTAGATCCAGGTAAATCCGTCAGCACAGCCAAAAGTGGATATAATACAAGAGTTAGATATTTTGGTAATCCGATATAATAGACATACAGCCGTTAACAGACTGAGACAACATATTTGTTGATAGAAAAAGTGGACCACTGCCTAAGTGACCAGCCTACCACCGAGGTCGGATAAATCAGAGCTGGATATTTTGAAGGACTGTCTATACTGAACAGTAGTAACATCTTGAAATTCCTATGCGAAATTAAGGAGGAAGAAGGATTGAAGGAGAAAGGACAGGGAGGTTAGCCAGTTCTCAAACAGGCACGAAATTAAAGCACTTTGCATGCTGCAATGCACCGCATCCTGGCTATTGCCAGTGCTTTTTTCCTTACACTGTCACAGTAATTTCTTCTATCATTGAAGATGTTAAGATACTGAAACACTCTGGCAGATGCTGCTGATTTGAATCCTTCTGGCAGATGCTCCCAAGCATCAATAAAAATTTTTATACATCGGAGCATTTTAAGAACTATGTGGGGACGAGTAGTGCAAACAAGAACGATCGCCGTCGCAAACCGATACCCACTCGCTTCGTCCTATTGAACTTTTGCTTCTCTCCCACAACATGCATGCCAATTAGTCTCCCGTGGAATACAAAAAATATGATGGGCGAGTCTGTTACGCGACTCAAAATCACATAACATGACGCTACAACTAGTTACAAAACTAAAATGATGTACAATCACGTATTAACTAGTGCCGCAACTAAAATCATGCAACATTAAGTAATAGCTAGTCGCGCGACATGTTCCGCTTTGACCATGAAACCGTTAGCCGCGTGACAAGTTCTTGACAAAAACCTCAAAATAACTAGTCAGTCTCAAGACTAAAACCACAACATCCTCAACAGGGAGTAACGTAACATAGCTAACCAAGCCCTAGACGAGTCAAGCCATACTTCGTATTGCTAGCAAGAACTCATCACCTCTAAGCAAAAGTTTGACATTACTAACAAAACTTAGCTAAGTTGAACACCAACTCCGCAGATGGCTCCAGCCTTGTGCAATTGGTGCAAGCTGCGCACTGTTTTTTTTATGACATTATAAGTCAGAAAAAAACCTAGAAAAGCAACATATCCAACCTATCTTTAATATGCTTCACTGCAATACTTACATTTGCTTGACCCCGTAACACTACTGCATTGCCATGTGACTTTTGTGAGTCACTGTGGTTTCAAGTGAACTTATATGTGAGTTTGAAGCTGACAGATAATGTTTTGATGAACGTCACTCAGAAGCTGCAATCACGGCAGCAAGTTGTAAAAATTAGATGGTGAAGAACTGTTCCCAAAAGGGTTTCAGTGTCGCAGACATCAGAGCCCTTTCTAATGACTGCGAGGTGTGCATAGGAGCCCTGTAAAGGCTTCTAATAATCAGGCGAAAAATGATGTTTCTAGTGTAGGAAAATGTCATAGCAGGTGTAAGCAATCTGTGTCACAATTAATGAGTGAGCATTCAGCGGGACACCAATGAAACCGAAGGCCATCATACAGCTACATAACCGAAATCACATGTTAGAGAAGGCAACGAAAAGCATACCTGATTTTGTAGCGATGCCAAGTGATGCCAGTGACAGGGAGATGGATGTGATTTCAGGGTTGGGTTTTCGCAGGACATAGTTGTTGTATTTAGGCAGCCAGACTGAAGGTCCATCTGGAGCTCCATGCTCGATGAAGGAGCCTTTCGTTTCAGCCGATGATACGGTGTCCATTCCGAGCACTGCAGAGACAATGAAATCCATTTTCAACATTACAGCCGTGGCAGAAAGCTGCACCATGAGTACATGCACTGCCAGTGTCGAAAGTCTGTGGCACATGGCAACGGCAAACTGAAAACCTAAAGCCAGCCAATGTGGGCTTGTATATACAGTTGTTTGCTATACATACGTGCAACCTATACACTTTAAATTTCTTGTATAAATTTCGAAAGCTGGGTACTCGCAAAAACTTATGTCCTGGAATCCTAAAATAAAGTAAAGCGTCTAAGGCAATAGGAGATAACTAGGCTTGTGCAAATAGTGAATTTTAGGCTCGAAGCGAACTCGAAGGGAATAGTGATTTTGGTCAAATAATTTCGAACCAAATTTGAATAGCATATATGGCAATATATTAAAAAAGGGTATATTTATCATGACCTAACTAACATGCCAAACTTTTTTTTAAAATTGAAATAGGGGGCCTCTGTGCAAGTAAAAAATTTTTTTTTCATTCAAGGGAAGTCAAAACAACTTCGAGTAGTAGCAGGATTTGACTTAAGGTAGGATGTAAGTGAGAACCTGTGAAATACATAACATTTCAAAATTTCTTATACTTAAGAGCACATAACCTAGTCATAACGAGCTATTTAAGCTTCATCAAAAAATGAATTGATAATATGTTCATTTAAAGGGGCCCTGCAACATTTTTTCAAGTAGCCATGGAATAGATTCACTAAAGAAATTTATTGCCTAACAATTCACTGTTGCAAAATTTCTCAGAATCCGTCCAGTACTAGTGGAGTTGATAAGATTTGTTGCACGCTGCAATTGCATTCTCTCCTTGTCGCGACGAAAATGCTGGAAGCTAAGCAGGAAGGCATGGCTCAGAGGAAGAAGATAAGCCATGGGCACCTCATAACCTTGAGCCCTTTCTTTCCCCGTAGAATGCATGACTTTTCAGTGTGATCTCGCACGTATGTGTGGACAAGTGGCGGCCTCCCGCAGCGGCTCCACAACAACCGAGCGCGCCATGCTCGGATCAGCCAATGGCTGACAGGTGGCCTTCTACGAGTGATTTCTGAGCATGTTGTGTGAGAGCAATTTTCAACTGACTTTGATAATTTATTGTCACCAGCAGGCCGTGTGCAGCGCTTTACTATTCGCCTCGCGTGTTATCGATAACCGGGACTATTGATGATCGGCAGCTTTTTCTGATTATTCTCAATAAATGTTGCAGGGCCCCTTTAAACTTGAAAGGAGACTTTGCGGCAGAGCCGATTTCCCCTGAATAGGTATCTTCACGGCTTAGCACCCTACACTGCAGCTAAACCACATTTACAGGCGGTTAAATGCGGACTTATGTACAACTATTTGTTCATTGCGAATACTTCGAAATTTTCAATAATTTAAATTCAAATCGAATCGAATTTGAATACTCTACTATTCGTTCAAATATTCGAAGAATTCAAATATTCGCACAAGCCTAGAGATGACACATTTAAGGAACCTCAGATTTATTACAGTCACTTGACTTTAATTATGTGCACCTCTACCCAAGCAGACCAATGTTTCTGAATTCTGTTTCTCCTATGGAATGCAGCATCCACAGCTGCAAACAAACCCTATGACTGAAGCAGCAGATAGCCATAGACTACTACAGTTGAATCCTTTCTAAGAGACATACACTAGTGAGCAATTCTTGTCTTCTATACGAAGTGTCTCTTAGAAGCAGGGTACCGTGTATGCGTCTTATTTTAAACACCCACTTCAATGTGGGCACACTAGTGCTTCTTATACCCATTCGTCTCTTACATCAGTGTGTCTTATAAAGGAGTTCGACTGTATGACGGGTTCTAAAGCTACTGGGCATGTGGTCTAAGGCGCATAACCCTTAAATATGCTACAGCACAAAGCCACAAGTGAATAAAGAACAGAAGACTAGTGTAACCTTAGCCTACAAGTTGCTTTGAGCAGCGTATGTTCAGGATCAAGCACCAACCAGCTGAAGCTTCGACATCGCAAAGATCATCCTTTACGAGACAATCGCTAACAAGCTCGTGCACTTACCAACATTGGGTGTTGAAATTTCAAATGGCTCCGTGTATGTGTCTTGTCGGCTAGACGCGAGAGTGTGGCCGTACTTTTCGAACATCTTCAGCAAGTGCGCCGGCCCCTGTCCCGTGAGTGATGCCACGCGCTCCCAGTGCACCGCATATCGTGTGTCCAAGATGATGCTTGCCGCGTTCACCAGATTCCTGATGAAACTGCGGTCCTGCCGATGAGTGAGGTTGAGCCCTGCCTGGTGGTTCTCGTAGGACAGCACGTGATGCAGGAGCCGAGATGCTAGCAGGACGTCCGTTCCGTACAGGCCCACGGGGTTTGAGTGGGTTGCGTTAGTGGCGGTCCTGAGCTGCTTGGCGACTCGAACAGCACTGTAGGTGTTGAGGGGGAGCTTGTCTCGTTCTAGGACACGCAGCTGCTCGGAAAGCGGCACAAATGCGTCCGAGACACAGTTGAACGTGTCAGGCTCCAGCCAGCCGCTTTCCTGGTCACAGAGGCGAGTTGCCTTGCCTGTTGAGAAGAGTAGAGGGAATGGAACATGAGAGAAAAATACACACTCAGTAAAACGGTCATTTAAAATAAGGTACGAAGCTCATTCATTGCACCAAGGTTGAAAGACAGTCAGTGGTATCAATGACCCCTGTCCAACATCAGCTGCAGAAACCTCCTCCAATAGCCTCCCGGTCAACGAAAATACCTTAAACTGAATTGCTGCTTAAACGGAATGACGACCACGGATCTGACTGGTCTTGTACTTGAATTCTGCAACCCTATGAATCTCTCAGGAAACGAAACTCCTGTTAGCTGGAACATGTTCCCTTGTCCTTCAGATTCTGTTTAATGAGGGTACACTGCATGGCAGCGATGCCCAAATTTATTAAAGACGATAGTCTTTCTTGGGGACCTTCGACGCAAAAATTTTGGTCTGTCTGTCTGTCTGTCTGCCTGTATGTACATCTGTCTGTTTGTCCACTCTTAATGGCATTGGGTACTTGAAACGGCTGACCCCATCCGGAGCGCCCACCAATGTTGCTCAATATTGCGAGTTCATGCTTGTGCAATTGTCAATTAAAAAGCAATTATTGCGCATGTCTGGGGCACCATAACAACACGTATATATTCTGAATGTGCGTCTTTTACTAGAACAGGTATACATAAGTAATATTAAAAACCGTAGCGCTTATCACGCTGCGCAGACCATGCAACGCTTGCACGGAACGGGGAGTGTTTCCAACGCTTTGCTAAGACGAGACGGGGGTGGCACCTACCCGTCGCCTTGCGTTCTACACCTTATCACCTCTGAGATTGGCGTCCACACCCGTCTCAGAGCCACGCGCTTTGTTGTTAAAGAAAACTGCCAGATGGCGCTCATGTCTCACGTGTGACGTGACTTGATGCGCTCGTTTGCCTCCGCTGCACGCTCGAGGCACTCTAACAAAGCGCCTCCAGAATGCCACTCACCGATTTTCTTGCGCAGAACATCAAATAAATGTCTTGTTCATTCTCTCCACACGCAAGACTATCGTCTTTGGACGACATTTGCAGATAACGTGCAGATACAGGGCCAATTTTTTCTCTGCAGTCTATTCTGTGCGAATCCTTGAATCTCTTTCTTTACTCTTTCTCCTTTTTTACACCCTTTGCCCTTCTTATCCTGGCCAATTGTCTAATTAGTGCTGCTAATTCAACTTGAAAATTAGTTGCTCATGTATGCAATCGAAGGCATACTGATATTTCTCTACCCAGTGAAATTACATAAATCTGTTTTCTTTCTATCACTAAATACGTAGCCCTTGACTTCCTCCCGTTTTCCTTCATTATCCTCAGTGTGTGGAAGCCGTGGGATAGCACTCGCAGAGTGGCACTATTTGTCACTAGCATTCCTTAAAGAGACCCACAACCAATTTTTATGGTACCCGTTTCCTATAGTGCAACGTAAAGCTTACCTGTCAGTGCTTGTAGTCGCGAAATGGTAACGTGAAAAACACCGTAGAACATTTACAATCGGAATTTTTCGATTTGCGGCGATTATGCAGTCTAAAGGAAACAAGCTGCAAACAGTAAATGTGATCGTGATAGCGATTATACACCAGTGTAATGCCAGCAGTGAGGAAAAGTGAAGCTCTAAGTACAAACAAGTAATGTTGTGTTTGTCAAGCCTGCAGTCCCGCAACCACTGCTTTCTAGCGTGATAAATTATATTAAAATAGCTACAGCACTTTCCCGGGGCTTCTTATGCAAGTACTTTTCGCCATGCACAGGTAGTTTTTTCGACTTCAGCCAAGTAGAGCCAAGACAAGTCTTCGAAAACAAAACGCATGCCTTTACAAGTGATTGGCAATTCACGCATAGTAGTACATGTTCGGTCGTAGTTGGTCCGCTTCGATGCCATCACTTGACAACTCGAGCAAGTTAGAGGAACAAATTTCGGCTCGCATGCGAGCACACAATTAGGGCCCCTATCAAAAGAGTGCCAGAGCGACATGCTTCAGCGGACAGCGATAGCGACGAATCTGACGGCGCATCACCATCGCCACCACCAGCAGCAGGCGTGAAGTGGTAGCCATTCTCCACTGAGGTCAACGGCATCTCATGCGCTGCAGCGATTGCATTCACAAGCTCGCGTGCTTCTTCCAACGCACCCAACGCAACGAGAATTGAGCTGAGAAATGCCGCGCAGCATGTGCATGTGCAACTGCACCCATTTCCCTGTAGAGGCCACAAAAGCAGTGCCACTTTTCATGCTCTACTTCTTTTATCTCTTAAGCCACATAGAAACAAACAGAAATGAACAATAATGTACACATTTAAAATTTAATTCCTTATTCCGGTGCGCTTTAAATAATCACAGCAAAGTTACAGTAAAAGCTCGTTAATTCAAATTCCACGGGAACGCTGAGCAATTTCGAATTAAACAAAATTCGAAATAATGAAAGTGAGCAAAAATGGGTGGATTTCGGGGGTGGGGGCACAAAAAATATTTATTGGCCAAAAAAGTCGGTGATGACCATTTGCTTCTTTTCTCTGAATGCCACAGCTGCAGCTCTCTGTTCCAGCGCGCGGACGCAATGCAGGGAATCCTCTTCACCCTCTTCAAAGCTGAAGAAGATACGCGCCATATTAAGTGCCTCCATCACCGCAGAAGCTGATGGGCGCACAGGCGCTTCGTCATTTTCGTCTTCCTCACCTTCTGACTCTTCAGCATCAGGCTGCGCACCGGCTACTTGAGCGATAATGTCATCATCAGTCAGGGCACCACACACCGATGCACCGGTGTCAACTTCAACATAATCGGCAGAACGTACGCCCCGAAGAGTGTCGCGCAATGCCACTGGCATGAGCTCCTCAGCCCCATCCACGTCGACGTCACAACTATCCTGCGCACTTCCAGCTGCAAATCCACTGTGGCGGAAACAGTTTGCGATTGTGGTCGCGGTCCCCTGTTCCCATGCGCGCACCAACATGTGCATGGCAGTGAGCAGCGTAATGCCGAAGTCCTTCCTGTTGCCCGCGCACAAAATCATTCTCTCCAGCACGTGATGCCTATAAAAGCACTTAATATTCCTTATCAGACCCTGGTCCATTGGCTGTAGGGCCGCAGTCGTATTTGCCGGAAGGAACACCAACTTAGTTGCTCTCAGCTCAACGTCGACTTTGTGCGCCGAACAGTTGTCGGCGACAAGAAGAACGCGTCTGCCGCCCAGTTCCATTCGCCTGTCGAATTTCAGTAGCCACTTCCTGAATAGGTCACCTGTCATCCAGGCTTTCTTGTTTGCGGCAAACTCCGTTGGCAGTGAGCGAATGTTTTTGAAGCACCGTGGCTTGAGTGCTTTGCCAATCACAAAAAGGGGGACCTTTTCCGTACCGGTCATATTTGCGGCGACCAGAACAGTGACACGCTCTTTGCTGCGCTTGCCGCCGGCACAGCTGTCTCCCTTGTAGGTGATCGTCTTGTCTGGCTGCAACTTGAAAAATAACGCTGTCTCGTCAGCGTTAAACACATCCTGTGGTGAGTAGCTCTGCAAGTACTGCTGCAGGGTGCCGCTTCTCCAAGTAGCGCATGTTTCGGCGTCCACTTCCTTTGCCTCGCCGGATAACGTGCGGAATACGAGATTGTGCAGCTCCCTGAAACGATGAAACCATCCCTCGGAGGCGAAAAAGTCTTCAATGTCCAAGAACAGGGCGAAATCGGCTGCCTTGGACACGATGATAGGGCCGCTCAATGCGATACTCTGGGCTCTCATTTCTTTAACCCAGATAATCAAAGCTGACTCCAGTTCCGGGAACTTCGCTGTCCTTAGCCTTTTTCGACTGGCGCCAAAATCCTCGGCTTCATAGGCGTTTTCAATGACCGTACTGTTGCGTATGTAGGTTGACAACGTGCTCGGAGGTATGCCGTGCTTCCTCGCAATTTCGTATTTGCTCGAGTTCCCTTGGTCAACCTTTCGCAAAATCTCCACCTTCTCCTTGACAGTCTTCACGCAGTAGTTTCCCCGCGGCATCTTGCAACTTCGATGCGGAATAAGACGGCTTGACAGCGTGAACGAACAACGTGCTCAAGGAACAAAGTGACGCTGCCGGGAGCGGCCTAGGACTGCTAGGACTACTCCGCCGACTCCTCAGCGTCCCGTGGGTCCCGCGTACAAGTGGCGCCAGGCGCTGAGATAGCGGGAGAGCTACGGAAAAAAAAAAAATTGCTCCTTGGATTTTGGAGGCCATACATTGCTCGCCCTTTGCTCGGAGGCCACTTGAAGCTCGAAAAAACTGGTCGTGCCACCTATCGTTCGACCGTAAAAACTTCCACTAGTGCTTGACGATGATGACGCTCCGCGGAGCGCGCTTCGAATTATCCGTAGAGGCAGCAATTTCTGTTCGAATTAACGAATCGTTTTATACATGGTCTCCTATGCACTGCGGACAGGACTGCGGCGACCATTTCGAATTATCCAAAATTTTGAATTAATGAGGTGTGAATTAACGAGCTTTCACTGTATTAGGACTTCATATTTATGGTTCATAGCTTTTGCGCTAGGGGCGCGACATATCGGTTTTGGTTACTTTTGAACGCAATTTAAAAATATGAATGCTACTCGGATGGCGAAACCTATGCTCTCACACGTCACCATAATTCAAGCTTTTTTCTTTCCACCAGTATCTAATCACCCGTTCTGGCCAGTTGTGGGTCCCTTTAAATGGCAAAGATGTTCACCGACAAAATGGCCGAAGCTATCTTTGGGCTCCTAAACCAGCCCGGTATTCACTTACCTTGAGATCCCTTTGGGCAGCTCCGAGACACCTCCTGGTTGAACAATGCTCGTTCCCACCACACCCTTTCACCAAACGATCTTGGGCAGCCGTCATATATGACTGCAGGTATAGAGAAGTTGCTTGTGGTCATCATGATCGCAATATCAAACCTTGTTAAAATGAAATCACAGCTAACACGAAAATAACATCGTCATATCTGAAAATTCATTGCCAACATGTTCTTACAAAACAGTCAAACATTGATATAATGAATACGGATATAACAAAATATTGGTTATGATAATGTAAATGAATAATAGTCTTCCAATCAATATGGTGTCAGAAGTATATGTTTATAACAAATTTTCAGATACTATAAGTAACTTATCTTTATGTAAGATGCTTCTTTTTTATAGTGATGTTGAAGTGTACCCCCATTATTGACAAAGCTTCAATTCATTTGTTATAACCAATAATTCATTACATCCATATTCACTATACTGATGTCCAACTTTAGTATAGCGATTAAATTGAGTGGTTCAAATAGAAGGGGAGAGCAATAAAAGTAACACTATGGCTTCATTGAGTTGTGGAAACTCTGTCAGAAAGCAAGAATATTTCATTTTTACCTAGAACAAGCTGAATGGCCTCAAAATCAATCATGCTTTATTTTTAAAGGCCGTGCAAACCACATCATTCTCCTCTCATAAATGCCTAGTCACCATTAGGTTTCGATTCAGCAGGCTTTGTTAGCCTCTTGATTTAAATCTAATAACCAGATATTTATTTTGAAACTTATTTATTCCTAATACCTCAAGGCCACACATGGGACATTACATGAGGTGATAGATGCAAACAAAGTGATGCAAGAGCATTGATGACACTGCGCATCATTGTCACCGGTCATTTGTGGTTCTGCGTGTCATCTTAATGACAAACATGCGTTTCAGAAAGTTACTTTTAGGCTAGAAAGGCATTTCCTTAAAGATCAGGTTGCCCAATTGTTCTGAAGAAGCTGATCTAACTTCCAGAGCATTCTGCATACTTTAAGTATGAACTATGACCGTTCTATGACCATTGTATGACCGTTCTATGACCAAACCTGTCCCATTGACTCGGGTCAAGCGAGTTGGCTAACCTTCACAACCACGAAGTGTGACCTCAGCAAAGCGATTGGAACAGGCGTCGCACTGGCGGCCTATGACTCCCGGTCGACACCGACACTGCCCCGTGACGGGGTGGCATCGATTGCTGTAGGATCCGTTGGCATAGCAGTCGCACGGATAGCACACGTCGCTGTCCTCTGGCTGGTAGTGGTTCTCCTGCAAGAAATATTGCAACCTTGTCGTGACGGTGAAGCGTAGAGCAACCCAAAAGCACAAGTTCAAGGACTGTGGGGTCACGATGCGGAGAGCGAGCGTCATGCTCTTGGAATGAACGGACGTAGTTGACATGGTTGGAATGAACCAAACAACACTCATTTATTTAACCACCTTTAGAACGACGGTATCATCAGCCGAATAATTATTCATCAATTGCGCTCAAACACGCTAAAACAACCTTACACATTATTATGCAATGCTCAACAGCGTAACAAACACAAGGCGGCAGCGCCAACGCCTGACTCACCACAAGGGCCCCCGGCAGATGGCCCGCGGTGCCGTGCACCAGGTACCCACGCGAGCGACAACCGTTGGCGCTTACTGCCACGCGCAGAAGAGACTCGCTCAACTCGCTCGTGCCACACCAAGGCATGCCGCCAGGGGCGAAAGTGGTGATGATGACAGTGGTGATCAACGCTCGCGAACACAATGCCACCTACCGCTCAATAGTTGTGACCCCGAAACACGGCTTCTGCGCGAGACACGTGCGCCACGCGGCGCAAACAACTTTACAAAGAGTGTCAACCCCTTCACAGGACAGACTCGCTTTTTGAATGAATACGTGCCCAGCAAAACAAAGAACGCTCGTAATGCAAAACGATGCTAAGCAGCTTTCTTGGTCTACAGAAATTCCATCTATGTATCAAATACATCAATCAGGCATACAGAATCTATATTATCATCATCATCATCATCAGCCTGACTACGTCCACTGCAGGACAAAGGCCTCTCCCATGTTCCGCCAGTTAACCCGGTCCTGTGCTTGCTGCTGCCAATTTATACCCGCAAACTTCTTAATCTCATCTGCCCACCTAACCTTCTGTCTCCCCCTAACCTGCTTCCCTTCTCTGGGAATCCAGTTAGTTACCCTTAATGACCAGCGGTTATCCTGTCTACGCACTACATGCCCGGCCCATGTCCATTTCCTCTTCTTTATTTCAACTATGATATCCTTAACCCCCGTTTGTCCCCTAATCCACTCTGCTCTCTTCTTGTCTCTTAAGGTTACACCTACCATTTTTCTTTCCATTGCTTGCTGCGTCGTCCTCAATTTAAGCCGAACCCTCTTTGTAAGTCTCCAGGTTTCTGCTCCGTAGCTAAGTACCGGCAAGATACAGCTGTTATATACCTTCCTCTTGAGGGATAGTGGCAATCTACCTGTCATAATTTGAGAGTGCTTGCCGAATGTGCTCCACCCCATTCTTATTCTTTTAGTTACTTCAATCTCGTGGTTAGGCTCTGCGGTTATTACCTGCCCTAAGTAGACATAGTCTTTTACAAGTTCAAGTGCACTATTACCTATCTCGAAGCGCTGCTCCTTTCCGAGGTTGTTGTACATTACTTTCGTTTTCTGCAGATTAATTTTAAGACCCACCTTTCTGCTCTCCTTGTCTAACTCCGTAATCATGAGTTGCAATTCGTCCCCTGAGTTACTCAGCAATGCAATGTCATCGGCGAAGCGCAGGTTACTAAGGTATTCTCCATTAACTCTTATCCCTAACTGTTCCCATTCTAGGCTTCTGAAAACCTCCTGTAAGCACGCGGTAAATAGCATTGGGGAGATTGTGTCCCCCTGCCTTACACCCTTCTTGATTGGTATTCTGTTGCTTTCTTTATGAAGCACTATGGTAGCAGTTGATCCCCTGTAGATTTCTTCCAGAATGTTTATATATACTTCATCTACGCCCTGATTCCGCAGTGTCTGCATGACGGCTGATATTTCTACTGAATCAAACGCCTTCTCGTAATCTATGAAGGCTATGTATAGTGGTTGGTTATACTCTGAGCATTTCTCTATTACCTGATTGATAGTATGAATGTGGCCAATTGTTGAGTAGCCTGTTCTAAATCCTGCTTGTTCCTTTGGTTGATTGAATTCTAATGTTTTCTTTACTCTGTTAGCAATTACCTTTGTAAATAGCTTGTATACTACAGACAGCAAGCTGATCGGCCTGTAATTCTTCAAGTCCTTGTCATCTCCTTTCTTATGTATTAGGATGATGTTAGCGTTCTTCCAAGACTCTGGTACCCTTCCCATCAGGAGACACCTTGTAAACAGGGTGGCTAGTTTTTCTAACACAATCTGTCCTCCATCTTTCAGCAGTCATGTACGAGCACAATTAAGTGCCAGTTACCTTCCAGACGCTGCAGATCCTTATTGAGAAAGAGAGAACAGGTGCTTAATATTCATGCATACATTAACTTGATTTGATTAGTTCCAAGCGCATGAGGGTGATCAAACTTGGTAGCAATAATTTATTTTTAGCTTTCGGATCTCGGATCTCTATGCTCTTTCTTTGTGCACCTAAAAACCCTTTGTGTCAGCCGGACGCAGCAACCGTCTGCCGGCTCCGAAGCTTTAAGCTCTTTCGTTTCTACGCATCTGACGCGGCCACCATTTTTGCAGCACACCGCTCCAAATTTGCGTTTTTTCTTTCTTCTTTTTTTTTTCCATTCTCTGAGAACAATTTTGAATTACTATCATCTGAATTGAAGGGAATCGAGGGCAGCACTCCTCTGCTTTATTGTTTTTTTTTTTTTTTTTTTTTGCTTTTCAGACGGCGATTATCAACAAGGACACGCGCTGCCACCAGGACTTGACGTCCCCACTAACCCCTTTAAAACCAACACGCCAAGGATGACACGGCGCCTTTGAAAAAGATAGGTCCTCCTATCAAAACGTCGGTCAGCCAGTCTGAGGCACTTCCACTGTTCAATACCCTGATTAACCCACTACGTTGTTTCCATTTGTCGGCTCCCATCTAGAACTTGGCACAATGCAGGTCAAAGACCCAACCTAGCAATTGCTGCTTGAATTGTTCATACGTCAAATTAAGAGATATTTATGTCCTCTGGCAGTTGAACCTTCGAAGGTTTCATACTCGACGAAGCTGCTCAAGAGTACAGGACCTTACCAATCTTCATCGACAACAGCAGAATTGGTGGCTATCTTTGAAGCAGTTAAACTTATATGCGAGAATTCTGAACCACGAAAGTGGGTGATATGCACGGATAGCAAACCTGCCCTTCAGCTAATCAGAAATGCGAGATCACTTTTAAAAAATGGTGAAATAGCACAATGTATTGCAGAAACTGTGGAATATGCCTCAGCGTAGGGTCACACCATCGTATTCCAATGGATACCCAGTCACATTGGATAAAAGGGAAATGAAGAGGCTGACAGCCTCGTGAAGAAAGCATTGAACGAAGGACGGGATTGCACAATCCTTATGTCAGGGGCGGATATTCAACATTTTATAATGCAAGGAGCTAACCATTGTTCAATGGAGAAGTGGTTTGATAACCCTAAATAAAAAAAAAACAGTACTTTATGAAGTTGATCCACACAGAAAATTTTTCATAGCGGCAGATCTCTCACGAAACTTAGAGACATTAATTCACAGACTTAGATTACACAAACCGCTTCCTGCACAAGATACATCGATCTAACTCTCTGGAATGCTATTGTGGTCATGCAGAAGAAAATGTTTGCTATATTCTTTTGGAGTGCGTTAAATATGCAAATTAAAGAGAAAAGTTAAAGAAGAAATTAGCAAGTTTGGACAAATGGCCCCTCACGTTAAAGAAATTACTTGTACCATGCATGGCCTGAGATGCATCTTCATAAAAAAGCGAACATCTTCCTGACAGAGTTTTTAGTGAGGACCGGACTGGATAAGCGCCGGTGATAGAAAGCCAGGAATTGATATATATATGAAATGTGTTAGTGCTTATACTGACAGTAGAAAAGGAAGGTGTGCGTGTGAACAGTTTATGACAGTGAGAACAGCTGTAAGAAAACTGTGTATTGGCATGATATTTGAACTGGTTTCAGTGTACTATTAAGTTTTTCTTTCTGGATTGTTCATTTTTGGGTATCGTTCAGTATTATTATTATTATTTTTTTTTTCGCTGCAGAACTTCGTGATATGGAGTAGCCGAGGCAATATGGACCTCAACCTCTCCACAGCAAAACAGAACGAAACAGAACAACACCTTACATGGAAGGCATGTATAAAAGAAGTAAAATCTCTACAATGTAAGACACTTGCTTCTCTGTTTTTAATTGCACCTATGTAGCTTTGTATTTTGCCTTTTTCATGGAGGTTGAATGGCAAACGACATTGATTGCTTTAGCATTATGATGTCTGGCAAATCGGGTCTGTGGAAGCCTCTACAATGCAGGGAGGCTCATGAAAGAAAAAGTTGTTATTCAGAAGAAAGGCCTACAAAAAATCTGATAAATATCTTAAGAAACTTTCCAAGGTGATGAAAAGTCAGTCAACAAATGCCAACAGGTGCCACCACCTAAGTGTCATCAAGAGGGATAACTGGTGACATTTGTTGGTGTCTCTTCCCAAAATGCCACCAGGTCTCATCAAGGGAGAAAAGTGGTGACACTTGTTAGTTCCACCAGGTGTCACCTCCCAAGCATCACCACGTGTCGAGTGAGACAACTGCTGATGCTTTTGGTGTCACCATTAAGGCAGGTCCCACCGTGCGTCACCTACCAAATGTAATGACGCCTGGTGGTACTTGTCACCAAATATCAGGCCCCAGCTCTCCCCAAGTAATCTTGGTCGATACAGCACACACGAGACCATGACAAAGAAAAGAAAAAACAGGACAGGCACGAGACAGGCGCTGTCCCCAAGTGACATTTGTTCACTTGGAGCGCATCACCAAGTGTACCGGGCATGTACTCGGTGACACTCATTGACACGACCGGGCACATGCCGGGGCATTTCGCCAATGCTTTCTACACATGCCGACCCACCTCGCAGTAGCATTCACCCGTGGTCTTGTTGCAGTCAGCATGGTAGCCGCGGTCAACAGGGCAGTGGCAGGGGCCGCACACTGGGTAGCCCCACCAGTTGAAAGGGCATGGCTGCGTGCTGGCCTCCTCACAGTAGCGACCCCAGCGGTTTTCACCACACTGGCAGCGGAAGCCGCCGGGGTCCTTCTCGGACACGAGGCACTTGGCATCTGCTTCGCAGGGGTCGAGGCTGCAGGACGCTGTGCACTGCTCACCGACATAACCTGCAACAGTTCGAAAAAAAGAAAAGGTTGCTTCAACTAATCAAACCATCCAGAAAAGTTGATTTGGTTGATTGATATGTGGGGTTTAACTTCCCAAAACGACCATATGATTATGAAAGGCGTCATAGTGGAGGGCTCCGAAAATTTCGACCACCTGGGGCTCTTTAATGTGCTTCAGAAAAGTTGAAGATGTAACGCATACGTGAAGGAATTCACAGTAAGAACTAAAAAAAAAAAGAAAAAGCTTTAGATCTCCAAATGCAGGTCTGCACAACTAAACACACCTGTGTCTGGAAATATTCCTCTTATGTTTTCTTTGCTTCATTTTGTTTAAGATAAGCATTTAATAGAGTGAATTTTTGCAAAGAGACTATTTTATCGTGCAGCACATAACCCTACCAGTTATAGGAAAGAAAGATAAGCTCTCTGTCTTCATAAAGCATTGAAAGTTGATGAGCACATGCATCATAAGTCATATACATCACACATAATCATAAACCAAACTGCGTAATGGTTCTGGTCAGTCGTATGTGACACCTAAAGCAAATGCAAACATATGCTGCTTGCCAATAGCGAAACTTATACTACAGTAGCCACCATATGCACTACCTAATTAAATTAATATATGGCAAAGATGTTACGCAATAGATGCAATTCTACAGAAATTCTGAGTCCTTGAACGAAATTCCAGGTGAGTCAGGAGTCTGTGAAAGTTATCACTGTGGCGAAAGGTGAACTGCAGTGGCAGCGATACATTACTCTAGTAGAAGAGATAGAGTCACCTGCGTCACAGCGGCACTCGAACTCCTCCCAGGTGTCGACACACGTGCTGTGCTGAGGGCAAGGGCTGGACAGGCAGGGATCAGGCACGTGACAGCCGTCACGAACATTTTGCTCCATCACGGGACGCAGCCACGCTTCCTTGCTCGTTCCAATGCGTACGTCCTGTGTAATTCGAAGCAAGGGTCAGCCACGTTAGCATCAAAAGCAACATACTAAGGCCCCCATTTAGGACAGTTCAATAGGGTTACAGAGGCACCTTAGCATGCTTATCTGCACTGAACGCAAAAGCCAAGGGCACGTAGCTGTGACAATGAGATCGTCAGTACTACTTTCAATGTTCCTGCAATGTGATATTGTGATGCCACACTATACGATGTTGTCATGACAAATGACGACATCATGAACAAGTGATGACGTTATCATGGCGTCATCAATAGGTCATGCAAGTTTTCTTGTCAACGGATGGTGTACATTATTTAGTGTAAAGTTGTAAAGTATGGCACACAATTCACATTCTCATTTTAAGTAGTAATAATTATATCAAGCAGAGCCAGTACTGTGCAAGCAATATGAATAAAGCACAAAAGTTTCATCAAATTTTGACAGAAGCTCAAGAACGCAAAACGTAGTCAGAAATAAAAAAACAACCGTTACACTTAATCATTTTATTTATTATTTGCATCCGAGTAATCACATGAAATATTCCTAATTCATTCTGGTCTTTAATCACAGTGCATGCTTAGGAAAAGCATAAGATCTGTAAATGCAGAGTGTACTTTCTGATCAAACAGCAGTACATGATCAAAATGCATCAAAATTCAGTTATAAATACGTGAAAGATGCAAAATGCCTGGCATAACTTGAAGCTACGAACATGCAAGCTACAAACCAGTTAAAGATAAAAAGACGGGGGATAGAACTAGGCAGAAAATGAAACACACTAAATAAACAGCATTAAATGAGAAAAAACTCCTAGTAAACCATGCCTGATCTCCGCTTAAGGTCCCGGCGTTTTATTGCAAATTAAGGAGATAAGTCACCTGAATGCAGCCGTAAAAGTTGGCACCACCTTCCTCGAGGCCCCCGAGCGACACCTTGCCAACATACAAGCCTTGTATTGCAGCAGCAAACTCCTTGGATACCTGAGCCACAAGAGTAAGAATTCTCATGTAAGCAGCCATTGTCAACTGCTTGGTGATCAATGTGCAGCATCTTTGTTGCATTAAAGTAATGCGAGATAATTTCGCTAGGCCTTTAAATGCATAAAGCAGTAAGTGAACGCAGGTAACAATATCAAGGTTCCGGCCCAGTTATCACATTCCTCTACGAAACAGAATGTTCCATTAGGTAAAATATCTGAACTTAGTGCTAGCAGAAATATGAAAAGTATCGAGCATGTGAAAGCCACACAATCAAAACATTTGTTCACAATTTGAAAATTTCAAAAAGCATATTTTCCTTAAGTGTGGAGAAAAGGCCAGAATTTTCGGAAAAAGATTTATAGTACGCTTGCACCAAAAGAGCTCAGAAGCATTCAATAACCATAGCATGTATTTGCGAGTTACTCGAAATAAAATAGAATCCACTCAAAGATGTTTAGTGTCCGAGCCGGATACGGACTTTAAACCATTCGAACAGCTTTAAAACAAAGCTATTTGCATGACAACGCATTACAGTAAACTATCATTAAACGGAATCTGAAGGGATCAGGAAAATGTTTTTGTTTAACAGAATTTCTATGAACCCAGAAATGAACAAGGCTGTAAAATGCAAGTACTATTAAACGAATCGTGCTGATGGCAGTTGTTCCAGTTAAGCAGCAGTTCCGTTTAACAGGTTTCTCTCTACTGAGTCTACTGTATTTACATCCTGGCTATCCCGCAAGCATTACAGTGCCCCACATTTACAAAGAAATCATCTGTATAAGGTAATGTTTTTGACTATGTACGACTTGCATTACACATTAACTAAGCCTGTGTAAGTATTCAAGTGCTTGAAGTACTTGAACAAATACGTGCAGCAGTACTGAAGTTCACTTTGACAAGAATTCAGTTTTTCAGAGTGATTGAAACAAATGAATAGATGAATTCGAACACCATGCAACCTCCTTAGAATAGAGGCTTCACTTTAACGTAGGACTGCTATGTCATGAAACCATTCATTGAAAATTATCTCGCACTGTCAAAAACCACACTTCAAAGTCAGCTGCGCATATTATGTGCATCCTGATTAATCCCTTCTTTTAAGTTTGAAAGAGCATTTTATACAGGCTTTTATGGGTTAAGCATGGTATATTATAAAACGCAACACAGTTTACTGGTTTAGCACTGCTTTTGTCTGGCTAAGTTGGTACGAAATATCTGCCAAGCTAAACAGCATGAAGAACTGAGACAAAAGAACGGTCTCGTTGTTCAGGTGTCGTTAGTTTTTTTCCTTCATGCTGCTCAACTTCGCAGACGTATTTTACTGTTTATAACTTACACTTTGCAACTATTAAAATCCTGCTATATTCAAATTCACTTCCAAGTAGTTCAAAATTAATCAGTAATTACAATTCACTTCAACTTTAGTTCAAATTAAATCAGTGTCATTCACACATAGACGAAGCGTTTTTCCTTTGGCCCATATGAACTATGTTAATAAGCATTTTATCCTTTGGTGTATACACTCAAACGTCCTTATAACAAAGTTGCATATTACACAAAATTATGTTTGTTATATCCGAAATTCGTTATAAACGTACATTTCTGACATTATAAATATTTCAAGATGTATTACATCAACATGTTGTTTATCATTTGCTTTGTTATAACCAATATTTTGATATATCCGGGTTCGTTATATCGAGGCTTAAGCGTACCTCGTACTGGCCGTAGTCCAGGCTAAGCCACACGTCGCCAACCATCCACTTGACCGCCACGTTGTGCCACCTGCCATCGTTGACTCGAATATCCCCCAGAGAGATGCTCTCGCCGTCTATTGTGTACTTCAGGTGGCCCCCTTCAACCTGCAACGAATGCATTGAAAAAAAGGATAGCGCCAACGTCGCAGAAGGCTGACACGCGCCATTTGCACGCTTTTCTGCTTGGCACTGGTTGCATCCTACTAACTTTCATGTGCTCTGTTGATGAAGCTTCTTTTCGGCCAGCTATCAAGAAATGCAACGTCACGTTCCATTGCCAAAATGACGGAAACATGGCATCGTGTTGCATCGGAAATTTGCATTTTGCACCTCACGTGAAGTTTCCTTCCGAATCCTTCCCCACTTTCCATGAATGCTCATATAACATGGTATGAAAAAACTTTATTCAGGTCCGTAGGGCGTGAAGTAGCATGTAGTGGGCCGCTCCCTTGTAGAGACAGATATGCCTGACCTGTCCGCCACGTCGTGGGCCGGTTGGACTGCCCATAGCTGCGTCCTTAAATCCATACTGTGTAGTGCAGCATTCAATTTTGACGATGTAACATGGCCAAAGGAAAATTACGCAGCAGCCGGCTTACAAAGACCATGACTTGAATTTGCACATTTTCTTATCTGCACTGTGTACACATTCTAAAAACCCCTGCTTAAAAACTCAGCTCACGTGTAAGGACATCTCCGAGCTCTGTCCCACGTGGACGTGGATCAGAAGCCCCGTGGTGGCTCTCGTGCGAAACGTGAGACCCAGAGACCAAGGAAACTGGATGGGGCGCAGCAGCGGATTGAAAACCAGGAAGCCGTCGCCGTCAAATCGACGCACGGGTTCCACGCCTGGAAATGAAGCGTTTTATACGCACTGTTCGCACAATAACAAAAGACGGGCACATGAACACTACACTGTTTTCCAGCACTGCATTTCTTCGTGCATAAACCACCCGTGCATAAACAGTTGATCCTGCGTATATCAAACCCACATATGAATTCCTGTGTATATAAAATAGTTGTAGAACGGTTGAATATATTTTTGGTGTAAAGATACTGTGTATATCGAATTACCAATACACAGAACTTTTTTGTGATCCACTTCAGTTTTTGTATATCTGGGTTCCACTGTAGCTTGAAACCCCCAACTACAAGAGGCAGAAAAATAAAAATAAATAAAAATGAAGATCCCCACACATCGCCCCCGAAGCCGCATTTCTTTCATTACCATGAAGAAATGCTCTGAACAGTAAATAGAGCCTGTGCGCTGAAATTCAAGTACATATAATTCGGCTCGCATCCCAACCTTAGGTACATTTTTTTTGAATATTTTGTGCAGGTGATGTGCAACAAAGTATGATGATATGCATCTTTTTTCATTGACCGAGCTCGTTGGAGTGTGACATGAAAACAAAGACATGCCACCTGGTATGCCCTGTTTGCACTCTGCACTACACTGTACACCACATAATGCAATTAGGAGTGGTTGAATAACGAACAGTGATTTGGTTCAAAACCTTTTATTTAAACAGCTAGAATACTATATATTCCATATAACCAAGAAAAATAAGCATTTTTTATTATGACCAAACTAACTAGCACAATATCTGAAAGAATTAGAACTACGCTGGTGTGAATATCATTTTTTTTGTTCGTAGTGAAGTGGAAGCAGATTCAAACAATAGCAATGTTTGGATAGTAGTTGGGTGCAAGTTACAAGAGATAACATATGTTACACAAAATTTGCTATACTTAGCACATATAAGCCCATATAACAAAATATCACACATAAAAAAAATTACAATCAACGTGCGAACAACATTCACATTTACCTTGAGCGTTATCGCATCAGCGCAAATTTCTTCTGAACAGGCGGCTTCACGGCACAAAGTCCCATACTGCGGCAAAACCACCTTTTCAAGGAATAACGCGTGGTGAAGTATATTTATTTGCTCGTTTCGAATGCTTCGAAATTCAGAAAATGTTCATTTCGTGTTGAACCAAGCCTGAATACTGCAACATTTGTTCGAATATTCGCCCGTGCCTAAATGCAATGTCAAGTGGCTAATCTCTCTGCCGTATAAAATAAGTGCAATGTAGACAGCACGGAGATACACGCTGCCTTTGTAGACACACTAAAAACTTGATATAACAAATCCGGCTACAACAAAATATTGGTTATAACGAAGTAAATACAAATAGCTTTCCAATAAATCTAGTGTTAGGAATATACATTTTAACAATTTTTCGAATATAGCAAACTTATTTTCGTGTAAGACGCAATTTTGATGTAACGAGGTTTGAGTGTAGATGCTAGCGGAGTCTATAAGAAAGTGTCCACGTTTATGTCACATATCCTTGGTCTGCATCAGCGTACAGTCAATACGATATATAATGCAACACCCACCTTCGCTGCAGTCCCGTCCACCGAATCCAAGTGGACAGCTGCAAACAAAGGTGTTCCAACCCTCCGAGCACGTGCCGCCATTCTGACAAGGCCTGGTGTGGCAGAAACCGCGTTTCTCGTGACACCCGGCTGTCGTCGAGTTGTTGGCGACAAACCTGCGGCACATTGCGAAAATGCGCAGAAGGCCGAAGAAGTTCAGTTCCGTGAGCGTGCGTAGCAATATAGATTGACAGCGTGTACTAAATGACTGCATTAGCAAAGAACAAAGCAAAACGGTGGATCAACTGAGCTTGATTACAAAGCTACAGACATGCACACAATTGTTAAGTAGAAGCTGCAGAGCAGTATTGTGAAATGTGTGCTATAATCAGAAGAGTTATAAATTACAGCTTCGCCTGGAATAAAACTGCCCGCATAAACTTTCAAGTACAAATATAATTTCAATATTTGTAACAGAAAACTATTCAATAACATTTTCAGTATTTAGTTAGACCTTTAGATTATATATGTCGTTATAAATAATTCAGATGCGCTACTGCGGCATAATGCACAAATAAATTACTAGACATATCACGTAACACATAAAGTATCATGTATTACAGCCAAACACAAATATATCGAACTTGACAGCAATTGCAAAATATAGTTCCAAATATCGCAAATTAGAAATTATATTAAAATAAGTGTGTTATCCTGAAAAATATTTATAAAACTCAATGTCTCAATTGTCTCATGAAAACGTGCTGCTACAGGAACTTACTGATGTTGCTCTAACATCACATATAACGCACAAACATTTACTCAATTTTCATTCATGCCTTCTCGTGGTACAGAGTTATCAGACTGGGAAGCCTCTTATATACTGAAAGCAGCAGTGTCATCTCTTCGATAATGAACAATCATAGGTGCTTCGCTGCAAGATGATTATTTATCTTTGCCCTTTGTGTTTTTCACCATGACACTACCCTTCTGCATTGCAGTGGAGACAACTACGGCATATGCAGCGTTATAGTGTGTTATGAAATTTTCAAGGCATTGTGTTAATTGTTCAATAAAGGAAACACTCCAGTTTGACTGCAATACTAGAGTGTTCAGTTTTACTAGCTATGATTGCAGACTAGACATCAATTCAATGTTGTTGCACACCGTGCGTTTGGTAAACCTCTAATGTTGGCTGTACATACGTATGCAAGACAGGTATCGTGTGAAGTTAGAAAAGAGCTCTCACTTGTTGAGGTCAACAAGTTGATGGTCAATGTAGAGGTCACGAATGCAGCCCACAAAGTGCATCTGAGAGACAGGGAAGTGCGTTGGCAGATCTGGCAGGCCGCCTATCTGTAAAGGTCCGGTAAGGTCCAGGAAGCGATAGCAGGTCTGCATCACATCAGCGCACCTGCAGAATAAAAAAAAAGGGACTGTTACACATGCTTCTCTGTTGATCGGATCAATAAAACAGCATTGATGAAAACCTGCAAGGTAAACAAGACACATATTGACTGAAATCAAAAAGCCATCTTCCACTCTTACAAATTTTCTATGTAACTCGTTCACCCGCATTTATTTTCCTGAAAATGCCCCTAATGTCACATGACTCAACAGTATTTGCATATACATAATCAAGGCATTTTTTGACACTACATGTAAACATAGAAGAAACACAAGAGGATGTGAATAAAGTGGACAGTACAAGCCCCAAGCTATCAGCCTATTTATTCCAAGCAGAAAAACATATGTAGGTATCTATTTAAACTGTGCATGTGAATTGCAGTTGTCTTTGCATTTGTGCTAGCGACAGCAAAGATGATGAAAAAAAATTAATGGCTACCAAGATAATCTTATCTCTCACTGCTTCAAAAAAAATAATTTTTTTTGTGTGTGTGAAGGGTTGAATGAAACGGAGGCGATAGCACGAAGCACATATGCATATCGCCCTCATTTTCCTTCCACATCTTGCACACGTCAGAAGGTTCTTCCTGCCTGACACAATGTTAATGCGTATTTCAGCAAATTAATCAGTATAACTGTTCCCAGCAAAATAATGCAGAGCTATTTTTGAAAGAAATATACTTCTTTAGTGTGCAGGGAATGTTTCAGAAGGAAGATAGAGCAAAGAGATAGGACAGAGCGTACACTTAACCAATTTTATTGCACAGGTGGCAGGAATATATACACGGTCAAGAGGGCGAGGAGATCACGCACAGAAGAAAGGACAAATAATGGCGCATGCGCCAGACCACCTTATTCCAATCTTGAAATGGCAACTTACATACAGAGCTAGAAAAATAAAGAACAACGTCAGACGGCATAATTGATGATTGATGTCACCTGTCTTCTAAATAGTGTGTTGTACTGTTGGCACAATTGTAGTTGCCCAGGCGGTTTTGAAAGCGGGTAGCCAGCACGGAATCGCAGCCGTCCACAGATAATGTCACAGTCTGCAATGCAAAAAAAAAAAAAATTAAATTGAAATTAAAAATTAATCCAAAGCTTCCAAAAATCATCGCAAGTGGACTGAGCTTAGTCCATCAAGTGATTCTGACAATGTGGCAACAGTTTCGTTCAAACACCGAACAAAACAAGGCAAACACGAAAAAGACACGCAGTGTTCACTAATGCCTACGTGCTTTCAGAAGCCAAGTCCAAGTGGTTCTGGGATATCTTCTATAGTTGAAACAATCAAACGACTTTGAAAACTGTGAACCCCTCAACTCTTAACCTCCCTATACGAAACAGTTAGGTGCCTCATTATCATGCAGCACGCCCCTGCATACAACTTTAACATAACATGAACAACATGCTACTTCGGAAAAAAGAATAAAAAGAACTGCACGAGTATACAATAAAAATAACCTGGCGCAGCAAAGTCCGAGTCTCCATAAGAACAGCCAAGCACAACTGAAAGTGTAAAGTGAAGCTTTAGAAACAACCATGCACAGTATATTTTAATGCGTGAAAGAGCTCATTTCGCAGAAATCCCAACATCAGCATCATTGGTTTGGAGCGAAAAATCGTCGTCTTGTCCGTGACCAAAAGATTGAGAGAGATGCAAATAAAATAAATCCTAAAAATTTGCGGGTGCGAGCGAGGATCAAAGCCAGGCCGTTTCCACGGCAAGCTGGTGTTCTACCACACAGCCACCTGCCTGCTTAGAAATAAAGTGACTGTAACTTAATCTGCTTGGAAAAGCAGTGAAAGTGACTTTCACACTTTACGAAGACATGCATCCTGTATACAGGCCTCACAATACAATATGTAACGACTATTATCATAACGACTCAGCTGGCCACCCATTATGAAAGGCACACACGTTACTGTGTATATTTTGGATCACGTAGTGGGTGCACAGCAAGTTCGAAACATTTCACGCGCACAATTGCTCGTGCTTTAAATCATGCTACCCATTACTTAGAATGCAGCCATATGTGAAAGCTTCCCTCCAATTCTCACTACCCTGTTCAGCTCCTAAAAGCAAAGCTTAAGGGTCCCCAAATTTTTTTGCCATTTCCGGTTTCACCAATACATTTCAAGACATGCTTCCCAGATGTGCACCCACTATAATGAAGCTGCAAGTGATGAAAGACAACATTTTCTTAACTCCCACGCTTTGTACTTAAAAGGACCCTGAAATGATTATTTGTCAATGTTTAGGCTAGAGCATTATCAAACCACTGACACCACGAAATCAACGACATGTCGTATACCAATGCCGCGACGGGCAGTTCTATCATACTCCCCGTCTCACCCCTGTCTTGCCTCCTCAACTATTTAGACACATTGGCATCGCTGGCGATCGCAGAGCTCTCATGGGCGCACTTGAACATTTGAGCTTTGCCCAGTCATGGCGTCCAAGATTACACGCTGAGACAGGTTCCACACAATCTCGGAGATCATAGCCTAATGTGCCCGGCAGCATGCACGCCTTCTGGCAGCAGACACGAAGATGGCAAGAGAGCAGTGGTTCATATCTGCTCCGACTGGTGCTGTCACCCTACCAGCTGATCTTATTTACACACATTCCACACCCAATCAGATCAGCAGCCTCGATGACGTCGCAATTCCAGTGGACATCGTACTGTGAATGGGCGGTTGAAAACGCGTTTGGCTGAGCCGCAGTCATCTGCAGCGATTCACAGCTTTAAAGTGTTGTAACAAATTACACAGTTTACACAGAGAGCTTAAATCAGTGGGTAAATGACCCTTAAGACTTGGTCTGCCGGCCCAACGCGTTTATAAAAAATCGTCAAAACCATTTCAGGGTCCCTATAACTAAGAAAGTTTCGGTGCAAGTTTGGGCACCAAAAGCAGTAACATGTATCAATAACAAACGTGACCTGTGTGGCAATAACTTACGTAGTGATTTTTAAGGCTTCAGAGAGATCCTGCGACTGTGCATGCATTTCTATGCGACAAAATATGTTGAAGCTAATAAAGAAAAGGAAACTTTTTTTGACCGCTTACTCGGTTGTAATAGCTGACTTCAACCTGGTGCCACTGCCCGTTGCTGACCTCGGTGGGCACTGCGACCGACACCTGACTCATGTTGACTCCAGTTGAGAACGAGAACACGACGCTGCCCTGCACAACCTCCAAGGCAATGAAGTCGTGCATGTCGTTGTAGCGTCCATTGTAGAGGAGCAGCCCGTTCCGTTTTTGCGTGGAAAAACTAAATAGCAGGAAAGCCAGAAAAAAAGGGCAGTCAGCACGCTGGTAAATGAGGAGGCTACTGTCAAACGTCATTAATCGAAGTTGCATCATAAAGAAAAAATGGTTTGGTTATAGTGTCTGAAAATTCATTAAAATGTACATTTGTAAGAGCATATGAATGTCAAGAATATTCTTAATTCACTTCACTCTTATCGATAATTCCTAATATTTGAAAATTCACTATATGTAAACATCCAATCATAACAGTGTATCGATGTTTTATTCTTCACTTATTTTGTTATAACCAAATATTCATTTACTTGCGTAATCTTACTCGAATAATTTACTCGCATTACTCACATAATTACTTGCATTACTTGCAATTACTCGCTTAATTTACTCGTGTTTACTCGCATAATCCTCACACTCGCATAATTCTCGCACCCCCCACATCGCCCAAAAAATACGTTTTTTTTCCTCGAGTAATTATCGCATGCGGCGATGGCGTAGTGGTTAAAGCATCCGCCTCGCATGCAAGAGGTCCGAGGTTCAAATCCCGGTGCCGCGCAGTTCCCAACCGGATTAAAGAAAAAAATCCGCGTGTTGATGGAGCTGCATTAAGAGGCCTGGGGTGCGGCCTCACTGGTAATCACCGCCAGGAACGCACTCCCTCGCCAGAGAAGGACTGGCCACCCTGGTGCAGTATCTGGCCACTACCTCCCACATGCATACGTCGAATAACTCACAGCCCTCAGTCCCCAGCAGCTGTGAAGCAACTGACCACGACGGCGGTCATATCTGCAACGCAGCAGAGGGTGCTAAGAATCTCTGGATCCGGACAGGCCGCCATTGGAACCTGAACTTGGCAACGTTTAACGCTAGAACCTTATCTAGTGAGGGAAGTCTAGCTGTACTATTCGAGGAGCTAGAGGGTGTTAAATGGGATATAATAGGGCTCAGTGAGGTTAGGAGGACAGCAGAGGCCTATACGGTGCTACAGAATGGGCACGTCCTTTGCTATCGGGGCTTGGTAGACAGAAGAGAACTGGGAGTGGGGTTCCTAATTCACAGAAACATAGCTGGCAACATAGAGGAATACTATAGCATTAACGAAAGGGTGGTAGGTATCGTAATTAAACTGAATAAAAGATACAAGATGAAGGTAGTACAGGCTTACGCGCCTACATCCAGCCAGGATGATGCTTCAGTTGAAAGCTTCTATGAAGACGTGGAATCGGCAATGAGTAAAGTAAAAACACAGTATACTATAGTGATGGGCGACTTTAATGCAAAGGTAGGAAAGAAGCAGGCTGGAGACCAGGCAGTAGGAGATTATGGCATCGGTACTAGAAACGCCAGAGGAGAGCTACTAGTAGAATTCGCAGAACGCAATAATTTACGGATTTTGAATACCTTCTACCGAAAACGAGAAAACCACAAGTGGACATGGAGGAGCCCTATTGGCGAAAATAAGAACGAAATAGACTTTATAATGAGCGCACACCCAGGAATCGTGCAGGATGTGGAAGTGGTTGGCAAGGTACGATGCAGTGACCATAGAATGGTACGGTCTCGAATTCGCCTAGACTTGAGAAAGGAACGACAGAAACTGATACGCAAGAAGCCAATCAATGAGCTAGCACTGAGAGGGAAAGTTCAGGAATTCAGAGTGTCGCTGCAGAACAGGTACTCGGCTCTTAGTGAGGAAACCAACCTTAGCGTAGATACAATGAATGATAATCTGACGAGTATCATTACGGAGTGTGCAGTGGAAGTTGGAGGCAGGGTAGTTAGACAGGACACTGGCAAGTTTTCCCAGGAAATGAAGAACCTAATTAAGAAGCGTCAAATCAATGAAAGTGTCAAGTACAACAGACAAAATAGAACTGGCAGAGCTTTCGAAGTTGATTAATAGACGTAAGGTATGCGATGTAAGAAGGTATAACATGGAGAGAATTGAACACGCTCTGAAAAACGGAGGAAGCGTCAAAGCAGTGAAGAGGAAACTTGGGATAGGCAAAAGTCGGATGTATGCACTAAGGGACAAAGAAGGCAAAATAACTACCAATATGGATAGGATAGTTAAAATAGCGGAGGAGTTTTACAGAGATCTGTACAATAGCCGAGACAACCACGACCTTAATACTATAAGAACTAGCAGTAACCCAGATGACACCCCACCAGTAATGATAGAAGAAGTCAGAAAAGCTTTGGAGAGCATGCAAAGAGGCAAAGCTGCTGGTGAGGACCAGGTAACATCAGATCTGCTGAAAGATGGAGGACAGATTGTGTTAGAAAAACTAGCCACCCTGTTTACAAGGTGTCTCCTGACGGGAAGAGTACCAGAGTCTTGGAAGAACGCTAACATCAGCTTAATACATAAGAAAGGAGATGACAAGGACTTGAAGAATTACAGGCCGATCAGCTTGCTCTCCGTAGTATACAAGCTATTTACAAAGGTAATTGCTAACAGAGTAAAGAAAACATTAGAATTCAATCAACCAAAGGAACAAGCAGGATTTCGAACAGGCTATTCAACAATTGACGACATTCATACTATCAATCAGGTAATAGAGAAATGCTCAGAGTATAACCAACCACTATACATAGCCTTCATAGATTACGAGAAGGCGTTTGATTCAGTAGAAATATCAGCCGTCATGCAGACACTGCGGAATCAGGGCGTAGATGAAGTATATATAAACATTCTGGAAGAAATCTACAGGGGATCAACTGCTATCATAGTGCTTCATAAAGAAAGCAACAGAATACCAATCAAGAAGGGTGTAAGGCAGGGGGACACGATCTCCCCAATGCTATTTACCGCTTGCTTACAGGAGGTTTTCAGAAGCCTAGAATGGGAACAGTTAGGGATAAGAGTTAATGGAGAATACCTTAGTAACCTGCGCTTCGCCGATGACATTGCATTGCTGAGTAACTCAGGGGACGAATTGCAACTCATGATTACGGAGTTAGACAAGGAGAGCAGAAAGGTGGGTCTTAAAATTAATCTGCAGAAAACGAAAGTAATGTACAACAACCTCGGAAAGGAGCAGCGCTTCGAGATAAGTAATAGTGCACTTGAAATTGTAAAAGACTATGTCTACTTAGGGCAGGTAATAACCGCAGAGCCGAACCACGAGATTGAAGTAACTAGAAGAATAAGAATGGGGTGGAGCACAATCGGCAAGCACTCTCAAATTATGACAGGTAGATTGCCCCTATCCCTCAAGAGGAAGGTATATAACAGCTGTATTTTGCCGGTACCTAGCTACGGAGCAGAAACCTGGAGACTTACAAAGAGGGTTCAGCTTAAATTGAGGACGACGCAGCGAGCAATGGAAAGAAAAATGGTAGGTGTAACCTTAAGAGACAATAAGAGAGCAGAGTGGATTAGGGGACAAACGGGGGTTAAGGATATCACAGTTGAAATAAAGAAGAGGAAATGGACATGGGCCGGGCATGTAGCGCGTAGACAGGATAACCGCTGGTCATTAAGGGTAACTAACTGGATTCCCAGAGAAGGGAAGTGGGTTAGGGGGAGACAGAAGGTTAGGTGGGCAGATGAGATTAAGAAGTTTGCGGGTATAAATTGGCAGCAGCAAGCACAGGACCGGGTTAACTGGCGGAACATGGGAGAGGCCTTTGTCCTGCAGTGGGCGTAGTCAGGCTGATGATGATGATGATGATGAATTATCGCACCCCAGAAAACTGTCGCAATAATGTGGTGTGCTTGTTCCAGCCATTAATGATGATAGCGCACACCATCTGGCGCCATCTCTTAAGCATCAAGCGTACTATTGCACGGAGATTCAATCCAGTCTAAGCCAAGCCGAAGTGGCCAGTACGCGTTGCGACGTGATTTTTATGTTGTGTCGGTAATCTTGGCATGTTATGGGACGATACTGAAGCTACACGGCTGCTTCAAGTTGCAAGTGATAGATCATGCGTTAAACAACGGCAACAGGGCCGCCGGTAGGCCCTTCGGAGCCTACGAGTTTTGTGTTCGCTACTGGTGACGGCAGCTGAAATCCACCAAGACGCGTTGGGCCTGCCGTGTGCCTAAAACTGGGATTGATGGTAAACTTTATTTCTTCAGAAGGAAACTGCGGACGATTCTGTTAAATAGCCGTCAGCCCAATACTGACGTCCTACGCTTACATTTTGAGGGCTCCTGTTGAGTGCCGACTGCGACTGCTACGCCCGCCACGCCCAAAAGCTTCGCGTATGATATTCTAATTATCGACTATTTGCTTCCACGTTTTGTGTCTCAAATAAATCATGCCTTGTGTTGAATCTCTGCTTTTATTGTTGAGATAAATTCTAATTAGGACTTCTTAAAGCTTGCTGTAGGTTGCTGGTGTGAGAATTCCGATTTGCGGCCACTTCGTTTGCTTTTTCGCTCTCTGTGTTTTCGTGGAAAGTTTTCCCCGCGTAATTCTCGCACCCCCCAACTTTGCATCGATATTCTGGCAAAAAACTGCGAGGATTATGCGAGTAAATACGGTATTTACAAAAATTTGCTGTAAACATATATTCGTAGCCCTGTAGACAATTCCTCATTTAGTTCATTATAACCAGTAATTTGTTATATCCGCACATGCTGTATTAAGGCCTGACTGCGTTGAGTCGTGGCAGAACGATGTTTACCACGGCTTGTAGAGGTGCAGCATCAGAAAACGTCACCGTTAGGACCGTTATCTGCATTTATATCTCCCGGCATATCATCGCGACATTCACACTTCAGCAACGTCTTGAGCCACAAATCTACCACACAACCCACGTGAATCTAGAGAGAAAGATCTACTGACAGTGTCAACCACGCAACTTCGCACACACCTGAGACGTAAATGCATGCGGTGGCGCTGTCTCAGAGATGGGAACGTGACGTAGGAGCCATGGTTGAAGCTGCGTGCCCTCAGTTGGCACTGGCCGTCTGTCCACAGAGGATCCTCGGTACAGTTGGCGCACTCTTGACCACAATTCTTGACGTTGATCTCACAGTTGGTTCCTAGTAGGGAAATGAAACACGTCTCCAATATCTACAGTGGTTTCAGGTACAGCAAAAGCTTTAATGTGATGAAACTATAACTTATTCAGCTTTGCATAGAGTTAAAGCAATTACTGTCCTCCCAGTCACCCACTAAAGAAAGAAGAAATTAATATATTATCCTGTATATTTACGCCTGCTTTGCAGGTGCTATGTCACCAAACATGAAAAAATCCTCAGGACACTTGTTGCCCTGCTATCTTGTTGCTCTGCTATCTTGTATCTGACGCTTGTTGCCCTGCTATTTTAGTGCCCTGCTATCCTTGCTCCCAGATGTAACAACTTTTGTAGCTGTCAATATTAAGTAACATGCTGAATATCAAACATATCACTCGAACAAAAGTCTTCTTATCCATGTTTTCTGGGTTTCTTCCGCAAGCGCATTCACGGCCTTCTGTACCTTCAGGTTATGGTAGTAATGTTTTTTTATGTGTGTTTGTAAGACATATTAGGTTTCGCAGGAGCTTACAATTACATTGCTAAGAGACACTGAAGGCTCGTATTTCAAACAGAGCTTTGTAATTATTAAACACAAATTAATTATCTACTAAAACCTCTAAGATGTACTTTATGCCATAATAAAGGTAACGAAACACAAGAACACACTTCTTTGTTCCCTTCATGTATTAATTACAAAAAAGATTAAGATTTGGGTAAGAAGAAGTGAAGGTTCTTCTAAGTCCGGGGGAATCTTTGAATATGGTTGGTCATGTTTGTCTACAGGACCAATGATCTCTCTCTTTTTTGTTTTCCTAGTATAAATTCTTCGCGTCAACTGTCAGAAAAAGCAGGCTTATAGTGCAGTCAAATCTTGTTACAGCAAAGCTCATATTGATAATTTTTTCAAATTAATGACTTTTTTGAAAATCTCCCTCCAAATGCCGATTGGTTTCATGTAAAAATATTTGACTAGTACAAAAAATTTCAGAATACGCAATGTTTCAGAATAACATATTGAATTTTACTCCCCTTACATCTCCCCAACACTTCAAAATAATGAATAGCAATTTTAAAAAGTTACTCACGGCTGTGAAAATAATGCCCAGCTCCGTACCTCCCACAATCATTATCATGAAAATGCCTGCATATTTCTCTGTGCACCCACACTATTTAAATGTGTCATAGCCCTGTCACTGTCATCATTGCCTGGTACTTGTTTTTCACGTCGTGCTTCACCCCGTGGCCTTTGCTTTCATCGGACAGTTTTACCTGTGTGATATTGATTGGTAATTGAGCATTCAAGATGAGCTCCGGAGGCCGCACAAAAAGAATGCTACAACAGTGAAAAATGCGACGTGAGTCACTTATGGGACGAAGTCACCAATGACTACACGCACACGCTTCCGTAATGCTCGAACACTATGCACAGTGCGACAACGATGCATGCGCATAAGCTTAGCCGGTGACCGATAAGATCAATACCATTTGTCATGATAAGGAAATGGCGACGGGAGCGGAGACGACGTTGAAACAGCATGCCCAAACCAATGTGAAGAATCGGTACTCGACACCGATGCTTCGCAGTGCGTAAGAAGGATGCGGGTGCTTAAGAGTTCGTCTCTTAGCAGTCGAGCTGGCCACATAAGAATAGATTGCGCTCTTACTTAAATAAACATGCATTGGTTCCATGATATTAAATGCGATGCAGCTCTTTGATTAGCCTGTGTAATGCTGTCCCTTCGTCCGCACCTCAGGTGTTGGGGAGGTGCCAAGTAGGTCACGCCTTCCCTCGCAGTACGCGTGCATTGACCTCACTCTCTTCCTAGCCTGTCGCCGCTCGCCTGCGTGTCACATTTCTCGCTTCACCCTCTCCACCGCTCCCAACGTTCGAGCACACATAGAGCGAACAAAACCACTCGCGTGTCTTTGCTTTTCGAACAAACGTTTACTTTAGTAAACGGTACACTGAGTTTCACTTCAGACCGTTCTTCCAGCACTCGCGTCAATGCCCGTTTCAAGCGGGTCAACACCGTACGCACTGCTGCTGTTTTTCATCCCATCAGGGTTCCCTTCGAGAAGATGGTCCATAATTTTTTTTCGTGTTTTTTTGTGCTTATTAGAGCATAACGTGGTGGTGAATGTACACACAGCACAGGTAGGAGACTCACGTGGTTGCATTTAGGATTTTTGCACAAATTACTATTACTTTCACAACAACGACTTCAAAATAACGCATGATTTTTAGCGGTCCCTTGAGATTCCTTGCATTGAAATTCCCTTGTATGGCATACTCTATTATATCATCGTGACGTTTGTTACCTGTAAAACCTTCTTGACAGATGCATGTGTATCCAGACTCCCGTCGAATGCATGTTCCATTCTGGCCACAAGGATTTGAATAGCACAAGTTGATCTCAGTGTCGCAGTCATACTTCCTTTTCATACCTGGAACGTAGTGCAAAAAGAGTGTGGTGAACGTGAGCCGCATTCTAAGAGTGTGAAAGGTATGCTAGGAAGGCCTACACCCAACAGCTAAGTGACGCCCAGTCTAATAAAAAAATAATTCACATACCGACCCAACAAGACCAGCTGGACTGCAGGAAAAGCTTTGGAAGTTGAATCAAACACTTAGCCATTTAGCACAAGCAAAATCACAAACAAAAAAAAAAGAGGATTTCAAAAGCTGTGAGCCAATCTCTACGAAAGGAAAGTTTTTAAAATTAATTGAAGGCTCTTGTAGTTTAAAAGTGCCAAAGCCATGGCAAGGTCAGCATGTAGGCTGTTGATGGGCTTTTGTTTACATTGTGAGCAGCTGCGTTTTTCAGACCTACTTGTGAATCTCAGTAATATTCGGTTATTCTGGATTGTCACGCCTGTCGAAATACGGCCATAAAGTCACATGAAAGCCCACAAATTAATGCGAAAAAGGTGCAACTGAACACTACATCTGCACAGATAAACGTACCATGAAATGCACAATTTTTGTTCAAATGATGAGAATCACTATCAACATAATTAGCAAATGAATATAAAGAGTAACTTCTGTAAAACCCTCGCCAGCCGTCATAACAGGTTACATGCGATCACACTGTTGTTGCACAAGCCATTCAAATAGTTTTGTGAAACAGGTTTGTGTGTGAATGCAAGAACCCAGTGGCTACATTTCAGATGTCAATGTGCATTGTCTCATTACCCCCTCCAAAAAATCCAATAAGCTTGGAAATATTGCAGTGGTGCTTACCAATTTCCTGAATCCGTTCATTGTAACATTCAGTAACCTAATGTACAACTATGCATTGATGTTATGTCTACATTACATTATATTTGTTCCACTGTGTTGTTACTGTAGCACTTGTGCCCCTTTCCTGCTGTGTTATAAGACGAATATTTTAGACGCTGGCTCAAAACTGGGATCACTGTGATTTTCATCGCTACTTATTTTCATTTCGCATGTATACAACTACTACTACACTACTCCTAAAGCTGCTACAATAGCTACTACTACTGCTGTTATACCACAACGAGAACTACTTTACTACTATGCTTGCTACAACTACTATACTACTAGTACACATTGTACGAAAGAAATGGAAGAACTGTTTTAGTGGATTGTCCGTGTTTCTTTATTTGACACAGTTAATAAAACCGAAAGACAGTAACAATGAGGCACTAGTCGTTCATAACATAGCACGGCGTAAATGTAGTTAGTCTTACTGCTGTTTGCACAAGGCAAAACAAAACGAGCGAGACCCACCCGTAAAGCCGACAGGGCATCGACAGGCAAACGTATTGACAGGATAGATGGGCCGGAAAAGGACTGTGTCTGATGCGATGAACGAGGACGCGTTCCCAAACTTGAGCACAGACAGACACTCTTCGAAGTTGATGCACGGCTCACGGACACACAAGTTGTCGTCAAAGGGCAGCACCTGTAGTGACAGCAAACAGAACCTCACCAAACGTCATATCACATTATGTTGGGTGATGATGTGGTATAATATAAAGCTGTCCACGTGAAAAGACTGTTTGCAATAGTTAATAGCGAAAATGCTTTCTGGGACACTTTTTTGATTAGGCCCATGTTACCATGCCATAGGTGGTGTCACCAATTTAACTAGGCTTGTGCGAATATTCGAAAAAATATTGCAGTATTCAAATTCACTTCGATTCGAGTTTAAATTGTAGAAAATTTGGAAGTATTCGAAAAGAACGAATAGATGTATACTGGTCCGCATGCCACTCCCTGTAAAAGTGGTTTCACGGCAGTAAAGAAATGCTAAGCAGTGAAAACTAATGTGCATGTTAATTCGCATGTGTTCCCGTGTAAAAGTGGTTTGACTGCAATAAATTAGCATTAAACTGTAAAAACGCCTATACAAGAAAACTCCGCACTGCTCCAAGTCTTACTTGAAGGTTAAATGAACGTAGTACCCTCACATCGATTTATCATTTTTTTTTTAAGTTTGAAAGTTTATTGTACTGACTTATACGCTCTTAGTAAGATTTAAAACAACATATTTTACAGGTGATCAGTGGCACTCTACCGAAAGTCAAATCCAGCTACTATTTAAAATTGTTTTTACTTTCTTTGAATAACATACATACATTTGCACAGGCTTTGTTTACATTTAAAAAAATATTGTGCAGGTTAGGTTGTCGAGACCAATTTGACCATTTTTTCTTCATATTATGTGACATACACTATTCGAATTCGATTCAAAATTATTTGACGAAAAACACTATTTGCCTTCAACCTAAAATTAACTATTGACACAAGCCTAAGCACAAGGTTGTTACACAAACAGCTCACGACAGTTTTAAATGAGTGACAGCACGTAAAACAAGGGCAAAGAATGAATTGACGACAACACAAACACTGACTGACAACGTTTTTCTTTATAGCACAAAGGCAATCAAGTACATGAAAGCATGTTTTTCTTATACTGTGGCCTAATTATTGTAGACTTTTTTCATCGCCCCAATAGTTCTGATGTATGTTGGTGACTTAAGCGTGTACATACAACAGGCAATAGTGCAGTGAATGAGAATATCATTAAGAGAACAGTGCTGTGTGCATTGCAAAAAAAACAAAAAACATATGTGCATCTCATACATTCTGAAAATGGCAGAGTTGGAATGTGTGCAAGATGATGTTATTTTTACCAATAACACATAACACAAGAACATTTCTTGCATACAATATTTGTTATAAGTGCACATTAAGCACATGTCACAGTCGGTGATAGGTATTTTCGGACGTTTCATTGTATCCGGTCATTTGTTATATTGTTTGGGTGTGGTTGCAACAGCGGTATCAACATTATGGTTCATGCATGGTACACAAATGATGTTCTAAAAAAAAAATAGCAGCATCTCCTGCGAGTTGCTGCTGTTGCACTAAGAATTCACATTGAGAAGAACCACTCAAGTCTGCTATCTTTAATAGCTTTTTTTTATTTTGTATCGTCGATTCCTTTCAAGCCCATAGTAACCTGGCTCGATATTATTCGATATAACAAAGGAAACTTATAATGTTTCGCATTTCCTTATATCAAGTTTTCACTGTAATCATAAAAAACTTGGAGGACGGTTGAAGCTTCACATTCAAGAGTAGAACGCAGATCGGATAATCAGGCACTGTGCACACAGGCTTCTCGTTTACTAGCCTAGCTTCGGTTCTTGGTGTATGCTTCAACTGTGCCACAAAGAAATGAACATTTGTGAACATAATATTGGTCATTTCAAACTATCCTAGAATGCCTGTGGCAAATACAGTTTTGAAGTGGCCCCTACACCTTAATTCTTCCCTTTGCAAATCAACGAACGGCCTGTTACACATTTGTAAGGTAGCCTCTGAACCTACGCAGCAGCTTATTTTATTGTCGATTTTGCTGCTGATGATGATTAAATGTGTCTGAGCTCTTTGTAATGGGCGGACCATCAAAACACCAAAACACCCAATCGTCGCGGAATTATCATGTTTGGAAACGGCACGATTCCATGCTTCTGCCCCGCAATATTACAAGTATAGAAGACTACTCCCGCAACATAACATTCATCATATCAGTGGCCGATCCACAGGGGGGGCAGCAGGGCCCCCAAAGCCTGTGTCAGCACCCGCACCCTCTCTTCAGTGCATTGTCCTCCGCCTCTCATCACTAACTAAAACAACTGAGAGGCACCACTTGTTGCAAGCACACATTAGCAGCATCTATGCTACGACAGGGTTTTCGTGCTACTAAAAACAAAAAAGTGAGGACCCCATCCCTCTTTTCGGTGTTCAAGTGACCCCCCCCCCCCCCTAAAATTAGTCACTGGATATGCCTCTGATTCTTATGGTAGCGGCTTTTTCTTAGAAGCAGCTTTAAGCAATAGCGTGGCTCATTTATATCATCTGGGTACCCGCTCACACGGATCATCCAGGCAACGAGGCGGCCAATTCTATCGCTCGCGATTTGACCGACCGAGCAAGCCCGTCCCCGCCCGGGATGAATACGCAAGACGCGCTTCTCACGTACCCCGACATCACATTGCACTACCACCTGTCCCGCCTCACCTTCCCCCCACCAAACCAATCCCTTTCCCAGCACCAACAACACCTGTGGCGCCAACTTCTGGCCCGCACCTTCCTTACTCCTGCACGTCTTGCCCTCTTCCACCCCGGAACGTACTCGCTGGCCTGCCGCTTATATGGCAGCTCAATCGCCAACTATGAGCACATACTCTACTCCTGTCCGGCACATTTTCCCCCTGCCTCTTGGCACCTCAGAAGTCCGCAGCAGTGGGAGGCTGCTTTGTCCAGCACCAGACCGGACCTGCAACTTCGGCTGGTGATTTGGGCGGAGGACGTCGCGGCTAGGCAATGCCTGGACGCCACAACCGGCAGCCTGAAGGCCGCCCACAACGCTGTTTTTTCAATTTTTTAAATATTATTTTACTTTTTGGCCTTCTGACAAATAAAGTTTTTTCACCACTGTGGTAGAACACCTGCTTGCCATGCAGAAAAGTTCTGGGTTTGATTATCTTTTTAACAGTTTTCCGATTTATTTTATTTGTATCTACCTCAATTTTTCACTCATTGACCTAAGATTTTTTCACCAACGAGCAATGACACTGATGGGGAAATTTGTGTGAAACACACGCTCGTTAAAGCTGTGCCAAGAACAAGAGAACTTACATGCACGTTAGTGAGTTTGGCGAGTATGGCTCTGTTGAGGTAGACCCTTTCCTGAAGGTACTGTGGTTGAAAGTAGTCGTCCTCGGATCCCTTCAGTGCCGAGAAGCTCACATTCAGGACAGTGGTGTCGACATCCGTATCGTCCTGAAAATAGGTGCAGCGTGACGATTCGGAGGATGAAACTTGAAGCATAGCGAAAGGAATGAATGATAAGCCTGCACTTTCCTAGTAAGATGCAGAGAAAAAAAAGTTCACACTTTGTCGAACAGAATTCTCGGGATACCTAGGCTCATATACGGGAAACACTGACTAAAAAAAAAAAAAAAAAAACACGAGGAAAGCATGCAGGCGCGTAGCCTGAAATTTTTTTCGGAGTGGTGGGGGCACCTCTTTTATTTTGGGAGGGGCACCCCCTTAAAATGGCCATTTTTCACTGCTTATGCCACAGCAAAAAAAAAAAAAAAAAAAATTCGGGGGTGGGGCACTTGCTTGGTGTGCCACTTTCTGGCTATGCCCCTGGGAGCATGCAACAGATGCTTGTTTTGAAAAGAACAGCGAAAGGACACAACAATGGCATAGTTATGAAGACTCCCCAGGCACTACAAGAAAAAGACAAGAAATATGAATCCCAATTCACTTCAAGCAAATATCTGAATGAACCAGCCAACATTAACTAGAACTGATGATAGAGAAAGGAAAACGAGTATTTTTTTTGTGTTAATAAAAAAAAGACAAAATGATAAATATTGTGCAGGATCTTTGAGTTAATGTCAGCGATCTCTCAGTTGATGTTGTTATTCAGAGGGACAGACTCTACCAGTCATGCAGCCATGCAACACAATGTCGCAAAACTCTGCATTCAAATTGCCATCGGTGATATGGGGTAAGCAACGTCATGATTATTTACACACTGAAGCGCAAAGTTGAACAAGACAGTTACTAATTTCAACAGCTCGTATAAGTAAGAAAACAAAATGTATACTAAATGACGACTTCTTTATTGCATACTTAACTTGCGAAACGGTCTGTCGATACCAGCTGCAGTCGATACCAGCTGCAGAACATTTTGCCAACTAGGGTAACACAAGCCAGCACTGAACCAGTTAGTTTTCAAACAGCACAATACAACTCAAAACTATTTCACACAATTAATGAGCAAGAAAAAAAAGACGTGCTTACAACAAGCACACCATCGATTGCATTCACTATACATATTTGATATTGATGTAAGTGCTGCTTTCTTTAACCGAGTGCATTTCAGATCAAATTGGTAATGCCTTGAGAACCAACTCACACAAGATTAAACGAGTGTCAAATTTCTTTTAATAATAGCTAAAACGTGCTTCTTATCGCTCAGAACTTTGCCAACCTTACCTGAACACTAAATATGAAGACATTCTCTTTGGCACAAGGCACGATGGCTGCAAGGCCACTGACGAACTGGTCGTACAGAGGCGAGAGGAACTGCTCCTTGGTGATTCCGCCCAGACGCACAGTGACGCTGTTGAACAACATGGCTTCCGAGACGAGCCTCACCGAGAGGTGGCACATTGCCGACACCTCGTTGATGCCATCTGGTGACAAATCGAAAGAAGTCTTCCTGCTGCATTTGCCCTCTGCAATGCGCTCTTTGAGCAAACACGTGAATGCGCGGCACAGATGCTTCAGCTGTGGATAGCTCTAGCAGCTGTTCTCAATGTACAGTGCAGACACTTGCATAGGACCCAGCACAATTGAATAAAATAGCCCTGTTTTTTTATTTATTTTGCATGCCCTAAAATTCCAAAGCATTGAAGAGAGGAGCGAGTTATATACACGAAAAAAAAAAGAGGCATTTATGAATATACAAAAATAGTACTAGAATATTTGGAATATTATTTATACATACTGACACAAAACTAAAAAAGAAGGTATATTAATGAACAGTAATGCACATATTATGTTAATGATTTGTCATTAAGTCTAGTTCTGTTTGACTGAGACCCTGCTGTGTTCAATTGCTCTAATTGGACATCAGTGCACGTTCAACTGCTATTAGGAGAGTTCCAATCGGTTTCAAACGAAACTTGACCGAACTTAAGACCATATAAATTGGTTATGTATAGACATCATTCTAGATCCACATGTTATTAAGAATAGTTTTGGTGGGGTTCAATATGCTAAGTGGATCCAGTTGATGGCCACCAGATGAGCAAGCCATGAAATTACATGAAAGTTTACGTTAACAATGGAACAATTATAATGCCATTTTTAAAAATAAGGTATTTGTAGTTCGTGTGATGAACGGCAGGAATCACCTAAAGCTAGATTTCTCTAGAACATTTCTTAGAGCTCCACACAAGTGCATTACACTCTCATGTTTCCTTTAAATTGTGCTCCGCACGGTAATAAATGTGATTACTGCAGTTAGGTTCACTTAAACATGTGGTGACGATAGAGCCTTGGCGCTTAGAACACTGGGCTGCTGTCCAGTTGGCACTGAAGACTCGTGGGACATGCATTCTGTGAAAAACCTATGAATATATCCATCGCACGTCTGCATGAGCATCAGGCTGGAAATCTCAATGACAGGCTTCATTCCCAGGCCACAAAAAATATTTTAGGGGCGAAGCTCCTCTTAGTCCAACCTTGTCTAAAAGACAGACAAACATATAGACAAACTGACAGACAGACTGATGGACGAATGCACTGGAAGACGGATGGAGGGATGCACAAACAGACATACTGACAGACAGATACACAGACACACAGATGGATGGACAAACAGACAGACGGATGAATGTTTTGCCCCACTCATTATCATCCCTTTGTAAATATACTGTGATTTTTTATAATTATTATTTTTAAATTTTCAGAATGTGTGCTACGTAAGCTGCTGATGCCAACTCTGCAATGCAAAACACTTGCTATGGCTACCCATTCGGGCTTTTTTGGCTTGTACTCTTGACAGCCTTGATGTGACAGCCTTGATGACAGCCTTTGGCTTGTACTCTTGACAGCCTTGATGTGACAGCCTTGACGACAGCCTATGACATAACATTTCAAAAGGGTCAGTAGCCACTTCCCAGGTTTGGTGCAAGAACACATCCCGCATAAAGCAGACACAGCTGTGAACAGCTCAGACAATTCATGCAGCTGTGCGCAGCAAAGATAGTTTGAAAACCAAGCACGAAGTTTCCATTTTTTTAGGGGCTTTCCTTTCATTACAGGCCTGTGTTAACTTTCTTCGGAACTGCTGGCACCTGCTCTTTGGTGTCAAACAACAGATAACAGGCTATTGGCCAATGCCCTACGTAAACCGAGGGCTGTGTTTGGATCAGGCACGGTCATCGCCATGTGTTGGCACAACGCTCTACAATATGGTAACATTATGTGGTAGCCACACCATTGATCCCAGGATTTACTATGGGAGAGAGCGATGGCATTTCATCATGTGCACACAGGGCCAATGTGCGCACTGAAAACTTTTTTCACCCACGTTACCTTTCCCTGTGTAACTTTCGGCACGCTCATCCGGACGAGAGAGAGCACTTAGAGCATGCAATAAGGGCCCTGTAACTCTGCTCGTTCCTGAAGGATTCAAGAAATCTTTGCAGGAATGGTATTCCTGAGGCAATAAGCTCTGACACTGAATTAATTTCAAGTCACATCTTCAATCATTTCTCCTTATGTTGCCAGTGCTTGTGAGCAAACTGCTATTGTTACTAGTAGGAGGACCTCGTATCAGGCGTTGTCCTCTCTTTCTCAAGTGTATTTTGTACACTTGAATAAAATCAATTGCAATTCGATTGAATGATTACTTTGAAAAATTGGTTCAGGACCCCTTCAATGGCAAACATTTCCCATTTACTTAACACTACTGCAAGTCAATCACACATTATGATTATGAATGTGGTGCTCTGGCACACATAAAAGGGACTAACCAAACACGCTGACTTCCATGTCGGCATTGATGTGCACGTTAGAGTTAAGGCTCGGGCTGAGCCGGATGTCCCCGGATGTTTCGTTGAGCATGAGAAGGTTGGCATTGTTGCCAGAGACGAAGCGATATCGCAGTTGGTCAGCGACGTCGGCGTCCCATGCTGGCACACGTCCGATGGGGCCCACGGGAAAGTGGTGCTGATAGTTGTTGAACACAATGCTGAAGTCCTGGTGGCAATACAACAATGACACCATCAGTGCTCCCGAGTGTTCTTAAAATATTAAAGACTCGCATAAAAGTGACACTAAAGTGAAACAATGAATCAGTTTAATTGATGAATTTCACCGCGAAATTTCTATTGCCATTAATTTACTATCATAGGTTTCTTAATAAAGAGAAAATCAAGGTCAAACATTGATTTTTAATTGTCACAGTGATATCTCCGTGCGTGATGTCCTGGATTTCAACGTGCATTTTTCATACTGTTGCGACAGTTGGCTCAAGGACATTCGCAGAAACTTAGTATGATAAGTCTCCGGCCTCCACAGAGGACAATGTACTTTATTTTTACCAGTTAGGGACAACATAGGTGCTAGTAGGCACCGGCCAAATCTAGGCTTGAAAGCACCATCGGCATTTTCTCTTTGCGGGTTATCTCCCGTACCAGGCGTCTTGTTGCTGTAAGTGTGGCGCTTTTGCTATTGTGAAAGAGTAATTTACTAATACGAGAGGAATCTCTTTCATCTTCAGTGTCCCTTTAAAGAAAAAATAGCATAGAAGGCTCGATGTAAAAAGAAATAGTGGTTAGTGCACTCAGTGATCACACAGCTGCCAACTGCTTACAAAATTAATAAATGTGACATTTTGAATTTATTTATATGATTACACTGATAGCCACACACTTCAGGTTATTGTAAGGTTCAGGTAAGTACGGACATATACGCATTGAGTTGAACTAGATGAAGCCAATGTGATCAGTATACATCACACAAAAGTGCAAAAAAAAAAAGAAACATCGATAAATTTCATATTCAGTAAACAAGAGGTAAAACTCTGCAAGTACTGATGGATACGTCAAGCGTATAATGCTATTATCAGACATAAATTGAAGTATGCATCCGTGGTATAGGATCCGTACACGAAAGAGGATATACAGAGCCTAGAAGCACTACAAAAGAAAGCCATCATATTTATATTTAATAAATACAAAAGGCTAGATTCCCCAACTCAACTTATGAAAGCTTATAATATACCCCCCCCCCCCTAGCTGTCCGCAGAAAGGTCAGTCGACGTAAGTTCTTGCGTAATATTCTAAACGGTAAGCTTAGTATGTCTGCACTCTCATATTTGACAGCCACTACAGCTAGAACCACGCTCAATACTCGCAAACACGCCCTTCAACACATTTTTGCCAAAACAGAGATATTTAAACAGAGTTTTTTTCCCCGCAGTGTTTTGGATTGGAATGATCTGCCCGAGTTTGTTGGCGAGGCAGACAGTTTTGATGAAGCCCTTGAATAACATGTGTCATTGAATTGCTGAGACTGTTATATAGCTTACTGTGAGAGTGTTGTATTGTGTTGGTGCTGTCTTTTATTTCTCTGTTTAAACATCACTTCACATCAAAACTGATGTATTGCATGTGGTGCCAGCATTGTTAATCAATAATTTCTGTACTGTTCTCCTTGATTTTGTAAACCCACTCCTGCCTGAGCCATGCTGGCCTGCAGTATCGTGAAATAAATAAATAAATAAAAATACCATGACTCAAATAACCAAGAATTGTGTCACCAAACTTGAGGCACTGCTCAAAAAAGCAGGCATCATTTTCACAAGAAAATAAAATGTGCGACTCGCTAGTCAAATAGTTTAATCACCAAGCTTTAACTAATTATATTGTGTCACCCAGAAAATGAATTTCGAAGGAGGCTGTGAGGTGAAGGATGGTTTGTGAGAATGAAAAAATGTGGTGCAACTATTCATCGCTTTGTGCTGCAAACAAGTGATTGCTGGTTTCTCCATTTAGTGATTTGCTTTATCATAATGTAGTGCAGCACAAAAAACAGATGCCAAACGAGCCAGGGAACGAGGACATCTCTCGCTCGTTTGGTGTCTCTTTTGTTGTGCTGTACTACATTATTATTGACTTGTTCCAACTCACTCATCAAGCAACATTGCTAATTTGCTTTATGGCACAACTGCAATTAATGAAATAAAGTTAGGAAGCTCCTCAAGCAATGAACGCTTCTAACATAATTTAAAGCTGGCATTAACAGTATTAATCAGAAGAGTACCGTCTAAGACAGATTGACAGCAGCATGTTTACTTTAATGACAAGAGATCTCTTCGTGCGCAGCAGGACATACATGTATTAAATGTCAGTGCCATTACGTTTTGCACTTCAGGTGGGCATTGCTGGAAGCTGTATATATGCAGAAATAATGAATGTGACTAGTCTACAGTTTGTAAATTGTACCGTAAACTAATTAACTATAAATATGGTGAATCATTACAAATGAGTAAATTACATGCATTAATCTATAGTGCAAGTAAACACGACTCTACTCTACGTGACACAGGCTTCATAATCATTTTAGCTTTTTGCCCATTTACGGGTCAACACGTGCCGATGTTGGAACTCCCTGCCAGATAGCATCGCATGTCTAGATAACACCAATACCTTCCGTGACAAGTTGACTAGTTATCTGGCCAGGGAAGCGCGAAGAAATCTGACATTATAGCTGTATGCCCTTACTGTCATAGTAATCTTTCTTTCTCGTATTTTAAGTCATCATTTCAAAACAACATAGTGTCGCTTTTTTGTTTTTGCCTTTTTCTTTCTTGATATGTCAACTAATTATTTGTATAAAATATGAAGTTTGCTTGACTAACAATACTTTTATCGATAATGCCCCCAGTGATCGTTTCCCAGTTATGTTTTATATTGCTAGTGTTGCATTTTTTTTTGTAAGCAGTACTGCCGTAAATAATTTTTATTATACTGCTCTGTCATTTGGTTCGTTACGTATGTTCCTGTATCTGTACTTTGTGAACAATTCAGGAATTTCACTTTTTGTACTGCCCCCCTTACACTATGCCTCAAAAGAGGCCTGTAAGGTATTTTTAAATAAATAAAATAAATAATGTCCATCTCTTCAAGATCCCGCTTGAGAATAAGAAAATGCATCATTCATCGTAGATTGTTTATCATAGTTTTGAATAAATCTTTTTGTCAGCCAGAGTATCAATGAAACTGTGCCACAATTTTTCATGAAAGAAGAAAGAAAGGTAAATATCCAAAACCATAACATTAATTACATTTAGGACAATGTTCTTATTCCTAACATAAAAACATAAAAATATAATCAATGCATTTTACATAAAATTTACATTTAAAAATTGGCAGACATGTTTATAGCAAGTCCACACACTAAGTGAAAATGTGTTCAACGTAACTTCAGTATACGGTGAATTTGTTACAGCGATGACCTGAATAAAACATAAATTACTGTACTTTCCACATCCCAACTCAAATCCATTAGCTTTCGAGTGTTCTGTAGAAAACGTTAGTACATATCCAAGTTGTGATAGTACATTATATCAGATACAGTGATATTCGACTGAAACTTGGAAATTTAAGGGTAAGCGACGCAAACGACTCCATTTACACAGCCTTTAGTTGGTGTCTCAACACATCGGAGCCCACATCACCTTTGGTGGCCCAATTCGTAGCGACGTGGCATAATTATCTCGAGCGAACTGTACATAATAGTAGTCTGGTTTCATTTCAAAGCACTGCACCTATTCTAGCTCAGTTGGCTTAATGAAATGGTGCATGCTTGTGCACTCACCACTTTAGAGTTTGTTACGCTGTGCCCATGGTCTAAAGTTAAAACATACATGTGGGGCAGCTGTTTGCTTCTGTAGTTTCCTGCTCAATTAGAAATAAAGCAACCAGTTGTGATTTAGCAGCCATGCTTCATCATTTTCATTGCTTGCATGTATATTCTAATGCCACTTTTTTGTTAAGACTGTACTCCAGTGGCATGAATTCAGAAAAATCCTAAGGGGGTAGGGGGGACACAAATGAGACCATAGTGGCCATTTTGTTTTTAAATATTACTGTAGTTTTACTTACATACGAACTAAATCATGTTATGAAATAAAATTTTAAAAGTGAGCATGGGGTCTGAGCTCATGTTGTTCCATTGTTCTATTCAGTTCTTGAACTGGTCGAGCGGCTTTTGCGATTTCTGTTGCCTTGTACAGACTGGGGTTCTGAAATCAGGTACACACTAGAAAATAATCAGTCTTTAAAAAAAAGGTTGAAAGCGCTTTAGTTAACTGCCAACTAACTCAAATATATGACGTTTAAGGATAAATCCCATAGGGGGACACTTACATGGGGTGTCCCCTCAGCCTGAACACAAGTGTGGTCCGGAACCCCCTGAACCCCCCATGATTTACGAAAATGTTGCACTCGACATCAGAATTATTTTTACTGGATGGAAACCTGTCAGTAATACTGTCTCTATTGCAAGGTGGACTTGTGTCGTATTGTGCGGGATGCCATGACGAAAAATTTTTAAAAAATGCGAGGGAATCTGTCAATGTATATGCAATTAAAGGAAATGAATGTGACACGCTAGTATAAGCTGTCATTAAGAAATTGCATAATTCTATCAAAGGCAGGAGATAGGCAAGAAACAGATACACAGGTGCCCCTAGTCATGTCGAAACAAATTTATGTTTAAATAGATTCGCACCGTTTGAGCCTGGAAAATTAATTATGTGTCATGAAGGAATAGTCAATGGCCATGGATGTCCCCGTTAAAACACAGTGACAGCAGTCAATTGCATAATAGAGGTACGAACCGCTAGTATATGTTTGATCAGCTAACATGAAAGGTGTGTCTAAGTTACGTATACAGGCCAGAGAACGACCTAGTGTTTCTGGCAGGCTTGTACATAAATGCTTCCGTTTAAACCAGTAAATCTAGGCACTGAGGAAAGGTTCAACAAACTTACCTTAAGAACAGGAGCATTGTCATTGACATCCGAGACCCACACTTCGACTTCAACATCATTTCGGAGTGGCGGAGACGATGCTCTCACTATCAGGGTATACTTCTTGTGGGTAGACTCATAATCAAGGTCTGTTCTGGTAACAATCTCAGCTGGCTCTCCGGGTCTGGCTACCAATGAAAATGCATCTGCATCAGGGCCACCGACAATGGCATACTGGATGACTGCATTTGGCCCTTCATCTGGGTCATGTGCTTCTATCTCGCCTGCAATGGAGCCTATTGGGCTGTTTTCTGGAACAAACAGCCGGATTCGGTCAGCCGAAAAGCGTGGAGGACTGTCGTTGACATCTTCTATGTACACAGTCACGGGCACGGAAGCCGACAAGGATGGTGACCCACGATCGACGGCAAAGGCTACAAGGTGATACACCGCCAACGTTTCACGATCAAGCACCCTGTTTGTTCGAATGATACCCGATGTTCGGATCGACTCCAAAGGCACCGCTTCCATCGTTCCCTCCCAGAAAAGTGTAACGAATCTGCCCATTCAAGGCCTAGATCACTGTCTGTAGCCGAGATGTGGACAACGCTCGTTCCGATGAGAGCGTCTTCACTGACTGTGCTAGTGTAGCCAGCTGTGGGAAACGTGGGCGCATTGTCGTTGACATCTGCAACTTCCAGTTCAACATTTGTCGTGTCAGACAGTGGTGGGTTTCCATTGTCCTGAGCCATGACAACCAACGTGTAGCCACTGGTCTTTTCCCTGTCAAGAGGTTTTGCAGTCACGATGGCACCAGTTGTTGAGTCAATCCGAAACTCCGGGACGTCTTCCTCCATTGTGTAAGTGATGAGTGCATTCCGACCAACGTCACCAGTCATGTGCTTCAACTACAAGGACAGTCGTTCCCACCGGCACATCTTCTGGTACCGTAGCAGGTGTACGGAGTTCGCTCGAAAATTGGTACGATGTGTGTTTGCATCGCTCACAGTTGAGGTAGATTGTGGCAGTGTCTGACCGACCACCGGAATCAGTTGCACTGATCGTTAGGACAAACCGCTTCTCAAGTTTATAGTCGAGAGGTTGGGCTATGGACACTACGGCCTGCCTGTTATGGCTGACAATGCTAAAGCGATCCCTTGTGTTTCCACTGGTAATGTGATAGACGAGGCGAGAATTTTCATCCCTGATCGGTGGCCGTAACACTGACCACAGGAGTTCCAGGAGGATCGGCCTCAGAAACTGTGGCTTCGTAGACACGTGGTTCAAACACCGGATCATTATCATTCACAGTCTTGCACTCGCAGGAGAATGGTGGCCGTGGCTGATCGTGCAGGAGAGCCATGGTCCCGGGCAATCACTTGGAAGTTGTAGTTGGCACTTTCCTCTCGGTCAAGCTCGCGTGTCGTCACAATCCAGCCAGTGATATCGTCGATTCTCATGGGCAAGTCTGCATGCTCAGCGGAAGACAAGGTATAGGAGATCTCGGCGTTTGGCCCATCATCTGCATCGTACGCTTGGACCCTTACTATGCTGTGACTAATCGGTACATTTTCGGGAACTGTTTCGTGAAAGAGGGAGGTGTAGAACTTTGGATCATTGTCATTAATATCCAGTACATTCACCAGTAGCTGAGTAGTATTGGACCGAGAAGGTGTCCCGCCATCCTGAACTCGTACGACAAGGCGATAGCTGCGGGCCGACTCATAATCTAAGGGCGACAGAACAGTCACTGATCCTGTGAAGCTGTCCATAGCAAAGTGACCTTGAGTATTTCCACCAATAAGACTGTACCTTAAAGCAGCGTTTGCACCTTCATCGGCATCTACAGCCCGGATTCTTGCAATTTCAGGGTGATTTAACCAGTTGATAGTCTTCGGACACCTTGACCGAATACGAACGTTCTGAGAACTGAGGGTAATTGTCGTTGTCATCAAGTACGGTGATTTCAACAGTTGTCGATGCCGATTTCCGATCAGTGACAGGACCAGAGTCGCTCGCCTGAACTATGAGTGAATAGAAAGATATCAATTCCCTGTCAAGTGATGTCTGCGTTGTGATGATGCCACTCTTAGAGTCTATTCCAAACGCACTGTTTGTGCCATCTGGATTAACAATCGAGTAGTCAATATTGGCATTTGAACCCGCGTCTTGGTCTGTAGCTCTGACTGTGACAACAGTGTAGCCTATTGGAACGGACTCCCGAATTGAGGTTTCATAAGTTGACTGCTCAAACATTGGAGCATGGTCATTCTCATCAAGAACGTTCACCTGCAAAGTGCTACTGGCTGTTGCCGTCGGGTGGGAACTGCCGTCTATGGCGATCACCCTTAAGTAGTGAACGTCCATGAACTCCCTGTCCAGGATTGCAGTGGTTGTCACGACACCCGACAGGGGATCAATGTTGAACATAGCTTGGCTTCTAGCATCAAGTACAGCGTGAAGCGAGTATGACAAATCAGATGATGATGAGCCACTGGTTGACGCTGTCATGGTTTCTACTACATAGCCACGGTCTTTCCCTTCAGGGACTGAAGCAATGTAAAGGTTCCTCTCGAAATGGAGAGCGTGACGCCTGCTTCGATGGCGCCCGAAGGCTACCACCAAGTCATAGCTGGTGTTTTCACAGGGCGACGTCAATGTCGTCATGACCGTGTCTCCTACGGGACCACAGAAGTCCGCGTGGGCGACCAGGTCCCCGGCTACCCTTTCTATGGCACAACATTGAGTCGGTGGCGAGTATCCGTACGTGAGGCTGCAGTTCCCGAGGCGGGGCAGAAGACTCGCCAATCTTACGATTGGTTCGCTTCGCACGAAGCACGCCTCTTGTAGCTGATGCAGTGTTACGCGCACCGTATCCGCGGTGTCCGGCGAGGCGTCGTCGGTGATTTCGCATTCCACGAATCGAACCCACGTCGTCCACTCGGTCGAACAACACGGACGCCTAGCGCGCACTGTCACAGGTACGGGGTTCTGCAAGAGAGAACTGCACTGCACCGAGTCTTGCAACGTGACGGCTCCGCTATGACGGTCGACGTCGAACAGACGTGCACCGAAGTCCTGCACGCGGAGGTCGTAAGTCCACGGCGGCGGTTCGTTGGGGGGCTGAAGAAGCGCGGCACGGAAGACCGCGAAGCCGCGCCGGTTATCCGCGGGCCTGACGGAGGTCACAAGAGAGTCGGCGACCGTGAAGAGGCACGCCAGGCAGAGCAGCGACCGTCGCCGCAGAGGCGACGGCGCGACCCCCTCGCCCATGTCACAACAACTCCGCGTCGGCGGGTGCCGGCGACCACGACGATGACAGCACGCACGTCGAAACCACAACAAACGCGGAGTCTCCGGGGCACCACGACGGCCGCACCATCGCGTCACAGGCTAAGAAATCGGACACTTTTCGAAGGCTGCACAACACCGCCGACATGGCGAGGTATCCACAGGGGCCACGACGGCTGGCATCAATTATTGCGCTGGTTTCTGCGGCCGCTCCACTCCACCGCCGCGCGCACGCACACACCTTGCATCGATCGGCGTTGGGGTGAAGCCACACTCCGGGAAACAAAGCGCGCGTGGTGACCGCGCAGAGGCATATCGCACGCGTTTGCGCCGGCCTTGTCGAAACTTTGCTCACATTTCAAGGGACCGCTTTGAGGCTACTCACACGGAGCACGGAATGCAACGACATCTCGAAGAATCCCCTGTGGCCCCATCGGCCCTCATTGTCCGAGAACCGGTCTTTTCCCATCGCCGCGCCGCGGCGACTTCTCGGAGGAGGAGGAGCAGCCGCAGCAGCTCCGGCTTCGCAATGAGCGGGAGAACATAAAAGAAAGAAGTGTAACGAAAAAGGAGCACAAGTCAGGTTCAGTGCGCCACGCACGAACAGACGCGCGGACAGCGCGACTTAAATTCTCGCGACTGCCGCTAGGCGTCTGCGTGGCGCTGCGGTTGCCCTGCTTCCCTGCCTGCCCGCGTGCTGTCCGGAAACAAGTCATTACGTGCGGCTGGCGCGCACTTCGTGCTTCTAGAAAATTACGTTTTTGCCTTTCTCCGCGCCTTGCTTTTTTTTTTCATGGCGGCCCTCCCTTGTTTCTACCACCCATGGGGTAGCCACGAACAAAAGAGCATCAGTCAAAAAGGCCGCGTGCTAAGAGGAATCGTTTTCTGCAGCAACTGTGCTGTACGGTGTCGAACCAACTGCGCTTTTATGGTGGACAAGGCAGTGTTGTTTATGATGTACGTGTTGTCCCAGGTTTCCTCTTCGCTGTCTGGAGCGGTTTATGAGAGGAGGTCAGTAAGCGGCCCACTATGAGCGCTTGCCTTGAAGGTGCACTTGTTCGGTCAAGGATGCACTTTCCCTTACGCATGGGATACAAGCGACTGCGGCCTGTATTATAAGGATTTCATAACTCCCAAGTTACTTTGACATTGGAAGTTATCGGGCGTTTTCGCGAGTGCACAAGGCGGGCCCTAGAAATACACATACATCAGGCCCACCTTGCGTACAAACCTACAGATACGAGAGTTCCGGCATTGCATAGCGGATGAACTTGATGATGAGTGCTGCCAGCAAAAGCAGCCATGTGGCTGGCGTGACGCGCCCCAATCACACAACCGTGTCACGCGACGGCCAATGAAAAGCCCCACGGGAAGGGCTCGGGTCGATTTACACGTATAATGGCCACCAATCACACGCTCCATAGCCGGCTCGTTTGCCGATGTCGTGAGCCCTGTTTATCCGATGGGTCTTGCTAGACTTTTGCCTGAGGGCCACGTATCCAGCAGCTAGTAGTTTATATTGCAATACAAGGGAATCATTTTTACTTCAATTTTTGCTGCAAGAAGCAGAAAATCGGTTTTTATTTTTTCACGATCAACGTTTGCGAGCAGCAATTTCAAAGGACGTATACTTCGAGCGTATTTTCGGCGCGCTAGTGGCCAGTTTCAGATTGTCTCGACGTGTCACAAGTTGGCAGCATGCAAAAAGGTTTCACTGCAACTGTTAGCGCCTGAGATTGACGATGCTTCCAGCCACCGAAACATCAGAGTCACATCAAATTGTGGCTGATATATACTTGCAAAAACCAGAATGCATCCACCAATCACAGAGATATCTGTAAAACATGCTTACCTTGAGACTTACCCGCGCTTTGATCGTGATAATTGATATATCGTAGAGTATCAGGTGCACGCGCCGAAGAACATACCGATAACACGTGCCTCCACCCCTCGCCACGGCGCATGCTCCGGCCTCGGGCCAGGGTATTAAAACCAAGACAGCAGCCTCGTGAATAAACATTGTTCCTTCTTGTTCTGGCCATGCATCGTCTTATTCTTCGCCCTTACGATACTACAGTGGCGACGAGGATGGGATCCGGTTAATTGCACTCCGACGCTGAGACCAGAAGAATGGGATCCCGACCCCCTGCCTTCGACGACGCCGTGAGTAGCTGGAGCACGTATCGTGTCCGGTTGGAAGCCTACTTTGAGGGCAACGATATTACCGACGTAGCGAAACGCCGGGCCCTACTGGTTTCATCGTTGAGCGACAGTGTCGTCCGGATATTGCAAGGGCACCAGCCGGGGGTCGCCATCAACTCCTTGACGTACGATGACGTTGTGAAATGCTTGGAAGAACATTTCAACCCTCAGGCAAACGAAATAGCAGCAAGCTATTCTTTCTTTATGCGAAAACAAGATGAGCAAGAAAGCGTCCGGGACTACATTGCTGAACTGAGAAGACTGGCCGTAAATTGTAATTTCGGGGCGACACTGGACCGTATGTTGCGGGACCGAATCGTTTGTGGGATTCGGGATGAGGAAACGCGCCGGTGCCTGCTGGGCCGCAAGAACTTGACTCGTGAAGAAGCCGAAGAATTCGCCTTAGCTTCTGAGAAAGCGAACGAAGACGCTCGGGGCATGCGTACTTCATACGCCCGGACCGAAGGTGGCGGCGTCAACGTGGTACAGCAACAAGGCAGACAGTGGAGGAAGAATTGCAGCCTTTCATGCGACAGATGCAAAGGGGCGCATGCAACGGCGTCCTGTCGACATCGCAGTTCCATATGCCATCAATGTGGTAAAAGAGGGCATCTTGCTAGGGCTTGCAAAAGACCCCACACCCCCAGGTCAGGAACGTTCGCTGTCGACGGAACCGAATGTGAAAGCGAAGAAGAGAGGTTGTATGCTCTCGTTGCACACAGTTCCGCCAATAAGCACTTGGTGCAGCCAATCGAGCGCACCTTAACGTGGGAAGGCCGTAGGCTGCGAATGATTGTCGATACTGGATCACCAGTAAGCGTGATTCCCAAAAGCTTGTACAAGAAGCATCGCAAGTGGTGGCCGGCTCTGCAAAAAACTCCACTACGCCTTTCATGTTTCCTGGGACCGTTGCCGGTCGTTGGCAAGGTAGACATGCAGGTACAGCTTGGACCAGTAACGGTGAGCAGTTCGCTGATAGTAGTGGACCATCGAGGGCCCCTTTTGTGCGGAAGGGACACGATAGAGGAATTTCGCAAAGCAGGCATGTTGCTAGTAGAAGGCACGTCGTCTTCGGTGAATGTTGTTCACGCCGACAGCCAGCTAACCGCACTTCTTGACGAGTTTCCGGACCTCTTTGAGAACCTCGGATGCTGTAAGGGACCACCGGTGAAGCTGTACCTCAAGGAAAGTGCGCAACCTCGATTTCTGAAGGCTCGGACAGTCCCGTATGCCATGAGAGCGCAAGTCTCCGCCGAAATTGACCGACTGGTGGAAGTGGGCGTGCTGTCCCCAGTGAGCGTGGCTGAATGGGCAACACCGGTCGTGCCCGTAGCAAAGAAGAACGGAGACATCCGGCTGTGTGGGGACTTTAAGCTAACAGTTAATCCAGCGACAAGAACAGAGCAGTACCCGCTTCCGAAAATTGACGACATCTTTGCGGCGCTATCAGGAGGCGAAGTGTTCAGCACACTCGACTTACGAAACGCATACAACCAGCTTCCCCTGGATGATGATGCTAAGAAGATAACTGTGTTGAATACACACAAAGGCCTCTTCTGCTACAACCGCTTGGCTTTTGGCATTGCCTCAGCGCCTGCGCTGTTTCAGCGGCGCATAGAAGCCGTGCTGCAGGGTATACCAGGGGTGAAAGTTTACTTGGACGACATTATTGTAGCAGAAAAAGAGTATGACACAACGATACTGCGGCAAGTGTTCGAACGACTTCGGGCGAACGGCCTAACACTGAACAAGGAGAAGTGCCACTTCCGAGAGAAAGAAGTGGTATTTCTAGGGCACCGAATCGATGCAAAAGGCCTCCACCCACTGCAGGACAATTTGGAAGCAGTGCTAGCGGCACCGCCACCGACTTCGGTAAGCCAGCTTAAATCATTCTTAGGACTGGTCACATACTATTCCAAATTTCTACCGAACTTGTCGTCCACTTTGGCCCCGTTACACCGACTCTTGTCTAAAGGAGCACTGTGGTGTTGGGGGCCCGCACAGAGAACAGCATTCCAAGAAACCAAGCGCGCCATGAGAAGGGCGAACTTTCTTGTGCATTACGACCCCCAAAGACCCTTGCGGCTTGAGTGTGATGCGTCGGCCGAGGGTATAGGCGCAGTTTTGTCGCACCGCATACAAGGAGTGGATCATCCCATAGCGTTCCGCTCGAGAACTCTAACGTCGGCGGAACGTAATTATTCACAATTGGAAAAGGAGGCACTAGCGCTTGTCTTCGGCGTGGTAAAATTTCGAGATTATTTGTTTGGCAACAAGTTCACTCTGGTGACCGATCACAAGCCTCTGACTGGTTTGCTAGGTCCAGATAAACCCATTCCGCAAATGGCAGCGGCCCGCATTCAACGTTGGGCGCTGCTCTTAGCAGCTTATCAATACGACTTGGAATACAGAAAAGGAGAGCTAAATGCAAATGCCGACGCTCTAAGCCGGTTGCCATTACCGGTTCGCGATAATGGCTGGGAAAATGAACTAGCCGAATATGTCCTGCATGCGCAGGCTATGGAGGATTTTGCTTTGTCTGCGCAGAGTATTTCAGACCACACCAGCAAAGATGACGTACTTCAGCAAATGAAGACTTGGATCTTGCAAGGCTGGCCAAGGCGCCTCGGTTCAGTTGAACAGCAGTACCAACCGTATTTTGCATGGAGGCATGAATTGGCCGTGAAAAACGGGATACTCTACTGGGGCCAACGTGTGGTTCTGCCTAAAACTGCCCGGCAATTTGTTTTGAAAGAGTTGCACGATACGCACCCAGGCATGACGGCAATGAAGAACCTCGCGCGCTCAATTTTCTGGTACCCAGGGCTAGACGGTGAAATTGAAATGCTTGCAAAACGGTGTCCCCAATGTGTGCAGTGTTTGCCCATGCCCCCAGCGCAGGTCCCGGCAAACTGGCCAAAGAACAACAGACGGTGGTACCGCCTACACGTGGATTTTGCTGGTCCCGTGGAAGGGCATATGATCTTCGTTCTCGTCGACGCCGAGACTAAGTGGATCGAAGCAGTGCCCTTGAAGACGGCGACAGCAGCGACTACGGTAGACACACTTAGGTGCATTTTCGCGCGATTTGGCATACCACGGACTGTCGTGTCGGATAACGGTCCGCAATTCACCAGTGCAGAGACAGCGCGGTTCTTCCGGGAAATTGGGGTGCGCCACGTAACGACGGCCCCATACTACCCGCAATCCAACGGTTTGGCGGAACGGGCAGTACGCACCATCAAGGAGAGCCTGAAGAAAAATCGGGTGGGAACGCTGCAAAGTCGGCTTGCCAAATTTTTGTTGCGTTACAGGACCACACCGACCCGAGAGGAGCAGTCGCCCGCGGAAAGGCTTTTTGGATTCCAACCACGAACCCGCCTGAGCACCTACCTGGCAGAGGAAGACGGGGCGAAGAGGGAGGCTACCGTCAACGGAGTGCCGAACTCTGGAAAGAAAGAGTTTGCACCAGGAAGGGAGGTGTGGAGTCGACAGTACAGTCAGCTAGGTCAAAGGTGGCTACCCGGAACCGTGACAACAGTCGAAGGCAAGCGATTGTTAACCGTTAACACGCCAAGGGGGGTGCAACGTAGACACGTCGATCAAGTACGACCACGCGACTCGTCGACACCGGTTAAGAAAGAACCATGCGAAACGCCAATTGCCATGGAGCAATTGCCACTCTCATCCAGCGGCATCCAGTCAACTAGCAGCGAAGCCCTTCAGGCCGGTCTGTCCGAGCCTGGTGAGGAAGCGTCTGGCGGTGGCATCGAGCCAGCAAGTCCAAGGTCCACGGCAGAACCACTCCCACTCCGACGCTCCACCCGTGCCCGCAAGCCGCCGGATAGGTTCTAGCTCAGAGGGGAGGAAGTGATATATCGTAGAGTATCAGGTGCACGCGCCGAAGAACATACCGATAACATGTGCCTCCACCCCTCGCCACGGCGCATGCTCCGGCCTCGGGCCAGGGTATTAAAACCAAGACAGCAGCCTCGTGAATAAACATTGTTCCTTCTTGTTCTGGCCATGCATCGTCTTATTCTTCGCCCTTACGATACTACAATAATGGTGTTCATTCTCAATGCAGGGTAACGGGCAAGTGCCAAACAACGGTGGTATGCTCAACCTAGTGAAAAAACTGAAAACAGTCCCATCCCGGTTGTCTGTGACCTGTATACTGCGAAATATCTTGTTCTTGGGAAAGTTGGCGTTTTGATTTACTGCGCATGTTGATGCACAAAGTGTACTCATGAAGTAAGGAGCAAGATAAGTCAGAGAGAAGCGATATTCTTATCTCCTCCCTGTTCTTGGTCTCTCTCTTTTTTTTCCCCCTCTGGTGCCATAAAACGTACGTTACACCAGCTGTATGCTAGAACGAAAATTCGCTGTGACCACTCTTTGTGCCCCCTATAGAAACATAAATATTGTTAGCGATTCGTTTATCAGTTGCTTGTTTCATACAGTCACTAATCTTATGGGCAGTCCATGGGCGTATAAGCACTCCTTTAGGGGAGTAAGATAACTTCTAGCAGCGACGTTGTGGTAGCTTGTTTCTTTTGCTGAAAACCTTGAATGGCAGATTTTGTTTGGTATATGCTGAGCACACAACAAGGAATACGCATGTGCTTAATCGCACGTGAGCGTGATGTCGGGAAGTGATGCGTAATATATGAACGTCGCAGCAATACTTCGTCGGACACACGGCTGTGAGGTATCGCCGCCAGCGTTGTTAGCGTTTGTCGCTTTCGTATCCTTTTAGAAAGCGTGTCGGATTTACATTTGCCTCGGCGTTCGGCTTGACGTACTCATAGCTGCTGTAAAGAAGACAATTGTCGGCGCGGCATCAAATCGCGCCGCCATATCTCAGGTGCAAAAGAATAGATTTTTTACGTAATTAAAATTAGTATTTTCCACGCTGCTTTATCATTCGAGCATTGTTGTGGCTCTTCCTGTGTAAAAAATTATATTTTGGTGACTGTGCTTAGCATAAAAGGTCAATTTTAGAAACAACGAAGTTATGATATAACGAAGGGAATATCCCATTTTGCCTGTTTCGTTATATCGAGGTTTAACAATGCTCAGGCTAGAACTCTGCGCTTCTTGCAAACAACCAATAGTTAGCAATGTGTCAAAGACGAATTACACACACACACAGATATATATATATATATATATATATATATATATATATATATATATATATATATATATATATATATATATATATATATATATATATATATATATATATATATATATATATATAAGAATATGTTGCAGCACCACCATCCAAGCTGACGAGGTAGCCATCACCCTGGCCCTCCGAAATACGGACCACCATGCACGCCATACTGAGTGATTCACAGGCGGTGGCGAGGAACTTCGCCAAAGGACGCATGTCGCCAAGAGCCGACAGCACCCTGAAGAGAAGACACTCCATCAAGGACCACGCTAGTCTAATTACAGGTTTCCCAACCCACGCCAACGAGGGCGACCAGGCTCGCCCGAATCTCAACGAGGCAGAGCCCACCGCAGAGCGCTGGCAGACCGCGCCGGGGTGACCACTCGGGAGGAACCGCGAGCCGAACGAGACAAACAAGATACAATGACATCACAAAGACGTATGGACAAGGCAGGCAAAAATTTCCACCATGTACCACACGAAGACCTAAACAAGGCACAAACAGTGGCCTGTTTAGATAAAACTACAGAGAAATATAACTTCCCGAATTCATGTCACCTGAAGCGAATATTTCCCGAAGCACACAAAGAAGACGTGCAAGATATGCAAAAAAAAAACATGAAAACTAAAACACATGCTACGGGAATGCAATGTTAAGCGAACTAACGAGTTGAACTACGAGACCCTATCGCCGAGGTGAGCCGCCGCTCTGCGCAGCTTGAAGCTCGGCGACCAACTCTGGGATGTCCAGCAGACCCACGATGAGGCGCTGCGACAAGACCTCGTCGCCTCATCATGGGAGACTTGAGCCCGGGCGGGTCGCTTAAAACACTGCAGGACAACCTAAGTTACTGCCACCACCATCAGCAGCACCATCTGCACAAATCACGGTGCAAGAATGGCACGAATATACATGAAGCAGCCAACGGCTGCTACCGTGCATGAGAAGCGTTTTGCCGGACATGCATACCACTTGTATCATACAAAATGTTGATTGATTGATAAGTTGGGTTTAAGGTCCCAAAACCACCATATGATTATGAGAGAGGCCGTATTGGAGGGCTCCGGAAATTTCGACCACCTGTGGTTCTTTGACGTGCACCCAAATCTGAACACACGGGCCCATAGAGCGTTTCCGCCTCCATCGAAAATGCAGCCGCCGCAGCCGGGATTTGATCCCTGACCTGCGGGTCAGCAGCCGAGTACCTTAGCCACTCGACCTCCACGGCCGGGCTACAAAATGTTCCCATAGAAATGATACTTCTGTCTCACGTTCATATTTCTTTTCGTTCGCACGTTTTTGCGTGTTATTTTGCATTTGTTTTGATGCAAAATGGTGGCTCCGCCCAGTGTTGCTTGAACTTTTCTGGGCTTTTTACAATGGTGCTGGTATTTATTTATCGCGACAAAAACAGTACATACAAGATAGAAACAAGCGTTTGACAGTGAAACGGCTGGCAAGGACTTTTCACAGTAAAATGAAAAGGACTTCACTAATGGTGACGGTAACAACACAGTGACAGGTGATATAGTATTACTGCAAAACATTTCACCATAAAGAGGGCGAAACTCGGAAATGCGTCACGGTACGTCTTTCTATTCACCCCTGCGCTACCCATGCACCAGTAAGAGAAAGTTCTTCAGTCAGCATAAAAGGCACAGAGAGATAGAGAGAGAGAGAAACGCAACAAGGAGTGTGGAAGTGCATGTGTTGTCCAAACATACCACTGCGTGGCAAATGGTTGTAGGTGTACAGCGTTGCAACCGGCGTGAAAAAAAAAAAAAAACATCGTATACGTGCGCAGTTGTTTCCACGTTGTCACCACGTGCCATTAGCGGTGTACTCCAATGGTAAACTTTTCATGCTTGCCATACATTTTATTGTTATCAGACAACCACTCTACCCTGCCACGTGCCGGATGAACCACAGCATGGACCTGTGCCAGGGGCGCACACGTTCTCTCTCGGGATGTGTATTTTGTTTTATCGAACGTGCCACGCAGCACGTTTTTTGCGTGCGCTTCGTTCGGTTCCACGAAGTTTGGTGCTGGGCAACATGGTGAAATACTTTTGAAAAAAAAATGACAGCATATCCACGGAGTCAATGATGAAAACTGGGGCGAAGCGTCTGTATGCGCGTCCGTCCATCCGTGCATCCATTCGTCTGTCTGTCCGTCCGTCGTCTGTACATCCGTTCGTCCACCTAGTGAACACTATAAGTACCACCATCTCGCATCTTTCCCACATATATTCATCATATACAAGTACCGCCATCCAGCGGACATTCCAAGGACTAAACGAGAGGTGGCTACTTACTACTACTACTACTACTACTACTACTACTACTACTACTACTACTACTACTACTACTACTAAATACATCAAGGACGCACGACCCATGGCTTAAGGAGCTTCGCCATTGAAAAAAATAATCACAGAACAGGCACAAACTAAATTTCATTAGAGCTCTCCTCTTTATAGGTTGTTTCCCAAGTTAACAAGATAGCGGCTGATTTGTGTATCTCGGTTTTGTGAGCGCTCGTTTTACGCCTATTCTTTCCCAGAATGCTTCGTTCGGCGTTACGGACCCTGGTTCTTGGGATAGGCAATGTGCAGTGACCAGAAAGCACTGTGTAGCTCTCAGTGTGTAGCCCAGTGTCGCCGACATCCGCCGCTAGGGGCCCGAACAAATGAGGCATGCTATGGTGTTCGACAGTTGCGGAAATCGTGCTGAGCGGCAGGCCCGTTCCGTTTGGTGTCGTTTTTCAAATCGGTTGCAATACGTTCACGAATGCGCGTGTGTGCCAAATGTATGGGAAAGTGAATGTTCCAATTGTGCACGGCATCATTTGCGCAAGTTAAAAAGAAAAGAAAAAAAAGCTTCAGTGCAGCGAAGTTCGTGATATATAAGGTGGTCATTAAAGCCGAAGGTGTCCAGCGAATTGTTCCTTGTCCAACGAATAATAATAAAAAACACGATCATAACCATGAGCGCGTATATATGTACCACAGAAATCGAATCCTATTATTCAGTATAGCGAAAGCCCAACATCGATAATAACAATAATAATATCTGGGGTTATTTTACGTCTGAAAACCATGATACAAATATGAAAGACGCTGTAGGGGAGGAAAGAAGGAAGGAAAATAACTTTATTTTGGTCCTGCGGAATGCGACTGGGTCACGCACCCGGCTTTGGAAATTTCGACCATGTGGTGTTCTTTAGCGGGCAGTGGAAATAATCATCACCTTTGCGTGACCGAAAAGTCGGTAAAGGTGAAAAGGAAATAAATAATAAAAAATACTGGGCCTGACGCAGATCGAACCCCGGTAATTTGGTTGGCAAGCGGGGGGAAGGGGGTTCTGTTATACGCAGCCAAGCCTCTGGTTGTGAAGAAAGTGAAAATAACTTCCTCTGCTTGAAAATGCAGTGGAAGAAGCTTTCGTTCTTTACAAACACACACGTCCTGCGCACATGCTTCACAAGACAACGTTAAATATTGGTGTAATATAGCGCTGTTGAAGCGTACATTGCAATCGGGCGTCAGAACATGGGCTTATCATAATGACTTCATATTTTAAATCCATTCACCCACTACAAAAGGCACACATGTTACTGCACCCCCAAGTCCCCCATAATGGGTGCACAGCAAGTTTTTCCATGCACCAAGT